CATCGTTCTTCCACTTCCATTACGAGCTCGCTCGAGTGCATCTTGAATAACCGCCTCACTGCTCGCATCAAGAGCACTAGTCGGCTCATCAAGCACTAGCACCTCAGGTTCAGCCACGAGAGCCCGAGCTAGCGCAACTCTCTGTCTCTGTCCTCCAGAGAGCTGTGTAGCGCCGCTGCCGCCAATCTTGGTATTAAACCCCTCTGGGAGCGCGCTGATGAAGTCGTATGCGTTTGCATTCTTCGCAGCCTGTAAGCACAATTGCTCTTTTATTTCCAAAGATATATCTCCTTTGTGTAATAGCCCGTGCTGGATGTTTTCCATAACAGTCCCAGCGAAGAGGACAGGTTCTTGATCAACGAGTGCTAGGTGGCGGCGGTAGTCTCGTAGGTTCAAATCTTTCAAATCACGACCGCCAATGAGAACGCGCCCAGAGACGGGATCGTAGAATCGCATCAATAGCGCCGCAATTGTACTCTTTCCGCTGCCACTGGCGCCCACAACTGCGGTGAGTTTCCCCGCAGGGAAGGTCATGCTGACGTTCTTCACAACCTCCACATCCCTAGTCGGGTACCGGAAGGTTACATTTTCTAGTGTGATATCATTGGCTTCCGGCGGCGTTGGCATGGGACCCCCAACGTTAGAATAAACATTGATCCCCGTCTCCGGGCTATCGAGTAATGCAATAATCTTTTCCCCGGCCGCGGCCGCGAGTGCAAATGTTTGCAGGAACGGCCCAAAAGAGCCTACAACGAAGGAGGCGTCGAGAATAAGGAAAACAACAGTATAGACAGTCCCAGCGCCCTCGCTACCCTTAAAAAGGCCCTTTGCTATCTGACGGGAACCTTCCCAGAATGCGAGAGCGTTGGCGGAGTAACTATTTTTAGTAACATCATCAATATCAGTATAGATTACATAAGCTAATTAGTAGCCTGGGCTAGGGTTGGTAAATAGTAGTCAGACTTACGCAACAAAGAAAACCAACGCTAGCATCGCTGCGCCCGCGACAGCCCTTCTAATACCACAAGATACCGCAGGCCCCATCAATTCCCAGTGTTTTCCGGCCAGTAAATTGGCTGCCCCAAAAGCCTGTACTACCTGTACTGCGGTAATTGCGCCCTCTGCGACAGATGTAGCTTTCTCTGAGTAATCGACAGCTCGCTTTGCGTATTTTGAAACGATCTTAGAACCGCCATAGACGACCAAAAACATTGCAGGAACAACGCCGACAAAAAGGATTCCCGTAAGGCGAGCATTGAGAATAAAACCGGTGATAAATGCTGCGAGAAAGTAGGCAACGGATTGAAGGAAGAGACCAACTTTTTCGGAGGTGCCGAGCTGGATGGTTTGCGTGTCGGCCGTCAGGCGATGCGCGATCTAGTTGGGAACTTTGTGAGTAGTGGATCGTAATAAGATATGAGTGATACGCACATCTAGAGATTCACTATCCCACCATCCAACCTCCATTCCAACAGCTTTTTGTAATAGCCGCACCCGTAGCCCTCTAGCGACACGCTCCCCGATCATACCCCAGGCCGTCGCCCACCCCCATGTTATGAAGAAATACGCCACCGCCACACCGAGCAGCTGGCCAATACGTGTGTTAATCTCATCCGCGGTGGGAGGGAATGAGTTGATTATCTTTCCGAAGATGACACCGATGATGGGGAGGGGCGCTCCGGCAGCGAGGGCGAGAATGATAGCTGCAGCAAGAATACAGCGGTCTTTCACGGAGGTGAGTGGTCGGTATAGAGTGAGGTAACTAGAGTGCAGGCGGTGAAGTGGAACGGGGGTCCTAGGTGAGGGTGGGATAGGTTTGGTTGTAGGTAGAGGCGGTAAAGATAATGTAGGGTCAGGCTGTGTGGCGGTGGTGGTAAGGTGAGGGAGGTCGAGACTCCCTTCGCGTTGAGGTGCAGCCATCGAGGCAGGAGGAAGTAGAATTCGTAAATTGTGTGAGGCCGTGAGATATCTTAGACAAGAGTTTTACAGTATCGTGGGGTCTGAATACGGTCGTCAATAAACTTCTGAGGGCACCCGTAAGACTCTGAAAGGAGCACCAACCAATACCGAATAATCACTGGCAATACATAAATCGTAAAATTGAAAAGCAAAGACAGAAAAAAAATGTCAGGAGGCAGAAGAAGAAAATTACCTTGAGACTATCAGGGGGTATAACTATAAAAAAATACAACTCTATACTCTTTCGCCGAGTATGGTATGTAGGTCAGAAAACGAAAAGACAAATTAAAGTGCAAACAAAGTCTTCCCAGCAGCTTTCGAGAGAGCGGAAGTAAGCGGGCAATTGAAGCAAGCAAAGGAATTTACCGAGAAAGAGAAAATCCTCGCTTACTCGTATGTAACAGGAACCCGTTGAATTTTAGTACTCACTCCTTTTCCCCTCACCTACCCTGGCTATGGAGGTGGGAATCCGGATCTGATAACCATTCGATCTAGATACCTTGTAGGTATCTGGCCCCTCTCACATGCACACTCGACGTCCCTACTGCCTCCTGCCATCTGCCAGATGAAGTTAAGTTATCAGATCCGTCACCCTGCATCGCGGTACTAGTTAGTGGGATCGTAGTGGCAAAGAATGAGTGAATTATTATCAGATCGTGGGGTGGGGATGTGGGAGAGACGGCACAGTGATTTGCGATGACGATGAACTGCCCATCTTATTGAACTGACCCGAATGACAAACGACAGAAGATGAAGGTCAGGGCGAATAGCTCCTTGGATCTGGGGAGTCTGGCAAGGCATTGGGAGCTACTAGCTTTGTAGAGGTCACTACTACCTTGAAGATTGATTGGAGGGCCGGGGTAGTGGAGGTGTTTCAAAAAGAATATTTTTCGGAGATTCCGTTCTAGTACAGTAGGTACTGTCCACATCTCTGCCGTGTGCTCACTTGATGCCCTTTGAGAAGTTGGGTCCCAGCTCAGAATTTACTCTACTCTACATGTAGGTACATGTAGTATTACACTCGTGCATACACGTATGCACAATACAGCTACAGAATTCAATTAGTCAAATTTTTTCCCTGTCACGGAAAGAGAAGCAGGAACTGAACACCCCAATCCAGGTTGGGTTGTCAAATCCTTGCGTTACTGTTGCCAAGAAAATTAGATCAGATATGCGTACATGAAGTAGGTGTATGTTGCAAATATTAGTACATGTATGTAGCGAAATTAGAATGATCAGAGTTTTCCTTGTCACGGTACCATGGACACCGTTACATTACGGACTAGGATCTGAAGTCCTTGCGTTACTTAGAGTAGGTACACAGTTGCGCCTCAGCTGTCGCTAACGATTTTTTTGATTGAAGTCATACCAAATCTTAGAGAAGCGGAAACCAGCTAGATATTATTTCGTACTTGGCGGGGGTTGTGTGTACGTGTCGTGGCCTATGTATTCTAACGTAGCGGCTAGATTGAACCAAGAGAGGGAAACGACGATAAGCTGGTGTTTTTGACCTTTGGCTTCACAATTTTACTTCGTTTTTATTTGGTGCTTACGGAGACGCCCATATCCTAATTACATGTATATGTACTTTTCTATATTTACACCGGGCTGTACAAATTCATTGGTTTCTTTATAAATACATGTAATTAACGATATGTGTCTCATGATCAAGCTAAAAATTGCGTGTATGTAATAGTGGCCCATTAACACCAAGTCTAGCCACTGATCCCCCCACCAGGCAGCTGAGACTAATTCCGTCAATTTTATCGGCTTTAATAGATTTGTTTGGACCGGTCACAGCTTATCACTTGGACCGTGTCGTTTCGAAGAAAGGATCTGATACCGAGGTAGAAAAAGCACCGGGAAGAAAGAAAAATCAGATATCGGCAATTTATTCCCAAGCCCTTTCTTCATGCAGCCCCTTTTGATCGGAAAGTATGTACGTAAATTTTCATCTGGTCGTCGAGCTAAGACTTATGTAGGATCTGATAACCCCCCTCCCAGAGTATCACATTCAGACCCCTGCCTGCATGGCAGGTTGGGCAGCCGATTGATTGATGTGATTGATAACAGGTTTGTCTAATCAATCAATCAATCAATCAATCAATATCCGATTGACTCTGACCCTGGACAGTGTGTGTGGGGCTGGACTTCAGAGACTTCAAGGTCAGAGACGGTCCGGGTCAAAGACAGGGGTAGAGTCACAGTTCTGATGAAGCTGGTCGTGGATTAAGCGAGCCACTGGTCGATGAGGGTCAACTGTCGTATCAACGCGTCATTACCCGCATACCTACCACCTTACCTCTTGACCTAGAGAAGGAACACAAAGACTGACGGACGGGGCAGCAAACAAACAGAACACACGAAAGGAAGAGAAGAATGAGTGAGTGAGCGAACTATAGACGTGTAGTAATACAAGCAACGTGATAGGTCGCGCCTCTACAGCCTATAATTGCTTTTCCATTCAAGCCAAATCGTGTGGTTGGTTGGCTGGTTGGTTGGAGGCAGCTTTGGTAGGTATGACAGCAGTTCACATGGCTTGTGTGCTACATGGTTTGTTACCGCCTAGCTAGACTACAGAATGGGTTGGACTCGAACCCTTCTGCGAAATTATTACCGTACGATCTAGTGTTCGTGGCGGTTTATAACTCCTACCTAAAGTCGAGAGGATCCACAACTCACTACAACTCTACTGCACGAAGGGTAGGAGCTTTTGTTACTTTAGAGTGCTGTGCTGCTATCATATAGCTATCGACGCGGATATCAGATATATGCAGCTACAAACATCTGCTTCTGCTTCTCACACGACATCACTACAACTTGTGTTCAACTAGACTGTCCCGGAAAGAAAATACCGCGATAATTCCCAGATAGATAAATCCTTTTATTCCCATTTCAAACTGCTTTCCCACATACAATACACAATATATACTACAACAGGCTGTTTCTGTAACTCTTCCCTTCCTTAGGAGAAGCTTCGGCTGTGTACTCACTTGACGAAAGCTATATACTAACATCTTGCGAAAATCATCACGTAGAAAATGTCCAAACACTATCGCTTCACTGCCTTCCCAACTCTTCATACCCTCCACGGTTCTCCCAGCATACTCACCGCACCAATCGCTCTTCCACAAGGCTGTACGAACGACCAGATTGTAGCATCATGGGCGCACCTTCTCCGCGGATACTGCGGTACCGACACTGTTGTATTCAGGGTTAATGGGATAACCTCGGGTGTTGAGTTCGCAGAAGATGGGAGTATGGATTGGATTTCAGAAGGGAGTGTAGAGAATCCTTCGGGCGGACGGTGGACGGGAGTCTTTTTAAATTCCAAAGGCTTTAATGTAAGAGTTTACTACATGATATTTCTAGAGAAAAACTGAGCGCTGATTCTAATCTGATATGTCAACTGTAGCCCCTGGATTCGCAGCTATATTTGACTGTAGACGGCGGCTCTGCGATGGCATATATCAATATCTCGACGGCGGTGGTACCGGAGAGTTACATCCACATAATCTGTACACATCTTCACCACCTTTTTACCTCCACTGCTCATTCAGTACACACCTTGTCGGTTCTTAACCCTACCCCGCGGCATCTACCCGGGCCTACCCTCCTCCACAACCTCATCACCTTTTCCACTCACGATAGCCTCCCTGCGCTTGAATTTCTCCACTCAAACTCCTCACAGAGCACGTATAGCTACGCGGATCTCGACATTCTCTCGACACAGTTTGCCCTAAAACTCCTTCCGCATACTACATCCACCCAGCGCCTAATCCCTGTACTTCTTCAGCAGTCGCCAACTCTCTACATTGCCCTTATTGGTATTCTCAAGGCAGGATGCGCATTTGTTCCGTTACCTCTAGATGCACCTCCTCAGAGACTACAGTTCATTGTCGAGGACATCAAAGCGCCATGTATTGTCTGCGATCCTGCTTCATCCCCGGTTCCAAATCTCCCATGCGTCACACCAGACGAAGACACCCCCACATTCTCACTGGCTAGCCTAATGGAACTCCCCACGACGATTTCACCCAGTGATCCAGCGTATGTAATGTACACCAGCGGTACCACTGGAACACCCAAGGGCGTCCTCGTGAGTCACTATGCTGCGGCACAGAGCCTGCTAGCGCAAGACGTGCTCGTACCGAAAAGTGTCGGGAGGTGGTTACAACAAGCGGCGCCGACATTCGATGTATTTGTCTTTGAGATGTTCTTCCCGTTAATGCGCGGAATTGTGTTGGTGGGGTGTGAGCGTGCGGTTATGTTGCGTGACCTTCCGGGCGTAGTGAGGAGAATGGCTGTGGACGTGGTGGAACTTACACCGACAGTTGCGGGAGGCTTATTGGGCAAACCCGAGGATATCCCGGGCTTGAAATGTTTACTGACGATTGGAGAAATGTTGACAAAGGGAGTGGTGGATATGTGGAGGGATGTGTTGGTGGGGATGTATGGGCCTACTGAAGCGGCAATCCACTGTACTGCCTCCACTGCGGTCGAACGAGTTGGAGATATTGGCACACCGTTCGAGACTGTGTCAGCATTCGTCATCGCCCCCTACAAAGGCGGCGAAATCGAAGTCCTCCCCGTCGGTTGTGTGGGCGAGCTTGTGGTAGGAGGGCCACAGTTAGCGGACGGATATATCAACCGCCCAGAGCAAACCCGAGAGGTATTCATCAATTCAACTCGATTCGGCAGATTATATCGGACCGGTGATAGAGCACGTGTTCTCCCGAGCAGAGCAATTGAGTGCCTAGGCCGTATTGGGGCTGGTCAGGTTAAAATTCGTGGGCAGCGTATTGAGCTTGGAGAGATCGAAGAAGTCGTCCTCAAGACACCAGGAGTCAAGGCATGTGTGGCCAATGTGATCAAGAATACTCTTGTCATCTGGGTTAGCGGCGCAACTTCAAAACTTGCAATCATTGAGACATGCAAAAAATGGTTACCGGCGTACATGATCCCTGGGGACATCCTTACTCTCCCTACACTTCCCCGTCTTGCTTCCGGGAAGGCAGACAGAAAGCTCTTAGAGGCAAACTACAAGAACAGAATCGTTGAACCTAAAGCAATAACGGAAGATATGAACGCCTTTGAGCGAGTGATCGCCCATGAAGCATCACTGCTTCTTGGCACTGCGCCCAGCAAGGAAGTCAGTCTTGTTTCACATGGGCTTGACTCGATGCAGGCCATTCGCCTCACTATCGCGCTTCGGAAACGAGGCCTTGAAGTGGAGACAGTAGACGTGATTAGGTCTGACACAATCTCTGGTATTGCAGCAGGTATTGAGAAGGGTGTGGGTACATCCCCGAGAGTCGTGAATGAAGCTACCCAGAGGCGATTCGAGGAGGTCGCGAACGCTTCAAGGGAGTTACAGGAGGACCAGAACGTGCTGAAGGTTATTCCGTGTACTTCTGTGCAGGCCGCTATGCTAGCAGAAACAGGGAAAGATAGCGCCGCATACTGTAATTGGATGCTACTCTCCTTACCACCGAACAACAACGCAGCCAAAGTAGAGGCCGCTGTCAGGAAAATTATCGATGCCAATGAGATTCTGCGCACCGGGTTTGTAGTCCTGGAGGGTGGGTTCGCGCAGGTGGTATATCATACCTCTCGCCCATCTCAATTTACCCTATCGAACACGATTCAGAAGGATTGGAGCGTTTCTGTTCCCCAGCTGCTGTCACCACCTTTCAGAGTTGCTCTTGTTGGTGGCCAACTAAGCGTTCAAATTCACCATGCACTCTATGACGGTTGGTGTTGGGACAACATCATGTCCGATCTTGCCGCACACCTTTCCGGACATTCTGTAGCTCCACGTCCACAGTACCAAGTTGTTGTAGAGCACGAATTGGACACAGATAATTCTAGCAGGATCGATTATTGGCGAAACGCCCTGTCCGGAATTGAGCCGGTGCCCTTCCCGTGCTTGACGGGGAAGAGTGACGTGGCCGATGAGGTGCGCCAGGAGACTGCTACGATGAGTACCGGGAAAGAAGAATATGAGGGTGCTGCAAGAAAGTTTGGTGTGGCGCCAGTGGTTTTGGTACAGGCTGCATGGGCCATGTTGTGGTCATTATACGTTGGCGAAAGCGACGTTGTTGTGGGAAATGTTCTCTCCGGCAGGACAGTCGCCCTAGAGGGGGTTGAGAATGTAATTGGGCCGATGATTGTCACTGCACCGGTTAGAGTAAACGTGAGGAGACAGCGTAGTGTGAGAGAGGTTGTAAGCGAGGTTGCGAAGCGCGGGAGAGAGGTTTTGGGGAATGAGATTGGATTGAGAGAGGTAAAGAAGGCCTGGGGTGGTGAGGGGAGACTTTTTGAGAGTTTGCTTGTCTGGCAGGAGTCTTTGACTGCTGAAAGAAGCGTGAAAATCGTCGATTTGAAAGATATGCTAGAGGCGAGTGATACCCTATGATCGACTCTGGAAAATTACTAACATTACCTGTAGTTTCCGATTCTCCTCGAAGTTACACCTGGTACTGTTGACATATCCCTGCGGGCAACCTACCAAACTTCCATTCTTCCGCCTGCCCACACAGCATTGATATTAGCCCAGCTCGACCAATTTGTCACTTCGATCATTTCAAACCCCGACCAGACCCTAACAAACCTCCTTCAATCCCTTCCGCCATCTGCTCTCTCTATCGAGAATCCACATATCATAACCCGCTCAATAACCTCTACACCTTCCATCTCTCACCTCGTCGAACTCGCTGCTTCCCGCAACCCAAATGCAATCGCAATTGACTTTGCAGATGACATAATTGGCACCACTACTGAATCTACAACACTAACCTACCATACCTTCAACACCAATGCTAATAAACTAGCCTATCATCTGCTCTCTCTTGGTGCAAAACCGGACACACTTATATCAATCTGCATGGAGAAATCGCCAATCCTCTACATCTCTATCCTTGCCATCCTTAAATCCGGTGCTGCGTATGCTCCTATAACCCCAGAGACTCCGAACGAGAGAAAGAACCAGATTATAGAAAGCGGTGATATACGTATTCATCTCACCACTAGCGACCTCGCCCCGGAACCCTCAGGTGTGCCTCAGGGCGTCGTAGTAGTTTGTGTGGACACGGTAAACACTCTCTGGTATTCCGAGGCAAACCCAGATATTCAAAGATCCGAGAGAGACCTAGCATATGCGGTTTTTACATCCGGGAGCACAGGAAAACCAAAGGGTGTGTTGGTGGAGAATCATGCGATTGTGAACCATCTTAGACTACTCGCGGAGATGTACCCGGCAGCGTTAGGGAAGAGGCTATTGCAGTTCTGTACCGTTGCCTTTGATGTGTCGGTGTTTGAGATCTTTTTTACCTGGGCAATGGGTATGACACTCTGTGTAGCAAGGAAGGATGTGCTGCTACGCGATATCGAGAGCGCTATAAACGCCTTCAAGATCACACATCTGAGTATGACACCCACTGTCGCAGCGCTTGTCAACCCTGATAATGTACCGTCTGTGGAATTTCTCGTCACTGCCGGAGAAGGTCTTAACAGGAAGGTGTTTGAGGCTTGGACTGGTAGGGGACTCTGGACCGGGTATGGACCAAGTGAGACGGTGAATATTTGCACGGTAAGACCGAATTTGAGGAAGGAAGATCACATTAATACACTAGGAGAAACATTTGCCAATACCTCTACCTTTGTAATTTCTCAAAATGAAGATGATTTCTGTTTGCTCCCTAGGGGTGCAGTTGGAGAGCTGTGTTTCGGAGGTGCTCAAGTCGTAGGTTTACTCATGGCGATGCCGTCGGTTTGGGATTTTATTCTGATAGCTACGGAATATAGGCACGTGGATACCTCAAGCAGCCCGAGCTTACCGCCCGAAAGTTCCCCACCCATCCCACATATGGTCGTGTTTACCGTTCCGGTGATATCGGGCGTCTCCTCTCCGACGGGTCAATCGAGTTTATCGGCCGCATTGACGACCAAGTCAAGATTCGTGGACACCGTATTGAGCTGGGTGAAATTACCTCTGTTCTCCTGCGTTCGGCGGCTGTTCTTGACGCTGCCGCTATCCCAGTGAGAAAATCTTCTACAGATCCGTATCTACTTGTTGCATTCGTTCTCCTTGTATCTCATCAGGACAAGGAGTTTGGCGTTGTAAAAGCAGACCAAGGTGTTCGCGAGATACTGGGCGTATTGTTCAAGGCACTGTCTGCTTCACTACCAGAGTACATGGTTCCCGCGGTATTGCTCCCCGTGACAACAATCCCGATGACCGCGACAGGAAAGATTGACAAAAAAATTCTCGAAAAGACATTCTTCGATGTTGATACCGCTACAGTTGAATCGTACAGCGAGGAAACTGATAAGGAAGTCGATGCGCAATGGTCACAGGTTGAGATGGAGATCGTTGGGGTTGTTGCCGATGTTGCGCAAGTAACCGTTGGTGAAATTGGTAGAGGAACGTCGATCTTCAAGCTCGGACTGGACTCAATTTCAGTGATTCAGTTATCAAATCGCATCATGAAGGCAGGCTACAAAAGATTAGATGTGTCACAGATTATGAAGAATCCGACTGTTGGTGCTCTTGCTACCTTGCTTGGGGAAATGGATGAAGGGCAGCCCGCTACCAACATTATTCGAGAGGATTCCTTGAAGCTGTTTGCTGAGAGCGTTAAAGCGACGGCCATCGAGCAGCTCGGTGTAGCCCCAGAGGACATAATGAAGATATTGCCTTGCTCCCCACTACAAGAAGCCATGTTGACGCAAAAGAAAGGCGTTAATACGAGCACTTACTACAATCACACCGTCCTACATCTTCGGGCTAACCCTACACGTTTGAAAAAGGCATGGGAACATATGGCCGAGAGACACGATATCATGCGGACCTGCTTCTGCGTCACGGAGGATTCAAGACATGCGTATGCTCAGGTTGTGCTCAAGAAGCTTGACCTGCCGTGGACTACCTTTGAGGTAGAGGCGACGCGGGAGCAAATCGACAAGCGTATCGATGAAATCTCAAGATCTATGAGCATCAACAGTGCTCCATATGCATTTTCATTGTTCGCAGGGGCGACTTTGGTTATGTCGTTCCACCACTCTCTTTACGATGGTTATGCAATGGGTCTCCTACTTGATGATGTGCGAAGTGCTTACCTAGGACTGGAGCTCCCAATAAGACGTCCTTTCGATCGGGTGTTGGAGTATATGGAGAACATTGACCCCGAAGCATCTGACAGTTTCTGGAGGGGCCTATTGACTGGTTTCGAAGCATCTGCATTCCCAGACCTAACAGGCAAGACAGCACTATTTAAAGAGGAAACTAAACTTACAGGTATGACGGCAGCAAGAATGACTTGTTCAAAGACGTTGAGTGAAATTGAGGAGGGTTGTAGAGAAATCTCAACCTCGCTGCTGGCATTAGGACAGACCGGATGGGCAAGGTTATTGGCGGCCTATTCCGGAGAAACCGATGTTTGTTTTGGTAGTGTTGTGAGCGGAAGGACCATCCCTGTGGATGGAGTGGAGGACGTTATTGCCCCGTGCTTTAATACAGTCCCATTGAGAGTACAGCTAACCCCAGGTGCTACTAATTTAACGGTTATGAATAGTATCAGGAGTCTTAATGCGGATATTCTGCCGTATCAGCTAACCCCGTTGAGAAGGATCATGAACACGCTGAAGACTGAGGGTCAGGCCCTATTTGATACCCTGTTTATCTTGCAGTATGCGAATGAGGCATCAGAAGACTTATGGGAAGAGGTCGACGACCGCGGGGAGATGGATGTGAGTTCTTAATTAATAAGAATATAGCCTAGATATTATTGCTGATGGTGGATAGTTCTCTGTCGTTGTCGAGCTTGTACCTAATCGCAATAGAAACAGCTTAGACATTGTTCTTTATTTCCGCCGGTGTGTAACCTACTATAATATTTATCAGGTAGTGTTGGGACTAATGTGGTGTAGGGATGTTATACTCGAGGAGCAAGTTGATGTGATTATTCAGCAGTTGAATGCGGCGATCATTGACTCTCTACAATATCCTGATGAGCTCGCGATAAACTTCCGGGAATTCAAGCCATCAATCTTGGCGAGGGCAAACAGCAAGTCGTTAAATCTCGAAGGCGAAGGCTACGATTTACTACACTCTGAATTTGAGCGCCATGCCCGCGAGAATCCATCATATGTCGCACTTGAATTCCTTGATAACGACTACAAAATCACAAGCTGGACATTCCGCGAACTCAATGAAGCCGCAAATCGAGTCGCTCATTACCTTGTCTCTCTGGGGTTGAAGCGTGACGAGGCTGTACCGCTATGCCTCGAGAAGTCTCCCTTATTCTATATTTGTGTTTTGGGTGTGTTGAAGGCCGGGTGCGCATTCACCCCAATCGATCCTACACTGCCAGATCAGAGGAAAATGTTTATGATAGAGGAACTTGGGGCGAGGGTTGTGCTTGTTACTGCTGCTACGGCAGGGGGCATGGGACGTGTGGCAATGGTGGATGTTGAAAGTGGGGTCATGGATTCTCAACCGGTTACGAATTTAAACATTAAAGGTCTCACACCGAGATGTTTAGCCTATAGACTTTATACTTCAGGTAAGTCGATCTACATCAATGATTTCAAATGTATATTTGTTGATTATTTTCATCAGGCTCCACTGGTCAGCCCAAAGCTGTCTCTCTTGAAATCAAGAGTGCTGTGCAAACTTTCCGCGCCTCAAAGTCCCTCATCCCATGGAAATCGGATTCAAGGCTCCTCCAATTCGCCGCAACTACCTTTGATATGTGCTACTACGACTGTTTCATGGCGTGGAGTTATGGGTTTACACTTTGTTCTGCAGCGAAGAAACATCTCCTTGGTGACCTCGAAGGGACTATCATGACCATGAAAGCAACCCTTTTGGATCTGACACCCACTGTTGCAGCTACTCTTGTTGCAGAAAATCTTACGACTGTGGAGATGCTGTATTGTATTGGAGAGGCAATGCCGCAGAAGGTGGTCAATGATTGGGACGGAAGATGCGTTAACTCTTACGGACCTACTGGTATGTTTTAATTGAATAACCTTGGTTAAGAGCGCATAAACCTAATTAACTGGCAATTGTAGAGGCAGCAATGTGTTGTACAATCACGGCCACAGACAGGTACACAAAATCTTCCAACATCGGCAAACCATTCCCTACAGCAAGTTTCTTCGTTCTCTCCCGCAGTGGAGAGTATGTAGTCCCTATCTTCGGTAGCGGCGAGCTCTGTATTGGAGGGCCACAAGTAGCACGTGAATATCACAACAACATACAGCTTACCAAACGCCAGTTTATTCAATTAGAGGGGGGTACGGTATACAGGACTGGTGATCTTGTTCGCATGCTGGGAGACGGGACTTTTGAGTTTCTTGGGCGCGCAGACGACCAGGTGAAGATTCGCGGGTTGCGGGTTGAACTAGATGAAATCAGTTCTGTTTTAAGGAGCGGGCACAGGGATATTAAGGATGCAACAACAATCGTGGTTAAGCACAGCGAAGGAACAAAGGAGCAGCTTGTGTCCTTCCTAGCGGTTGAGGGTAGAAAACAACATGGAACAAAGCCTAAAGTATTGAAGGCTGGCCCACTACCCGAAGAAATCCAAAGCTCGGCGTTGAAGGCGGCGAGGACAAAATTGCCAAGATACATGATCCCGGCAGTGGTCTTGATCATTGACCATGTTCCACGTTCAGCAGCAGGAAAGGTTGATAAGAAAGCATTAGGAGCGTTTTTTAGGGAACAAGATATCCAGTCATTTGGGGCTGCGGGTGTAGAGGAGGATGAGAGCGTGTGGAGTGAGGGAGAAAAGAAGATCAGAAGTGTGTTTTCTCAGATATCAAGGGTTCCGGTTCAGCAAATTTCTCGGAACTCAACTATTTATGAAATCGGGCTTGATAGTATCAGTGCCGCTCAGGTCGCGATGCAGTTGAAGCGCATTGATTTGGAAATCTCAGTTCTGGATATTCTTGAGGTATGTGTTCATGAAAAGCAGGAGGAGAAATATTACTGACAACACTTAGCGACCATCTATAAAGCAATTATCAAAACTACTCACTACAGATAGCAAACATATCGAAGCCAAGAGTCAGATTTCCGGTGACTACCTGGTGAATTTCAACGATCAATTCATGGACCAAATTCTCAAGGACACGGGTATCGCAAAAGACAGAATCGCCGGGGTATTCCCGTGTACGCCGGCGCAAGAGGGAATGCTATCACAGTTTCTGCGTTCTAAAGGCGGCCTATATTTCAATCACTCTGTCTTCAAACTACCCCAGAATGTCGACTTGAGTCGCCTGCGCAAGTCTTGGAATGCTGTCTCTGACTCGCACGACATGCTCCGTGCTGGTTTCGTTGAGGTTGAACACAATACACATGCTTTTGCTACCATCATCTATGCTCAGGGTTCTGTTGACCTGCCGTGGACTATAGTGGATAGCAGAGGGAATAAGGATATTGTGCTTTCTGCACAAAAGGAGCTTGGGGCTTCTCGTGCGCTCGAGAATCTCCACCTCCCGCCATGGAGTGTCACTGTGATTAGAGAAAGTGCCATGGAATCACTACTGCTGTTTTCTGCACACCATGCTTTATACGACGCAGAAACCTTAAGCCTTTTCCTCAACGATGTTTTCTCTGAGTATTCTGGTAAACGTGTCGCTTCCCGCCCCAAATTTTCTGCCGTTCTTAGCAATATTGTGAAGCATTCACTGGATGCCGAGGTTATCGAAGAGGATAAAACCTTCTGGCTACAACAACTTAAAGGGACGAGCATTTCACGTTTCCCAAACTTATGTCCTGTCAGGTTCAAGAGTACTTCCAGTCATGTTTGTTCGACAGAGACGAGTTGGAGTTTGTCAATGATCGAGAGCAGGTGTCGGAAATTGGGGATCTCGGTGAATTCTGCAGGGCAAGCCGCCTGGGCAAGGGTGCTCTCGGCATATATGGGGGATACTGCTGTCACAATGGGAATCGGTAAGAGCCTTTTCCCCGGGCCCTTCAAAAATATCGATTCTGACTTTAAGTAGTACTTTCGGGAAGATCTGGCATTGTTGGTGCCGAGAATGTGGCTTTCCCGTGTATCACAACTGTGCCTTCCCTATGTCTATTAACCGGTACAAATCTTGAACTTGCATTGGCTTTACAACATAGCAATGCACAGGCACTGAAGCATCAGCACACACCTCTTCGAAACATCCAAGGGTGGTTTGAGCATCGCCAAGAATCCTTCTTCGACTCTATCTTTGTGTACCAGAAGACGGAGTCTAGCAGCAAGAGTTCGTGGGAAATTGTAGAGGAGGATGCTTTCGTTGACGTGTGTTTTATCACCCCGTCCCCATGATAATATTGACTAATATGAAATTTAGTACACGATCTCCTTAGAAATCGAACCCACAAATGACGACTCCCTTCTTATCCGGGCAACATGCAGAGACAACGTCATGCCCAAAGAACAAACACAGTTGCTCATTCAGCAAGTCAATGCTGCACTGGTAGACATCTTACAGAACCCTAATAGCTCAAGCATAGAGTTCTTGAGTTTTCCGCCGGCATTGCTCTCATGTACCCCGCCCTTAATTGACGGAATTCCCACAGATATCACCCTGTTGCACAAATTCGTTGAAAAGTACAGGAAACTAACGCCAGACAAAATTGCCTTCGAGTTTGCCACATCAATTCAGGAAGGGTGCGCGATCAAAGAAACATGGACCTACACCCAACTCGACGAAGAGGGCAACCGAATCGCAAACTACCTCTTAAACCTTGGAGTCAAAACTGGACAAATTGTTGCCATCTGCTTTGAGAAGTGCCCTGAAGCATCATTTGCTATTCTTGGAATCCTGAAAGCCGGTTGTGCATTCATGGCACTTGACTATAATGCACCCATTGACAGAAAGGCTTTCATTGTCGAGGACTCGGGCGCGAAATGTGTGTTGACTATGGACAAATATGCTAAGGAATTCAAAAGCAAAGTTAAAGTGAAAGTTGTGTCTCTAGAGAGTGATACGGAAGTCAAAATATCCTCATCCGAAACTCCTTTTATTGCAGATCTCAAACCGGAAGACCTTTGCTACTGCCTATACACATCCGGCACTACTGGAACACCGAAGGGATGCGAGCTCACACACGAAAATGCTGTGCAGGCAATGCTTGCTTTCCAACGCATATTCAACGGTCATTGGGATTCTGAATCACGCTTCCTCCAGTTCGCATCATTTCACTTTGATGTCAGCGTTATGGAACAATATTTCAGTTGGAGCGTGGGCATGTGTGTTACTTCAGCGCCCAGAGACGTTATTTTCCAGGATCTTGCTCTCACAATAAACGAGCTTCAGATCACGCATTTAGATCTCACACCTAGTCTTGCGGCGTTGCTTCGTCCAGAAGATTGTCCTTCATTGTGTAGAGGCGTTTTTATTACGGGAGGTGAACAATTAAAACAGGAAATTTTGAATACTTGGGGAGAGACAGGAGTAATTTATAACGGGTGAGGAGGACCTTATAGCACTCCGAAGAAATACATACTAACAAAATACAAGATACGGGCCTACGGAAGTCACTATAGGATGTACAATGTACGCTAGGGTCCCAGCGAATGGGAAACCCTCCAATATCGGCACTGCATTTGATAACGTTGGTTCTTTTGTTTTCACGCCCAATACAAGTCGACCTGTTCTTAGAGGAGCAATTGGTGAGCTATGTGTTTCTGGAAAGCTGGTTGGACGTGGATATCTCAACAGGGCAGCTCTCACTGAAGAGAAATTCCCACACTTAAAGGAATTCAATACAAGGTATGAATACCCGCCTTTAATAAGAAGGTTTCCCGCTCATGTTAATAGGATATACCGGACTGGTGATTTGGTGCGCATTCTCTATGATGGTACTTTTGATTTCGCGGGACGAGCGGACGACCAGGTCAAGCTCCGTGGACAGCGCCTCGAGATTGGAGAGATCAATGAGACCCTCAAACAGGCAGACTCACGGGTCAAAGCAGTTGCCACACTGGTTCTAAAGCACCCGAAACAGCAGAAAGATCAACTCGTCTCATTTATTGTCTTGGGAACAGCCAAAGCCTCCAGTACATTAGATCCAGTAGTCCTGGATGATCCCGAACATCACCAGGTCATCCCAATTTTGGCCGATGGATGCAGGAGAAAACTACCCGTATATATGGTTCCTACACACTTCTTGCCTATATCGAAGATGCCATTGTCAGTGAACAACAAGGTCGATAACAAAAAGCTCAAAGAAATTTATAAAGACACGTCCCTCGCACTTCTTCAACAAATATCAAGGAGAGAGGAAGTTAATGAAGAAAATTGGACTGATGGCGAGGCTCGCATTCGAAAGATATTGGCCGAAATGACTGGACTTCAAACCTTGGAGATCAAGCATTCTTCGACTGTGTTTGAGCTTGGGTTAGATTCAGTTTCTGTGGTTGGATTAGCGCGCAAATTGAAGAAAGATGGATTTTTTGCATCAACCGTTTCTCTTGTCATGAAATGTAAGTCTCCATATGATTTTGTGGTTGTTACGAGTCTGACAATTTGGAACAGATCCGGGTGTGGAGCAACTGGCAGCAGAGTTGAGCAAGGGCGAAAACAATAGCTCACAAGAACTTGCAAGAACAGGATCGATCAACCAAAAACTAACAGCATTTGCCAACAAAGGTTCCTTTGAGGTGTGCGAACGCCTCGACCTTGAGCCGGATCAGATTGAGGCTATCGTTCCCTGCACAGCTCTTCAGGAAGGAATGATTCTTCGTTTCATCGATTCAGAGAAACCTCTTTACTACAATTCCTTCTCATTCTCACTTGCAAAGTCTACAGATACCAACTTACTTCATTCAGCCTGGGATGCGGTGGTAAAATCAACTGGTATCCTACGAACCTGCTTCTGCGAGACCTCGGATGGTTATGCTCAAGTCGTACTTAGGGATTCAGAAGTTGAGTGGCGAGAAATTAATGTCAAGGGTGAGGGCTTTCAGAGCGTGATAACCGACGAGATGATGGAACACGTTAGTATGAACAGGGAACTACACCAGACACCATTATACCTACTCCTTCTTCGAACACCTTCGAGAATAATCCTGGTAGTCAACATTTTCCATGCCCTTTACGACGGAAACAGTTTGCCTTTTATATTCCAGGACGTCCAGAGAGCCTATCGAAACCAACTAAAACCAAGGACTCATCATTTCCACGAGCTCGTCGGGCATATTCTATCTATAGACATGGACGGCGCAAGAACATTCTGGGGGTCTACTCTTGCGGAAGCCAAACCGTCTAATTTCCCTCAACTCATTCAATCAGCCGCAGATATTGACCACCTAGTGCAGCTCAAGCCAAAGATCGTAATGGAGGATGTTGAGAAGTGCTGCAAGAAATTGAATTGTACCCCGCAATCGATATTCCAGGCTGCTTGGGCAAACACCCTTTCACCATATCTGGGACACCAGTTTGCTTTTGGAGTCGTTGTATCTGGGCGATCACTACCAATAGACGGCGTTGAAGACACTATCGGACCAATGTTCAACACAATCCCATGTTCCTTAGATGTGAAAAATGCCTCTTCTTGGGAGAAACTAATTCAGCAAGCTCATAAATTCAATTCGGAGTCTATCACCTACCACCACACTCCTCTTCGTCTCATCAATAAGTTGATGCATGCTACTTCAGAAAAGCCACTTTTCGACACTTTGTTCGTGTACCAAAAAGACCCAGGCAGTGATGATACTACCGAGGCTCCTATTTGGAATATAATGGAAAGCTCGGCGGTAGCAGATGTAAGCCACCTTAATTTATATAAGAGGAATATGTTAACATGTTTTAGTACCCGCTTGCTTTGGAGATTGAAGAGAGTTACCTTCATGGGTTGAATTTCTCGATTGTTGCGAAAAGCTCGGTCCTCACAACTGACAAATCTCTTGGGCTACTGAGTATCCTTGAAAGAAATATCAAAGAGATCCTACAAAGTCCCCTTAGCAAACCTTCTCTGGAGAAAACGCTCGAATCCGATCTCATTATGCCAAAAGAATCCAATGATATATATACAAATGGACAAGCTGGCTTCCAATGGGGACCCAATGCAAAGATCCTTCGCTCGACGATTGCCAAACTTGCAGATATCGGTGAATCGGAAGTTGATGAAGATTCCTCTATTTTTGAATTGGGCCTCGACAGTATCGAGGCTATCAAACTCTCTTCGAGGCTACGTTCCAGCAGCATCAAGCTTTCAGTCAGTACAATTATGAGAAACCCGACTATCCGAAAAATGCACGAAGTCCTCTCACAATCGACAAAGAATAACAAAACCATTCCAAAGTCGGATCGACTTACTGAGTTTGAGCAAAGTATCCGCGAGAATCTCAAAGGGCGGACGCATACCTTGGATTTGGATCAGATCGAAGCCATTTATCCCGCTACACCGCTCCAGGAAGGCATGATCGCGGAAACACTTGCATCTGACTATAAACTTTACTTCAACCACGACGTCTTAGAGCTCGACAGTACGGTTGATATAAGGCAATTGAGGAATGCATGGGAATTAGCTTTCCAAAATAGCGAGATACTAAGGACGAGCTTCTTCAAAGTCTCTGATATATCTGTTGATTTACCATATAGCTATAGCTTTGGCCAAGCCGTTCACAAACGACCTCAGCTCAGGTGGAAGGAGGTCCTCATATCATCAAACACAAGAAAAGCCATCAAGGCCGCTATGCAACAAGCCGCGCAAAATGTCAACATGCTTCAGGAGCCCCCGCTACAGATCACTATCGTAAAGTCTCCAATGTCAAATTATTTAATTCTTTCTATGTCTCACGCATTATACGATGGATGGTCTCTGGGTCTTTTGCATGAAGACGTACAAAATGCATACCTCGATTCACCTTCATCAAGACCGTCCTGCCGTCCCCTTTTGGAAGATATCTTCAGCGTGGATCCGAAAGATTCAAACAAATTCTGGAAACAAATGCTCGCAGGTTCCTCGCCCTCAATGTTTCAAACATCTACTGAGAATTCCCCCGCTATTACCCACCGCTTTGAAAAGCCATCTGCTTTGCCATTTTGGAGGATTCAGTCTTTCTGTAAACAGATGGGAGTAACGGTTCAATCGCTTGGACAAATGTGTTGGGCACTTCTCTTGGCTCATCACCTAGGAGAACCTGATGTTCTTTTTGGTACCGTTCTTTCTGGAAGGGATATTGAGTCTGCAGACGAAATGCTTTTCCCGGCAATGAACACGGTTCCTGTGCGTGCCATTGCCCATGGAGACTATAAAGACATGCTTCGCTACATACAAGACAATTCTGCGAGAGTTCTCAAATACCAGCATACGCCTCTACGCCAAATCCAAAAGCTGGTGGATAGCCAGGGACAACGACTTTTTGATACTCTCTTTATTTACCAACGTGGCCGCGAACAAAGAGGGAGTAGCCAAAAGCCATTGTGGAGTTCAGTCGATGGAACTGCAAGCGTTGAGGTAAACTTTGTTTAATCTTTTAAAATCATCCGGAAGCTAATGGATCTAGTACAACATATGCATCGAAATGGAGCACTGTGGGGATAATCTTCTCTGGAGGAACGCCTGTAAATCTACCGTGCTGTCAGAAGCCGACTCGGAATCACTTCTCCAGACACTTGATTCACTTCTGGTGCATATCGTCAACAATACCGACCATCCAGCCATAGTACACCACAAAGAAGGGATCGAATTTGGAAATATCCCTATATGTGCTCGCCGCTCGGACAGCACTACGAGTCTCAACGGCCTACGCATCGACCTTGACGAGACAGCTAACAAAATCCGACAGGCTCAGAGCAATACAGGAGATGCGGCAGCTATTGTAGCGAGTGATAACGGAAGGCAACTGCTAGTCGTTTTCATTACTAAGGGACAATCTATTCACAATGTAGCATCATTCGCCCGTCACGAATTCCCCCACTGGTCAATGCCATCTTTCATAATTCCCATGAGCACATTACCTCATAAGGATGGTAAAATCGATCGATCGCAGCTAGAATCCCATTTCCTTTCAATGAAACCCGAGAAACGCGATGAGTTTGCCGTACAGGAAAAGAAAGGCGAATGGACATCATTGGAACTTACCTTCCGCCGTATTCTGTCAGCTGTTTCTCAACTACCAGAGTCTGAAATCGAGCGTACACAGACAATTTTTCACCTAGGCTTAGACTCAATCAGTGCCATTAGCTTCTCCTCGAAGCTTCGAGAGCAGCTAATCTTCCTCAGTGTCGCCGAGATCTTGCGTGCAGCCACGATTGAACGCATGGCAGCCGTTGCGAAAACAATGAATGATGAAGCTCCCAAGACTCCCGTGGACACGGAGAAGGCCTTGGAGCAGGCTCTAGGAGATATCAACATCAAGTCACTTCTCGGCGGAATCCCTGAAGCTAGCATAGAAAGTGTGGCGCCTGCAACCGCTGGTCAGGTTTACATGCTCTCTGCATGGAAGAACTCGAACTACACAATATTTATGCCGACATTCACCTTCAGATGCCGGAAGATTGAGCATTCTCGCATTCTCTCGGCCTGGGAGTCTCTTGTACGCCAAGAGCCCATCCTCCGTACTACTTTCCTAGCAACCGATAGCGAAGATACACCTCTTGTTCAAGTGACCTTCAGAAATCCGGCGACCCAAACTGAGTGGTATCAATCCTCGACAACAAACAACGACAGCCTCATCAATTTCTTCAAATCGCAGGAGCAGAGCAAGTCTGTCGATTTGGAGCAACCTCCTGTCCGTCTCACCACTCTCATCACGCCAGTTGACACAATAATCTTCCTGACCATTCACCATGCGTTGTACGATGGAGTCAGTCTTCCACTCCTACTTTCGAAATTCCAAGGCTTCCTCGATGACAGCGCAGAACGTCTCCCAACCCCAGAACCCGAGGCCCCACGCTTCCTAGATTTTGTGTCATTTGCACATTCGCAAGATGTCCAGCAACAGTCCCGCTTCTGGAGTAAATACCTGGATGGCGCCGTCTCCACCCCCGTTCCGCTCAAATACCCGGACTTGCAGACCACCGAGAGGACAGAGTTGTTCCGAACCAGCGTCATCGATAAGAGCAATCTCCTCGAGAGCCGCTGTCGCGCTGAGGGCGTCTCGCTCCAATCCATCTTCCTAGCAGCCTATGCCAAGGTTTACGCCTACCATCTCGATCTCAAAGATGGCCCCGTCAAGAAAAAGGAGGATGTCATATTCGGTATCTACCTCTCCAACAGGCACCTTCCCATCCCAGACCTTGCCATCATGGCGGCTCCTACCCTGAATCTTGTCCCTCTCCGCATTCGTTCGCCGAGAACAACTACGCTTGTTCAACTCGCTCGACAGGTTCAGGCGGACCTAACCGAGATCGGAAGCGCCGGTAATGGAACCGTGGGGCTATGGCAAGTGGAAAAGTGGACGGGGGTGCAGGTTGATTGCTTCTTTAACTATCTGAAGATGCCGGGCGGAGATGAGGCGGCAGGTGGTGATGGTGAGATGGGCTTTGAGGACTTGAGGGTTGACGTGAAGTCGGATCTTGGTGCTGCAAGAGCAGAATTGCCAGAGAAGGTATGGATGGATAGCGCAAAGGTAAACCCCGAATCATCTTCTTCCCCCCCTCTTGTAGCGAATGGTCTTACTGATCCGTACCATTGTTAGACACATTTGGATATCGAGGTTGCGGTCTATGGCGACAAGGTTGATATCGGGGTGTTTTCTACTGCGCAGACCCTCAACAAGGAGGATGCGAATAATACTATTGAATGGATGCGTGATATTGTGATGGGTATTTTGTAGATTTAAATTTGATATCGTGGGAATTGGAGGGCGGAGGCGGGAGGACGGCTGTTGTAAAGTTTTTGTTTTGTCTCGTTTTTGTTTTTGTTTTTTGTTTTTGTTTTTGGTGCTTTTGTTTTTTTTTGAGTTGAAAGTTTTGTTTTTGTGTTCTTGTCTTTGCCTTTGCCTTTGGTTTGCTTTATTATAGATTTTTTATTTGGCTGCCTGTTTTATCTGTTGGTGGTTCCCTGTAATAGTAGGTTAGAATAAAGGGAAGGTGCTTTTTGGGAAATCAGGTAGTTCGGCGGCCTGCAACGCGATTCGAGACCAGATGATGACCGCCGAACCCAGAATCCGGAGGCCAGGTAGCTCGGATCATGTAGGAGAGCCAAACAACGAGTGACTACTAACACGATTAAACAACAACTATGACTTTTGAAGGGAGGCCATAAAAGGTTTTAAATACACTTCAGAGACCGTAGTATGTACGCCCTTTCTCATTTTGTAGTTCAAGTACTTCTCGTCAATGGGTTTGGTGTTAAGTGCAGCTGTGGGTGTACTAGGATTCCACTGAAAGATGAATAGGTTAAAAAGATGAAGCATTGTTATATATTTCCTATGTCAAACAAACGTGAGAGGAGGCGGAAGAGAGCGGGTAGTTCAGGGGCTATTGCCATAACTGTAAGGTTGCATGCAATTAATGAATTAAACAAAAAAAAAAAAAAAGGATTCCATTGAAGAACCCTAACCCTGATGTGAGTGATAACTTGTGATGCACTAGCATTCTGGAGTGGGAGCAACATTCATTTCGCACTTGAATGTAAGTAGTGGGCATTTATTACTAAATTTATTATTGTTGCTTGAAGAATACTAAAGCGAGATATTCTAGGATTCTACTGCAAAAAAAAGTGCGAAAAAAAGTACAAAGAACGAAACCTCCTCCTAACCAGCTTGGCTCCCCTTAGCTGTGGGGCGGTCAAGCATCTCTAATCTCTAAGTAATCTTTCTATCTAACTTACCCATTCTTTACCTCAACCGTAACATACCCCCTCCCTTCCTTCCCCTCGAACTGCACCGAGCCCTCCACCTTACCATCCTTCTCGCACCTGCTCCTCAGGTCGTCGATCCCGCGCTGTAGATCGCCGCACAGGAGCTGCATGTTCTTCTTGTTTCCTCTGGCCGTCACGACGAGATTACCCTTGCGCGCCAGTACCGTTTCCGTGACGCCACCGCCCTCGACGCAGAAGTTGTTGAACTGGCCAGGGCAGAGCGCACCGGTGGTGAGGCAGAAGCCGCGGCCGTCGGCGAAAAGGTTGATGGCGCCGAGGGACCTAAGGTCCGCGATGGAGGGGGAAGAGCCGGTGGTGCGGCACTGGATAGTGGGAGCACGGGGGGTGAGGAGGTGGGGGTGCGCGGCTTGTGCGGTGGGGTGTGCGCGGGTTAGGGTGAGAAGGGTGATCGCGAAGGTAATAACGAAAAACTGCATGGTGATATATATATGCTTTGCTGTTGGTATGTTGTTTATTACCGGCTGTTGTTAATTGTGAGTTGTTTAATTTGCTGACGCTGGTGTTGTGTGGTAGTTTGGTTATGGTTTTTATAAAGGAGGAACTAGAGAGGTTGTCTCATGGGTGATCTTATAGATCTCGAAAATTGGCGTTAGTGGAATGGAGTCAATTGAATTGACAGTTTCAGCACTTTGTTGAATTACATGTATGTAGCTGCATTCTAACTATAGAAATGATATACCCTACTACATGTATCAAACGAACCGTAGCTATGTTTCGGGTCCCACTTGAATACATAGTACTTTGAAACCGCAGCTAGCCCCGAAAAAAACACAAAACTTTATAATCCATTGCTTAAAAGTATTTCCTAACAACAAAGAAGTGTGAAAGTGTTTCAAGATGACAGTTCGCAATATAGTACTCGGTACAGAGTTGGTCTTGAATGATACTTACTTTACGTCAAAATAGTACTCATAGAGCCGGTATTATCAATGAACCGTATCTACTCTTTCAAAGACTGCACTAAATCGATAAATCTGAAACAAAGAATGCGTAGTAAGTACTAATGAAAAGTCACTTTACTTCATGATGAATTCAACTGGGACTCGTTTGGGCCCTTAACTCGATTGCTACGGTTGACGATATACTACTGCAATACTACTACAAAAGGCAAAAAGAAAAATTACGAATACAAGCAGAAATAGCCCCCCTGGCCATGAGTTGGCCCTCTATGGGCCCACCACTCGCTCTCTTCTCTAGCCTAGCCAATATGCAATCCCCAACTATCTACCACCCAGTGATCTCAACCGCGACATCCCCCTGCCCCTCATTCCCGCCAAACACCACCTTCCCCGCCACCTTCCCGTCCCTGCTACATCTACCCACCAGCTCCTCGATCCCGCTGCGCAGGTCGTCGCACCGGATCTGCATGTTTTCCAGATGGCCCAGGGCCTGCACGAGCATGGCGCCGCTGCGGGCCAGCTGCACGCTTGCGACGGTGCCTCTTTTCTGGTCGCACCAGGCACTGGACTGGCCGCGGCAGAGGCGGGCGGCGGTGAGGCAGTGTTCCGGTGTGGTGGTGTCGGGGAAGGTCTTGAGGGCGCTGAGGGCGGGGAGCTGGGAGGTGGGGGGGGAGGAGGTGTGGGTGGTGCAGGTGTAGGTGTTAGCAGCGCGGGGGGTGAGGGTGCCGGTGGGGTGGGCGTGGGCGTGGGTTAGGGCGAGGAGAGAGAGGGCGTGGGTGAGGACGGGGAAATGCATTGTGGTGTGTATATGTTGTTGTTGGTGGTGGTGTTTGGTAGGGCTTGTTGTGGTTTATAGCTGTGGAACTGTTTTGCTGACGGTGTGGTAATAGTTTGGGATTGTGGTTTCGTTTAGGGGAGTAGATAGTAGTACTGTAAAGGCTGGCTGGGAAATGGTTTGTATTTATGCTTTGAAGATGGGAAGCGGGATCTTGTAAGTCATTGAATTACAGCGGGTTTCATAATTATAATGCTAGCTAGGCTTAGCACTTCAAACGTTTTCAACTCATAGAACGACTCTCGAACTCGAAAGGTAGCCTACCTTTTCGGGCAATTATTTGGCCCAGACATCCTATATAAGCAGGCTATTATTTTTAAGGTTTATGAAGAATCACACTTTGTGTGCTAGCTGCTTGAAAGCAATTTGAGCCTAGTGGTGTTATGGAACCTACTGTAACGCGCTAGTAGAACAATCTTTTGAATATACTTTCGGTTTTATATCGTCTAGAGAGTTTTGTGTTAAATTTGCAAATTCTCTATATTATAGAAGCATATCCCATCACTCGGACTCTCTCAGACATACAGTCTAGTCAATCTTTATGTAAGCAAATCGCAAATCAATACATATTAATATTTGCCTTGATGACATTATTTTAACAGTAAGATACAGTTCTGATAGGTCTCAATATAGTATCTCAAGGCATTACCTTTATTTGCAAGATACATGTAGATATGGTGCCCCCAGTCTTGAAGGTAGCCATGAGAAAAACGCCAAGACCATATTACTCCTCATGATTATTCCTAGACTTCTATCTTGACAGATTTTTAATATCTGTTGTGGTTGTAAAGTTATAAAAGCCTTGGCGTTTCCCTCTAGATATCATACCAGTAGCTTAGGCAGTATGTACTATTAAACCATAGCAACTACCACATCCGGCGATAACCTACAACTAAAATTTCCTTTTTTTAAGTAATTGACATATCCTTACTTGGATCCGGGATAGTAATATCTCGGTATCTTCCGCTCCGCTGCGATTCGTAAACCATAACCCAATTACAACTACCACCGCCCTCAACTCCGATTCGAAGACCATCCGTAAGTCTTCTATGTACCTACAGCGAGTGGCATGGTAGAGATATGGGAGGAGTCCTATTGGGTTAAGCAGTTATGTTTTTCCACAATAATTCTTATCGATCGGGAAAGCTAGATACAAGATGTACTCTATATTCGTTTTCATAACTCACATGCGGCCCTAACTGTAATCAATCCAGAATTAAACCCCGCCTACCCCTCCCTCACGATAACCCGCAGCTCGGACAGCTCGATCGACCCCGCACCAGCCAGATTGGACGATCAACAACTCCGGCCCCCGGGCAAGGTCAATGATTTATCATGCTAGTCAAATCCAGATTGGACGGTCAAACAGACCACACAGCCAGAGGCCAATGCTTGATCGTCCTGGTGATCATGAAGTTTCTTCTTCGAACGTAGGTAGGCAGGCAACGTACGCAGGCTGCAAAGTGCAGATTTCCATCTTAGCTGCCTTAGCTTGACCGACGCCACATCTTTCGGCAGTTTGGTACTCCAGAAATAGCGCTACGAGAGCATTGGAGGCAAAACTGTGGCCAGTTAGAAACACATTCACATGCCCCCGGCACTTTTGGGGGGAAACTTGCCCCTCGAGTAACTACATTGAGTAGACACTTGCTACGTAGGCATAGACAAAGCAAAGCCATGATGATGGCGTATGTTTCCCCCCCCCCCCCCCCCCTTGCACTCTCTCTAGCTAGAGCAGAGTACAGGTGCAATTGCACGCACGTTTCAAGATGTCACGCTAGCACTGTCCAGAGAAATGCTCGGTTTTTCACACTTGTCGTCACTACACGTGCACTTCTTAGTGTAAGTTTGTGGATATACGACTCATCCTAGATAATGACATCAAAACCAGAATCATTTACGATATTGTATGAAACAAGCTATTAAACACGGTAGTCAGGATTTAGGGTCTCGGTACTAGGTTTTGATCCAAAGTTTCCCACGAGCTAATTGACGTACCGAGAAGGAGATTCCCGTGAGTAATATAGTGAATACGCTACGCCCCTCCCCCGGCCGCAGGGTACGGAAGATACCTGCCAATGACCAGTCACCCTAAAACTGTCACTACGGTGGATCAACTCGAATCATAAACACTCCAGCCTCAACCACTGAAATGTTCACCCCTGTCCGAGACTTATATCTCATTCACTCAATATCAAACAGTTTCAGTTCACCATAAATCACTCGCCCAGTACTTAGCCACTTCCCTGGTATCCCTAACCCATCTCCAGATCAATACCCGGCTCATCCAAGAAACAAAAAAAAAAAAGCTTCTATATCGCATTGCCACCTGACACCGGCACAACTACAACTACGCCTACATACACCCATTGCTAAATACCACCACTAATACAACCCCCTCTGGGTAATCATCCACACCGTGCTCAAACTACTCACACAGATCGGCCCCGCCAGCCCCGCGCCCCACGAGGCAGTCCCAAAGATCAACCACTCGCTCAAAAAGTGCCATCCGGCAATGATGTAACTCCAGATGGCGAGGTCGTAGACGACTGGGTTTGTGATATTATACGCCGCGTACAGGCGCAGCACCGAGGCCATGAAGGTCCATGTACCGAATGTGCGGGACGACAGCCAGTTGACTTTTTTTATTTCGTCAGTAAACGGAGAAGATTGTAGGGGGGAGGAGCCCGCGGGGGGGGGGGGGGGGGTTAGTTAGTTACCTTGATCAGGGCGTCCAGAGTAGACGCGTTTGGTGAAGTGCAGGGTCATGTATGTCTGCACCGAGTTACCGACCGCGATGACGGACACCTGTTCGTTCAATTCAGCACAAGTCTCTTCTGCTGGTGATTTCGGCGGGGGTGGACAAAACGTACGAGGAACATCCATTTAGGGAGCCAACCCTCGTCCTGGGGAAGATAGCTGAGGACTTGTGAAATCAGTTCAGACATTGTGATGTTTGTGGTGTTTGTTTCGATGTTTGTTTGGCGGATGTATGGATTGTGGTATGGGCAGGCAAAGTATGTATCTTGACAAAAGCTACGTGGACTTACTGTAGTTGGTGCGGTTTATGGTGTGGTTGACCAAAGAGCCTCTAGCACTCCCTGTCCAGTGAACTGCGACCTCCCCTGAACCATAATGATCGTCGGGTTAGGGCTGTTTTTTTTTAAATCATCACCTTTCAGGCAACTACATTCGACGCATACATACCCCAGCAGGCATTAATAATGGGCTTAGATGAAACCGCCAAAAAAGAGTTCCTGAATCCCGTCATTTGAAAAGAAATAGGTGTTAAATTTGCGACCCCGATGGGACTCGAACCCACAGTCTTTGCCAGGCGACCAGAAACCGGAAAGCAATGCGTTAGCCATTACGCTACGGAGCCATGATGAAACATACACAAAAAACCTCTATCAATGAAATTACTTAGCGTTGCTGCCTACAGGCTAGTGTACTCTTTGCCCCAGCCAACGAGAACCCTGTGCAGCACAGCAGCAGAAACAAAGCCAACTGGAATCTCGTATGTAAGCAGCCTTGCCTGTAATTACCAGAACGTAGGGTCATAATTTCTAAGGGGTTCGGACTTTAACCGAAACGCTTTTCATGATTACATTGACGCCGCAAATTCAGTACGTTATAAGGGAATCTTGCTGTGTTTATCTTATCAGATTCTCGGTATTTATGGTTGACCCCCGGTACATGTAGGCATGCGATTTACATACATTTGTATACAAAGACTAGGGGCCCGTGACGAACTCGGGAGTTTCAAACTGAGTTACTAACAGACAGTTTTAAGCTGGTTAAAAACTGGCTTGAGGAAAGCTGGGTGTTATGGTTATGAACTAATCACTGGTGTAAACCGAATTTTTGTATGTGTTAAGGTGATTCGAGGTGTAAAATCAGATTAGAAAATGAAATTTAGGGTAGATTAGGGTAATCTTGGGGTAAATTTAGAGTAGAAATCAAGGTTAGTTCATGACATCTGACAGTTAAAAACTGCTGTTTATGACAGGCTGAGTTCGTGACGCTGTTTTTGACTCGAGCTCTGAGTTCGTTACGGGGCACTAACAAAGACATTAATTAGTAGGATGATAACAGCCAGAAAACAAGGCTCCAACTCATGAGATATCTGCAGTCATGGTCTCTGAGACCTTGGGTAGGACAGACGAAGCTTTATAGCCGTTCAAATCGAAATTTCAACGGACGAAACAGCTTAGAAGGGGAGTCTCTGCAATATCACTCCTCCCCCCCCCCCCCCGGGGCCCCTTGATACCATACATGTAGCTGAGCTCTGAAACTACTGATAATGTGTAGAAAACAAAGCCTTAGTGTTATTAAATGGTCGTAAAACATAAATTCAAATAGTGGTAAGGTTGTAGTAAGAAAGGTCTAAAACAATGTATCCCCCTGGTCATGCAAACGATAGTAAAAAAACGCCACCAACAAAGTAAAAGAAGGTCAATACCCTCATCAAAACAACAATTACTCCAAACGCTTTGAAAATGTGAAAGAAAAAAAATTACAAAAACGCTGTACTGCTCATGTAGATGCAGGAGGCGCCTCTGGTTTTCGCCCTCGTACAACGACCCTGTTCCGATCGTTAGTTACCACGTACTCATATACTCGGGAGATCAAGACTTACAGCCAAAAATATATCCTCAGTTTCCTATTCATCCCATCTCTTTTTGCGCCTTCTATCAACTCCCGTACCTTCTCAACTTCCATTCCCAAAACCCTTGTGAAGAGCGCCAAAGAATATCCCTCTAGGCCTTCCATAAAATTGATCATATTATACCTCCCAACCTCCTTTCCCCTGCTATCTCTTTCCCACGGACCTAAGGGTATCCGGAAGCGCGTTTCCTGAACATCCACGAATCCTGCTTCCTCCATCTGTGACTTGAATGACTCGTCGGAGAACGCACGTCCAGCATTCAGTGACGCCAATTTCAGAAGGGAGAGCACTCGGAAGATTGGGAGGTCTGAGGGAGGTGGGGTGGCAGTGTCGGTAAAGGGGTTGGCCGGTGTCTCCTGTAGTTCAAGCCAACCACCCGGGCGGATATGGCTGCAGTCTATGTTAGTATCTAAAATCAAATAGCTAGTAACGGTAGTGCGTACTCATATGCTTGCTGAAAAAATCTCGGCCAATTCGTTATTCCTCCGAGTAGCTGTCTAGTATGGATGAAGTCAAAATTGTTGGTAGGGTATAACCAATCCGACTCTGCGTCTTCAACATCGAAGCTGCAATTTGGGGGCGGTGAGACTTGGATTGGTGACAGGTCGTTCCCGATAACTCTAGCATTTGGGTACTTGCTAAAAATCGCACCGCATATATTAGCACCCCTACCATACTACCCAACCCCTCTAAGACATAAGAAGTTAACTCACAATGCCATCTCAATTGCCCAAATACCTGTTCCCGTACCCACATCTAAGATCCTCCTCGGTTCCTTCAACGGTGAAAGATGGAGCTCATTGTCTAGTAGTAAGTACATCATCTGGTGAACCACATCCATTCGGTCTTGTTCCTGCTGGTCATTGGGTACCAAATAGTGGCCATCACGGTAGGCATGATATCGACGGTTGTGCTCGAAGCGGTAATTGCTTGCTGAGGACGCGCCTGAGCGCGCAGCTGAGGTGCGAGAAGAGGACGTGGAGGGAGTGAAGAAGGAGTCTCTAGTACTGAGGATTGACGACTGCGGGATAATTAGCAACGAACCTTTGGTTCTAAAAGAATGATTAGGTAACGTACACCGCCGTCGTAGTCCGCTTTGTTGGAGTATTCCTCTCTACCTTCGCGATAAGTCTGTGGTGAAGCTACCATTTCTGCTATTTTGCGATGTGTATATATGTGAGTATCGTTAATGCTTTATAGGTGTTGTTCAAATCTTCTCCTAGGTCGGTCGAGTGAAGGGGATAATATATAGCACGAGCTCTAGTAGAGTTTGAATAGAGGTAGCACGGCAGCGGTATCTTTGATTAATTTTACTGGGTTGTAGGCTGTCTGATATGTAGGGATAAAAATATGTACCGCCCAGAGAAATTCCGACAGAGTGGGTGAGGTAAAGTAGATTTGCGCTGGCTTCCTTTCCGAGGGAGTGGAACCTTGGCTCCCCTTTATCCCCAACAAACCCACACGCTCGAACCCCCTTCACCCCCCCCCCCCTACATTCTTCACTCACAATAGAGCATGCGTATTTGTGACAGCTTCGTGCTTTTGGTTTTTCCCGAATTGCCTGGGTGTATGGTGGATCGTGGGAAGAGGGGCGCATTATGCGAAACAGAAGTATGATAAAAAATATTTTCCACTTGGCCGATTTACCGCTAGAAATTCTCATATATGATCGTGTCGAGAGACGTTGTTACGATTGCCAGCAGACAAGGAACCAGGTACAGTAAGTGTACATATGTACACATCTGTTCCGATGATTTGGTTCCAGTGAACCGCCAATGTGGAAGAAGCCCGTGCGTAGAACATGGGTGTCCGAGGGGGGAGATGGTGAATGCGTCCTGCACACAAGTATGTATATGCGTTTAATGGAAGGCAAAAGAGAAGAAACGCGGGCAGCGGGCCGTCAAATGATGAAATAAATCATTTTTCCTTTGATTTGCCACAGTTTGAACCAGAGGTGCCGCGCATACTTCTTTCCAAGAATTCAGAGCTATATCCGCCGATAAGTGGAACATCACTGCATCACATTACATATTGTCACACCACTCCACCTTAGAGGGTATACTCTGGGTACCTACATCTTATGTACCCCATGGCCCAAAAAACCACCCCGAAACTCCCTGCAGGTCTCAAAAACTCCGCACCCGTAATAATCCTCCTTTTTTTTTCATGCATGAAAATAATAATAAGACCTATTATTGCAGGATCGAGTGATCGGTGTAACCTAAAGCAGTGGGAAGGTCGTTGCGGTTGTTGGAAGTGTCGAGTGACTTTCTATGTATTGGCGTCGTCAGGGGTTGGTTGGTAGGGCAAGTTTAAACTGTTTATGGGGAGGTTGGCGTCGGTTATCGGTTACACAGGGCCAAGGCCCAAGGGTTGTACCCACACGTACTCTACTAAGCCAGGAAGTTCGAAACAATAGTAAGACTCTGGATATCTACATGACATCAATAGAAGGAACCACCAGCCCTACTACCTAGTGAGTCCGATTACCTATGGCCATCTCCTCGGGACACCCGTTTTCTTTCTTTTCTCTTCCGCACTAGCCTCTCCTTGCATCATGACTGGAACCGCACTTTATGAAAGGATGAGCGTGATCGGGTTATGATCGTGGGTGAAGCGGACTTGCTTCTGCATCACAAGCTCCGCTCTTTGTTTCTTGACTGGAACTCGGATCAAAGTGGCAGCCAGTAGTGAATGTCCACGACGTGCGGCCGAGCGGGGAAATGAAAGGTCGAATTCACGAGTATCAAGACTAACAAGCCAGCACTTGATAACAGGGAGGGGGTGGTAACTGTCTTTTTCCCGAATACTTCTTAACTAGAAAGTTTTTTCCCAGAGAAGTGAAGTCGGTCATGAAAAAAAGAGCTCTTTGTACTAACCCTAACCCTAAGGACACACTCGTCACATGGTCGACATGCAACGAATGGAACGAGCATGATGGTGACCAATTGGGAGACTGGATGTGCAAGGTTTATTTTTTGGGTGTATCGATAATAATCTAAAGCTACACCGTTTCTCCCAGAAATTGGATATTTTTAAATTGAGAACGACACTCAGAGCCAGCTGCTAAAAGAAGACTTTGTTGCTTTTATTAACACAGTTATACGCTGGAAATGTCCTTGAGATGTGAGTAGTTTTGAATTAATAAATATTGTTTCGGCTGAAATCGGATGACGTTTACCTGCTTCAGCCCAAGTCGAGTAATTTCAATCCGTACACTTAGTACTTACGTTCATGATCATGCGCCTATGCGTGTATTTTGAGCCAAAACTAAACCCCATTAATTTTGGGAGGCAGTGAATTGTATTCTCCGTAAGATGTAATGTTTCAAGTTCAAGCATCCCATGACAAAGATAAGACCAGTTCCCGCTCTCCTTTGAAACTGCTTGTCTCGTCGAAAAACTACTACAATCAAAGTGTCTAGAAATCAGGGTGGATATTGAATTTGTAATTTTAAAGCATTTAGCAGATCGATGACTGAGCTCGAGTGTTATTCCACTGATAGGAGGATGGACTTTCCGGTGTCCTATCCACCTCTGATCTAATTATTTGCACATCCTAGTTTTTTTTTTTTTTTTTTTAATTCATTAATTGCATTTGCACATTGTAGTAAATATACGTATTTTGATTCTAGGCATGCGTACATGGTACCTTCACCGTGAACACTATGTTTTATATTCTATGCGTTTCTTTGAATTCACGTGCTCCATGCGCTCTCAAAGCTTCGATTTCAAAGAAGATTACATCATATAGATGCTGTGCCCTAGTGCTATGTCCTAATTAAATCTGTCTTCAAGTGGCGGCGGCCTGTCGACGTCTGAAATTGAAACAGTTAACCTTTACAAGGCTATGATCATATATATATGAGCTCAATCAGCGCCCGGGCCTACAGAATACCATCCTTTTATTATGGGTTGTCAAAATTATCCGGACGTTCGCGTCGCAACTAAACAGATTAGCTAGAATGACCGATTTTTGAAACCACTTCAATTGACTTCATATTGAAGTTTAAGATAATAGAGGTATAAGAAATCACAGAAATCAAATCTCTTGTACTCTTTCCTTGTGGTTGTGGAAAAAGGCGACATTGAAATTGAAAATTTGGTTGCAACAATGTTCGGATAATTTTGTCAACCCGCAATACTATCTTTTCTCAGTATCATTTTACCGTATCCGCGAATATAAAGGCCGATTGATGGCTTATCTAATTAAGGCTACTTCGTTAAGTAGTACACACTAGAGTTAAAAACGGACTCTTAAGCTATAGGCTCTTTCTTAGCGAGTATGAAAGGTATTACACCCCCCCTCATCCCCTCCTTCATCTCCTTTTTAATTAGATGTCCTCTTTTCCCAAATAGATCTCTAAATCATGAATCGACATATGGTCTCCTCCTTCACCGGACGGGATTCTTAAACCAGAATCCACTGCATTGATTAGCGGCCCGCAACCTTATGTAATCTTTACAGCAAGTTTCATAATACTAGGCCCAGAAAGTGTTCTCAACACATAGTACAATTCTCGAAAGATAGCCTATATAGGCTATCTGGGCAGTTGAAATTACCTGTTCGGGAGAATATCGGGCTCGGGCTTCCTAAGTAGGCTATTATTTAAAAGTGGTTTGAGCCTAGTATTATGGAACTTGCTGTAATACATCGATTCATGTATAAAAGGGGTATATACAGCTTACCCTCAAAAGAACCAGAAAATGCAAGTAACGGAAACAGGGATTATTTGTATGAGAGAACGACACCACTCCATACAAATTATCCTTGCCTGAGCAACTGCATTTTCTGGTTCTTACGCTGATAAGCGTGTATACCGGTAGCATGCATGCAATCTAGCTTGCTAGACATTACAGGCTCAAATTACTTTCACACACATATAGTGTGATCCTTCAAACCTTAAAATAATGGCCTATTTAGGAAGCCCGAGCCCGATATCCTCCCGAAGAGGCACTTTCAACTGCCCAGATAGCCTATATAGGCTATCTTTCGAGAATTGTACAATGAGTTGAGAACACTTTCTGGGCCTAGTATTATGAAACTTGCTGTAATAGGATGTGCGACGTCGTCGCGACACAGTACTAGTATTTCGCTGACGTTTTTGAACTGGGCCATTATTGCATACACCCAAAATCATGAGCTTGGCGTATTTTTGTATGGCATGCAATATCAGTCGCGTCCACAAACGTCAGAGAAATACGAGTACGCGTACGTACGTACTGGTACAGCTACACTAGTATTACCCCTCTCATGATATTATATGGTTACCCGCTTCACTCCCTCCACTTCACCTCACCCAGCTCAATTGCAACTTACTCTATCTCTCTTCACTTCACCCCACACTTAGGTCATCACCAAGTTTACAAGCAGCCTAGATTGATAATACCATTCTTTACATATTATCATTTTCAGTGGTTGGGATTAACCGTCTCGCTGACTGGCTGAAAAAGATGGGATAAGCCACCCCCGGGCCGCGGGGCTGACAGGTACCGGTAGGATATCGTAGGTTTGCAAGGTTGAGGAAGGCATGGCTCTAAACTATGAAAACCCAAAGGATGCTAATGAAGAGTACAGTAGATACTAAACATGGCTAGGTAGCTCATGAATGCGAAATTAAGTCCTATCCCATCAACCGTAGCAACCGAGTTAAGGACCCGATTGGGTCCCACTTGAAATAAAGTGACCTTGCTTAAATTCACAGCAACACCAGCTTCGTGAGTACTATATTAGGAGCTCTTATTGGGATCGCTTGATAAGCTTTCCCGCTTCTTTGTTATTAGTGAACAGGGCTAGATTATATCGTTTTTGTGTTTTTATCGAGGTTAGAGTTGCAAAGTACCCAATTGGAACCTCAGGCTTCTACGGTTCATGGGATAACGGCACACCTCTTTTTTTTTTTGCCGGCATATCCTTGTTTTGCTGATTGCCCGAATAATGAGGTACATCCGCTCGGGCATCGCTAACAGTGACTCCCAACAACTGCGGGAACAACAGTATCCTTCGACCACCCGACATTGAATAGAGAATCTTTCCCTGCTCAAACTACCACTCTACTCCTCCAGAAGCCCCTTCGACTTTACAGCAGCGCAATGGAGCCTTTATTTACCGTATGAGCGGGTGTATAGCAATCCTTTTTCTTGCTTCTTCTTCTACCTTTATATATCTCCTGGTATATATATAGTCATACAGACTATTAATGAAGTAACAAACAAACAATAGTTATACAGACTTTGATGTGAATAATCACAGATTATCACTCGGTATGTCTATTCAATACCGTTTCCACTTTAAAATCTCTAGGTTGATAGGACGAGAGTGAGGCATTGAATATAGCTGCTTTTCAACCTAGTGTTAGGCTGGAGACCAGCCATCGAACGCTATTTTATTCTCTCACCCAAAGTTTGCTGTTTCAGGTCAAGGGGACTAGAGAGTGCTATACAGAAGCTCAAGGTCTTTGGTAATAACAGATATCTAGAATGATTAAGGAGTAGAGTTTAAAAATTTAATCCGAGCCTACCAATATCTGGATTACACAGGTACTATATGCAGCTTCTGTAGCCCGCGTTCTCCACATTACTAAGACAAACATTTTAATACAAGATCCCTCGATCTTTGCCTCGAGGTGTCTTAAGATATGAGGGACATATACCGCAGTAATTCCTCTCAGCGGACACTCACATTGACGTTGGAATTACTTGTTCTAGTCATTTGTCTTGCAAACGCCGTCCTAACCTTCCCTCATCCGCGCTGTAAAAGGCAACTTTGACGTCTGTGTAACCGTCCGCTGAGACGAATTACTACGGTACCAGATTTAGACGATATCACACGAGAGGACTTCATAAAGATCCGTGTTAATCCAACACACCCACGCTCATTTGCCTTAGCTCGTGACCTACATTTGCTGGCAATTCATGAACTATTTTGTTGGCGTTGGAAACTGGCTTTTCCAATCATTGAAGATTACATCCAAATCAAAATCAGCTAACTGCCGAGGATTACAAGTAGTAAACCGGATAAAAACGTGTATACATGATCAAAACTAGCCGGCTTACCCTTTAAGCCGCTAAAATGACAAGCAACTAGGGGCTACAGGATTTCTTTTACGGGTACCACAATTTCATTGGTATGATTGATCCAGGGATTTTAGTTTACCTGTCGTCTAAGAATAACTATGCTGCACTTAGTGCTAAGAGGTCGTCATACATTCCTCAATAGGAGCCAGTAGTAAATTACCTTTATGTTTCCAACCGGTTTGCTGGAACCGTTGGCTCGATAGGGGGTCGGTGCAATCTTGACCGTTGACAGATCAATTCTAACTTTCTCGGTTGGTTTAGCCATTCTTGACAACCGTCCATGCGATAAATTATTGACTAGCTGGACTCAGTGATTCCAAGGGTCCAAATTGATTCCGATCTTGGCCAAAGCCGAACCAACTGGGCGCTAAAAGCCTAAAAATAAATTTCCCACTCACGAAGTAAGCTGGAGTATCCAACGGTCTATCTTCCTTGAAGCCTAATTTGATCGGCTTCTAACTCAAATCGCGAGTGCAGAGTTCACATCAAGCTCACCTAAGCTAGCTTAACAAACTGGGTATAATGAGCCGTGAGACGGGATGAGTAGAAAGAAAAGGATTTTAAATATCTCTAACTCGGCGAGAGTCCTAGACTATTAAACTACTGTAATATGCTAGTTGAGATTTAATCCACACCATATATCACTCGGTATCCCTAGGCTTGGCGCTAGGTGGAGGTAGTTAGTGGTTTCTAACTTGGCCAAATCTACAGATCTCCAGATGAAACTGACTTACACTGGCCTGTCCTGAACACTTATTACTGGAAGAAAAAGAATATCAGTAAAAAAAAAAAGAAAAAGGTATGTAATAAGCTGGGGTCTACCTACTTGCCTGGCTGTTTGCACAAGCTCGGCGCATCTGGCCATAAGATCTAGCACTCTACTTTCTGAAGCCGTATAATATCTTCGGAGGTTTGTGGACCACTTTTATCCTTCTGGTAGGAGGTGTTTCAATATTGCGCACTTGTGATTATAAATCGATGATTATACATATGGATGATGTTTAATTCTACTGAGAAAATGGTTTTAGTAATTGGCCATGCCATACGTATACGCATGTACGTACTAGACACTCCTTGAAGACTCGAATTAGTGGGCGGATGTGTCTCACCTTAGGCATACAATTTCATTTTCATTACAACTGCTTTATCGTTTAAGTATTGCCTACTATCTGAGTCACTGTTTCGCACTTATAACATCTTTGAGGTATTAACTATTATGTAGAGTACGCACACACCTAGCGGAATTCAAATTCTAAACACACTTACTGACGTGCTAGCTTGGTGGCTGGCGCCCATGATCAGACCCGCATGGAAAAAGTCTCACTCGCGATTTAGGTACTTATACGTACCTATCTCCTCTGCCAAAGGAAGGGAAAGGCGTTATCTCAAGTCTAGTTATCAATCCCGAGGGAAGCATTACGGATAAAATACCGTGTTCTCCGGCGCTTGCGTGGGGGTAATAATAAGCGTGAACGTGGGGGTAACACACGTACGATCTCAATAAATCTGGGGATGGCACTAGGGAATAAACGCACGTAGCGAAGGAACCTAACCTATGGAACCCTATGGAACATCGGATGAACCAGTGTTCGTGGGGTAACCATTGTTTTTTATTGGCAAGGAGATCCCGGGGGCGCCAGGTTTGGGTGGTTCCTATGCACCCCGCTGGGCTGCCTGCCACATGCAGAATTTAATTCTGCATAGGGATGGTGTCAGTACTAGATAGAATGCTCTAATTATTGATAGCGGATTATGAATTCAATCTAGTTTCTCAAACTAACAATCCTGGGTCTCTGAGATAGGTTGATATGGCGTGCCTTTATCCTCTTCCGCAACATGTGAAGCAATTAAGGAAAGCCTCAGATGGATATTATCCGGGGCTGAAGGATGGGTACTCGCGGCTAACCAAAAAAAGACTTGCTTCGGTGGTGAGGAACCCCGTACTTTGCACATATGCCCCCGGTACATGTCACCAGATTCGCAGGCTGATCTTCACGCCCTTATCCTCGCCAGCCCCTGCATCATATCACACAATCAATGTGCTGTCGACTAAGGTGATGTCGGGCGATCGATCTTACCGAATCAAGCGTTAAACCAAGCATGGACGGGCTCTGACACCTTGGCGGTTAACTGGTGTCTGGTCAACGGTAAGTTTGGAAAAGAAGTCGTTCTACATCTTCCAACCAAACTTATCAGTGGGTTAAGTTAGAATCGTTTAGAGGTTCTTGAAGAACATAGTAGTACAGTCGTGCACGCTTTAAGTTGCTTACTTGTGGGTGATGCAGGTACGTGCTCGAGCGTTTAATCAAGATGGTTGTTAGAGCTCGATATATCGTGGCTGTCTGACATCCCCACGATGTTCCCGCAATTCACTTTGTAGTGCTCCCCACAGTTTCATCGTGGGTTCTTTCAAGGCAACATTCTAGAGTTTTCTTCGCAGGATTACTTTGAGTGCTCCGTAGTACGTACACGGCAAGCACGAGACATTCACCACCCATATGCATAGTTAAACCTTATATAATTATATAAGATCAAAATAAGGCTACTTATACAATTTCGATCTTAGGGTTGATCGACCAATCTAATTAAACGGTATATTCAGATGTCAATGACTGGTTGGCTGGTTGAATACATGTAGGTAGAGTACATGTACCTACTCTACATGTACATATGTACATACACTGTCTCGTCCCTGACCGATCCATATAACTTGGCATAGCCATACGAACCCGCAACTTCACAAATAAGTGTAGAGTAGGTAGGCAACTTTGCATTGGATAATTTTCTTTCAAGCAGCCCTGCCTATAGCATCAATAATAATACATGTATTTGGTTGCTGAGACGTGGTTACTAGAGTATTTATCTGTGCCATGCGATATGCCATCATCGCCGAAAAAGAAAGACAAAAAAAAAAATCCTAGCAAGCAAAGCGAAAAGAAAAGAAAAGAGAGACTGAAAAAAAAAGAGAAAGAAAAAAACGCCGAGTTGTCAATCCACGATCGATTAATCTGGAAAGACTAGCCAGATGAAGGTCGTCACTCGGAGATGAGCTCGTCAGCCCACATCGGCCACACAAAACAAACCACATATCCCACCTCCCCAATGACGACACAGGACCGGGGGGACGAAACACCATGCAAGGACTCATTTCAATTGGAAGTAAAACGAGATGTCTTTTGGATTGACAACGGATTTGATCACACACATAAATATCATCCCTACTACAAAATAAGAAGAAAAAAAAGGAACACCAGCCAGCCCATGAAGTAAGAAAGAAAGAGAAGAAAAAAGTGATTGAGCGTGGGTCAAGAGAAAAGAAAAGAATACGAAACGAACGCTAGCATACACACAGTGACTGATGCACTGCTCCATCAAAGTACAAAGTTTTTTGGTATCATTTTACTCCCAACAAACCAAAGAAATAGGTATATGAAACCAGGTGCGAAACGATAGACCGTAAAAAGGAACCTCATCAAAAATAAAAACCCACATGCGCGGAAGGGATTACGCCGGAAAAAAAACTAACCAAAATACCACGTAAATGAGTTCGGAATATGTCAAGTAATAAGACGATGAGTAGTAAAGATGCAAGCCCCCCTCCCACACACCCAACGAAAGTAAAATAAAAGAAAATAGAATAAACGAAAGGGACAATGTTAAGTATATATACCGATATATGATAATAATATAAACGCTGAAATGGGGATAGGAGTGTGCGAGTGGAAATAAGTTAAGAATAAAGCAGATTGTTCCTCCCAAACCAGACAAAAGAAAAGAGCACAAATTCCACCCAAATAATCCATCCAAACAAAGGAAAAATGATGATTTGAAATAATTGAAGACATAAAAAGAAACATATGAAATTCACTTCTGTGGGACTTCTCCAATCAAAATCCCGATACACTGCTGTAGCAATCGCGACGCCTCGTCCAATAGTTCCCAGCCCGAATTATGGAACATCTCTTGCAAAGTCATAACTAGTCCCAAAGTAGCATTCTTGTCACGAATTTCTGTCAACCCTTCTGGCGAAGGTACAGTTGCTACCCTGTTCAGATATGCCCTCATATCTGCATATTTCTCTTGGCTGGTTGTCGGAAGTCGAATGGGCCCCTTGAGGACGCCTTCTAGCGCAAATCCATAGGACCAAACGACTAAACAAGCGTAGTAAAGAACCCAAGGTCGGTTGAGAAGGTGGTCATCTCGAGCGTTGTATATCGGCACCCCTGTAGTTGCGGCCATTCTCTTTATCGATCCCGGCGTCCCTGGATGCTCATTGTCGAATGACATGTCTAATCGCTCTTCTGGCAGCATTACCTGACTCAAGAATCGAAGGGCGTAAAATGTGGCATCTCTTGCCCTCGCACTAGGGGCCCAGGTTTCCATCCGCTTACGAGCCATGCCAGCATCGTTTGGTGTTATAGTTCGACCCAACAAACGTTTCGCACCACCGTAGATCTGAAGGTCCACTATATCGATGTGCATTGACATGTGGGCTAAGTGGTGCAAAACAGTTCGACTTTCGAAGATATTTTCATGCTCTATATCCTCAGTTGAGGGAATAAAATAATCCATACCCTCAAAAGTTGTCCGAATGCCAGCCAAAGCAGCATCAAAATCCTTTCTCCAGTGATCAAAAGACCTGGTTAGTGCTTGGCGCCATTTAACTTGTCCGCCTAACTGCGTTGCAACGCCGAGGGACGTCACTTGAAGATCTCGTTGATGCATGTGCCAGCTTACGCTGAGCAAACCAGCCATGAGGATTGTTCGCCCGAAAGAGTTTGTTCGTACATTCTGCCCGTTCAGAGTCTTCTTCAGTCCATCGAGGAAGGTTGTTTGCTTGACTCCTGCTTGGTTCAGAGACTGCTCGATTTTGCACACTTCGCTGAAACTTGTTGCAGCCCATAGGGTCTCGTCACAAGGTAACTGTAATCGCATTTCATGTGCAACCATGACTGCAGAGTGGCCGAACATTGTCGCGTGGGTCGAGTCTAGAACGAAGGCTGCAAAGGCCGCTCGCCTTGTTGCCTCGCTAACAATCCACCGGTTCCAGTTTTCGTCTTGGGTATTTGTTCCGGAAATTTGACCAGAAAATATTACACTGCCGCTTTCACTGTTGGACTTCACATCACGACCGCTTTGTGGGGAATCGTAGGCACACCTTCCAGTCAACGAAGATCCTCGTCTCATCAGAGTGAGTGTAGTAGCATGGTGAATATGCGCACGCTCATGAAGCTGCCTACTCGAAAACATCTTTTCAAAGGTCTCCAAAAGAAGTAAAGCCTGAAATACCCAAAGTTTTGCTGGAGGCCGAAAATCCTGATCGGCAAATATTGACCATCGGACACCATCCGCCAGTTTTGCCGCTAGCGTACATGCTGCTTCTGCTATTGTAGGATCCCTTTTGTACTCCATCATGGAAGCTCCAATGGCGATTATTGTGATAAGTAGATAGTTCTGCGTCTTGTCGGCAGAGAACGTTGGCCGGTGAAGGATAGGTAGCTGGGGGTGAAAATGAGTCCAGTAATCCGAGATATACGACTGCATCATGCATAAGCTCAAGAGGTTTTCATCCAGGTCATCAGCACTAATCCATTGCTCAACTATGTCTACCAGCTCTAGCCTTCTGTGCTCTGACAGAAGAGATTCCTGAGGCGGGCTTGGAGGCGCGATAAGACTGGTGACGGACATTGGATGTTGTGGCAAAGGAGAAGGATAAAAACCTCCGCCGCTGAAGTCGTGGTTCGCCATATAGTAACCTTGGGGAGACATGGCATTCAGATTCTCTACATAGCTACCGGGTATTGAAGCTTGCCTCTGCGAGTTAATTCCCATTGAAGGATCATCGAAGAACCAAGACGCGAAGTCGTTAGCCATCCAGTTTGGGGATCGAGTATACCCATCTCCGCCAAACATCGGGATGGTATACTGTATCATATCAAAGTCCGGCGCGGAGGTTGTAGCAGCTCCAGTAGGCCCTTGTTGGTCTCCAGGTGACGAGCTAGTAGGTGGTGAGGTTATGTATCCAGTATGCCCATTATTCGGCGCATTACTCTGACTTAGGTTTGGGTAAGCTGGTTGAGGGAGAGAGAATGTTGCGAATGCAGTCGAAGGAACAAACGTCCCTGGACTCGAAGCTGCGCCTGAGGCCATTGGCATAGATACGCCGGCAGTAGCTGGGTGCCCAGAATAAGGGTTTCCCGAAGATGAAGATGTTGCGGAAAAAGGCGACTGTAAGGATAGACCATTCATGTTGGGTGTTCCAGCCATGGTTTGAATAGTCGGTCTATTGGCCTGAGAAACCTGTTGATTCTGATGATTCATACCAGCATACATTTGGTTACCGTTCATTTGCGAGGCTTCAGAAATCGATTGTGACCTTGAATCCATGCTAAACCTTCTTCCCGCATCAATACTTCCATTTGACATGCGCTGACCTGGGTGCGAGTGATCGGCCGAGATCTTGCGAATTTTGGACCGATTTTCAGCTGCAGGTGTCGAAACACTTGAAGAGCCAGGCAATGTTGCCGACGACGTTTCAGGGGAAGCGGTCATATCCATAGGCCCTCTAGAATGTATCCCATTCGGTGTCATGATCGGTGAATCTTCGGCCTTCATCGAAATGCTGGGGGTGGTTGGAGACTCGGGTGAGGATGACCCTTGGGTCATGGAAGTCATCGAATTTTTCCGATCCTGAAGAATATTCCTTGCAGCTGCACCAACGGGGTTGTTCAGGAAGCTGTCCTTCCTCTGGAGTTGAGAGCCCCGGTTTGTATGCCGATCACGATGCCGTGTACAGAGGTCCTGCCGAACGAATGACCGCTTGCAATCGGGGAAATCGCAAAAGTATATCTGCTTGGGTTGATCTAAAGCCCACCAACCGTCAGCACCCATTCTACTACCCATCCTAAAACCTGATTCACTTTAATTAACACCTAGAGGACTGTCCCAGTAGAAGTCCAAAAAGTCCGGAAAAGAAATAAATCAAAAAATCATATGCAGCCCCGCACCATTCCCCATCTCTTCGATATCTTATACGGGTATCCAAACGGCTGCTCACCCAAAGGATAGTTTAAAGAAAGTTATAAGGGGTCCCTACGGTTAAGTTGATGCCGATAGAGATGCTCTGCTCTCGAATACGCCCTTCCACACCCTGGCTGCGGACAAGTAAAAGTTTTCTCCATCCCCTTTCTGCTCCTCCTCCTTTTCCGTGTTTGAGGTTCTGTGCTGCTACTCAGTGGTCCCCCAGGACCGGAAGTTCCACTTCCTTCTCCCATACCCTCTCTATCTCGTTCTCTCCCTCGAGGCTTCTCATCAAGCTCATGGGGCTGTTGATATTGCCCTATAGTTTGATGGTGTTCTCCTGCAGCCATCGACATGTTATGTATGCCTTCTTCCGAATGTCCTGACCGGTAATCGTGCTGATCTACTAGTGGATGATAACTTCCTGCTCTATGTTGGTGTTGTTGTACGTCTTCGATACGGGTAATTCCAGGTGATAATGTAGCTAATTGCAAACCATCGTGTGAGCGATGCGATTCAATTCCCATAGCCGTGAGCTCAACAGCTCATGCGAAAATAGAAGGAAAAAAAATATAACAAAAACAAGCTCCGATGGTGAAATATTCTACCCAAAATATAATCTCGAACCGGCTGGATATTTTATTATTACCGTAAATTCAGGGGCGTTCGTCGTAGGAGGTGGGGAAAGGTCTGAATCGCAAAGCGGAATGCGGGGGTGTTGGGTCGGAAATAGACCCTTTAACGACGCACAAGATGGGAATGCGACTGTAACAGTAATAATTCAGAGTTAGCAAGTTTCTATATCACTAGCTAGGCACGATGGACGAGCGGGAGCGCCCCACAAGCACACACGGCCACAATGGAAGCGAGGATCGGACCACCGATGAATCGCACACATCAAGCGGACCAGTTGGGGTCGCTTGGGTTGATGCGGGGAGGGCGAGCGTATGAAGAGCGAGGATATTACCTTTTTTGTTTCGAGGAATGATCGATCGTGAAAGGTGGAGATGACACAGAACTGTTGGAGTATCGTGTCTCCTATAGTTTAACGCGGGGCGAAGGGGGCAGGTGGAGCAGACCCAATTGCACAAGTCTCGCAACTAGGATTCCTTTTTTTTTTTCTTTCCCTTTTACTTCTGGGGGTAGTTGTTGGGTTTCTTAGGCCGACAGATGCAGCAACGCCAATGCTCCTGCTTGCCTAGGTTTTGTGGAACCGAAGCAGAGCGCAAGTTGCAGATGAAGATCCGTGTTGGTTTATGTGAGTATGTAATGTACGTATGTAGTAGTGACACTACCTATGCTGGCGATAGAGCTCTTTGGATGAGGTGGTCGGAGGTGATGGATGGATGTAATCAGTGGCAGCAGCCGTAGCGGCGCGCGGCGAGAATGAGGATGGAGAAAAAGTGCACGAGGGCTAGGCACACGGGGCAGGGTAGGTATGTATGTAGGAGAAACCGGTAAAATCGATGCCTCAGCTCACAGTAGCAGCAAGGTTGTGTAGAAGGGACCTTCCAACAGGAGCAATAAGAAGCAGCCAGCCAGAAAGAGCAACACTACTAAGAAGGAGCAGCAGAAAGAAACAAGTAGTTAAAGAGGGAAAGCCCTGGTAAAGAACAGCAAGACGGGTACCCAATCCGGATAGTGAGAAACCTTGGAAATAAGGTGGTGATGAAGGTGAAAGTGATGATGATGAGGGAGGGGGGGTATGAATGGGGTGAGATGGTGAAGGAGGAGAGGGGGGTAAGTGAGGGACTATGATTGAAGAGGGGGGTGAGGGGTGTATGAATTATGAGGATGGGAAAGACCGCAGGGTGAACCGAGGGAGATAGACAGATGTCACTTTAGAGGGCCCCAGCTCATTCACTCACACAGCTCACAGCTCACAGCTATTTAGGACAAACTAATAATCAGATAGACCGAAAACTTACAGGGTGCATATAGTAAGTCGTACCTAGCAGAAGATTGTAGGGTACAAACTGTTACAGGCTGTCATTCAACTCATGCTTTGAATCTGTGCTTAGGTACGTTTAGATTAGGTGAAAGAAGAAAAAATTATAATTGTAATATTTCAGTTACACTAGTAGTAGCAGACCTCGCCCATCATAACCAAGTAGAGATACCCTGCGAACAAAAATTGTGCAAAGGCGGCCTAAGAGCCGTACTCTTTTTTCGCCGATGTTCTATTTACTCAGTGAAAATCCTGCATGTGGCACTGTTCTGTCCCAGATGACGAACTTGGGAAGGAGTGGAAGAACGAAAAAGAAAAAGAAATCAACAGGGGATGAATTTTTTTTTTTTCTAGAGGGAGAGATCTGATAGCTTCATCAACGGCTTGGTACCCGTGCAGACAAAGTTAAAGTCTCGACAATAGCAGTCATATATCAATGCGCTGTACTTTACTCACATTAGTATTCCTTACATGTATGCCCATCTTCTAGAGTAGAGTACTAACTCATGGTCCTGCTAGATCTTGATACAAGTTCTCATCGGCATCCACCTTCTAATTCAATCCTTGGTCTACAATGGTAGGAACTCATCCATCGCACAAACCAGTCACACATGAACTACTAGAATAAAAGGTTTACCTACAGTACTTATGTACCAGCCACCAAGGCCAACCCCAATGACTTCTCTCATCTGAGATGCAGCCTTTTCTAGCAGTGGCTGCATCCGCCCCCTTCATTTCTATTTTAAATCATCAAAAAATTAAGAAAAAGAACCTCCAGATGCCTTGACTGGATGTCACTTAAATCGAGATGGTAAGCGGTTTGGGATTAACTAGTATTGCATATATACCAGATCTGAAGGCTGGCTGGGTATGTAATTAGTGCCGCCTTACCCTTGTAGCAATCAATTAGAAATGCGGTCACTACTATTGCTTGACTCGTTCTACCCACTCATGATCATCAGCAGTGACATATCTGCTAGCTAAGCAATATCAAAATTAAAGGACATGTCGTCCGGCAGCCGCTGTATCATCAACAGCCATGCATCAGTTCAAAAAAAGATGGACAACGAGACATGTTGATAGATTCATGTAGGTACTCAATGAATTAGTGAAGGGAAAAAGAAAGCACATAGTGGCACGCACCTTGTACCACAGTCACAATGCCTGGGAAAAAAAAAGGCTCTGCGAACGTGGTTTTCATCTCGTAAAGGCGGGGTAGGAAGGAAGCGCTCTATCCGCGCTCTTGTGTTATTTGGTGCCAGTGGTCCCATCCATGCCATTTTAACACTTGATATTGTCGATTTAAATTTCTTTTACAGCTCCTATTCTTCTCCCTTTCTTGGCTGCTAGGACTCCACCGATGTGTACCTGCTCCGTCAGTTTATGTGCCTTTTCGTCTCATTGTGAAAGGGAAGGAAGGAAGGAACAGGAGAAATCTTCCTGTCGACTCCCTCCCCTTTCTCCTCCCGAGTTCCCGGGCTTATTACCACGTTTTTCACCCTCCTCCACCACAAAAAGGAAAGTAGCTTCTGGAGGAGCTCCAAGATGCCTATGAGAAAACGTCATTGTATACAGGTATGAATAGGTAACTTTTTCCCCTTCATTGCCGGTCCACTGCACGTGTTTCTGTACTCTTCTTCATTGGCGTAATGGAATTCCTTTCCTCATATTAAGATGAAGGATCGAGCTTCGAGACAGTTTTTTCTTCATCCCTAGACCCGGCTTCACCTCGGGGGTTCTTTTCCAAGAATGAAGTTGAGTATATCGCAGTAGATATAGGATCTAGGAGGGTTAGTACCTACATGAATACGTAGATCTAGAGAGGATAGGGTGCATAACTAATCCAACTGGAGTAGCACTGTCTGCCAATACGGTTTTTGTAAACCAAACCTTGAATCGAAACTCAGATACCCCCCCCAGGCCCTCAGTCAACTAATTCACTGCCAAATGTCCCGAGTGGATTATCCACTTCATCTATTCAACCTCCGTCGCCGCCGCTCACGAGACCTTACCTAAATGAATGACATCTGCACTGCCTTGCATGCGTGCAAAAAAAGCAAAATTGCGGGGAAAGAAATGCACGGAATTTCCCACCCAATCAATTCGTTTGTAAGGAGAAAGAAGACCCTCTCAAGCTTAAGCATATGCTCCCAAGCCAGCCAGCGGTCACCTCCGATGTAAGACAGACAGGCTCACGGGCTTGACGAACTATACGGAGCGGAGAGAGAAGCCGAATAGAGGCCGGAAGTACTGTATACGCCGGCACGGTATACCGAGAGATTCAACGGCTTGACTGTGCAGACTCAACACCTTTTTTTACGTTCATGGTAAATTACTACCATGTAAGCATCTTCAACGACCGACCACGATACTGTAAAGATGCATTATTCTTTTTTTTTTTTTTTTTTTTTTTTGCTTTCTCAGGTCTCCCCAATGAAATTTTTTTACACTGACCTTTGGATACCCCAGTGAAGGGAATCGCGCCATCGGTGTGGTTTCTTTTTCCTTCCCTTCTCCCGCTTTTGTTTTTCTTCCCACTCCGAATCGGCGAGACGGACCCAACAGCACGGGAAAGGAAAGGGGAAGCAAGAAAAGAACTATGAACCTCCGAAAGGTACAGGAATTTACGGTACTCGGGTCAGTGGGGGGAAGAGCTGTTCTACCAGCAGCCTATCAGTAACTGAGTCCACAGAATTCCACCGGTCTGAGTCCTGATCAAAATTTTCTAGAACAACGGCCATGGAGTGTTTCCAACTTCCTGGCGGCTGGCTTGGTTGAACTAATCTAGTTATATCTGGCATTATTTCCCTTAGCCGCTTCTTTCGTTTTTTCTCATCTGATTGTATCTAATATCTACGAATGAATCAGTCAGGAAATGGCTGCTTCACAGTCTGACATCTACTTAATCCTAACACTGAAATAGTACCACTAGACATGGACCTACCTACTAATTCGATCTTGTAATATACTCTCCCTGTGAGGTAATGGAAATCATAGTTAGACTAGACGCCTACCCTTTCGGCCAGACCCTGATCCGAGTAAGGAAAATAGATTCAACACGACCAGAGACACAAGGGGTGGGTACTGCATAGAGTAGCAGAAGTGGCGCTCAACAAGCGAGCATCCATCTTGTCTTGTCTTACCTGAGATCTAGGCCTACCTATGGTCAATGATTGAATTTCTGGGGTATGTGTTATGTATGTAGAGTATTATGTTGTGTCCAGCCCTAATGGGGGACTACCCAGAGTCAGGATATACCTTCTTGTCTCCCCATGTGTAGTCCGCCAGTTACATAACCCAGAAACAAACTCGCCAGCTGATGAGGAACTTGAGATGCACATGCTGTTTGGGGCTGAGATATAATAAAATAAGGTAGGAAGAGAGATCATATAAAAGACGGAACGGGTCCCGCACCCGTCACGTCACGTCGTATCAACACATGTGCTCCTCATAGGCCCTCTCTCATTTCATCGATCTTTGTATGATTTGGATTTGGTCATATATAATTGAACGTACCTATGTAGTTAACGTACATACATACATGTATGTAATTGGAAAATAGATACCTACTCTAGTTGAGGTTAGGTAAGTTAGGGGTTTCTTGATTAGGGGAATGTAGGGTGGTTCGCGTAGTAGCTTAGAGCAATCTTCATGTCAAAAAACTGACCCTGCAAAACCACGAAACCGAGCCCTTGGGTCTCCCCTTCCCGCAGCGATCCAACCCAACCTGCCCGCTCTCAGGCAGGTACAGACGGAGTAGCACGAGCCAATCTGTGACCGGCTAAGCGTAGAGTAGGTACTCAACTTTAGAGAACCTAGATACAGTCGCTCGCCTACTGACGGCGGATCCTGTCTGATGGTTCTGTTTGCAGTAATTTGCCCTTGGCGTCCAAAACCCAACTCTTTTATTGGCCTCAAATCCCTGACCGCCATCAGACAGGATCCACCTTCACCCCGTGAGTGAGTGTAGAGTGCAACCTCTCGGAGCCGCTCCTACCTGTCTACCCCCCGGATCTTCCGGCTAATAGGGATAGTGGCTGGGATATCCCTTGTAGGCAGTATCATCAACTATTGTATGACCGACCAGTAAGATGTTTGCACAATCAATTTGTTCGTTTATTTAAGATGTTGTAAAAGGGTTGGGGCTAGGTTCCTTGGAACAATAATGCGGCAGTTTATTGGTAAACTACCCGATGGCACCCTTCATACCGCGTGCATGTCGAAATGGAACTCAGGTCTTCTACCATGATTCTAGAGGTGGTAGGTAGCACGGAATTCAAGGGAGTGCAAGTCAGGGGAAGAGAGAAATGAACAATGAGATATGGCCGGACTGATTGGATGATTCCACTGTGGGGATGCATCTTGTGGAATAGAAAGGTAAGCTTGGGAATATAGGTACGTTTATGAATGCACAGATGTACCTACTAAGCCTCGTAATTGAGAACGTGGTAGTGGCAATACTGTCCAGGCTGTTAGTTCCCGTCGTAACCTCAACATCTAAAGAACACCACTTCCTTCGACCACCGGGATCAATTGGTCGTTCTCCATATCCTGCTTAAGCTCATTCCATAAAGAGATTAAATGTTCGTCTATCTCGTCTATCATACTAGTATTCTGTGTCTTTATCCCGCCGAGGGGTATGGCTCTTCCGGCTGCTGTCAAAACACCCACCCAACAGTGTTCAGCTCTCCTAGCTAGACGCCTCTTTTGACCCGGCTGCGAAACCCGCAGCCAAAACTATCCCGAAGATGTTGATTCGGCCTACTGTTATTCAACACCAGCGGCATCCCACTGCACCTCTATCTTCCCCGGCCCTCAATTTCGTGCCCCGTCAGAACAACAAGAACCATCCCGGCTTTAATTTGATCTTCTCACCGCTCATTGATGGCACAAACTTGTAGGAGAGAAGACTCAACAAGGTCAACCGCGGACTCATTTTCCGGGTTATGGTTTATAACAGCAAACAGGCCTTTTCTGATGTCTTACAAGACAAGGCAAGGCTTTGACAATGATCATGCTCCGTCCCTAACTTGATGCTGGAGATACAGGGGGTACGCATGAGGATTGCTCTTCTCGTACAAGTACTCTGCTCGACATGCAAATTTGAGTGGTCCTCGAGTTGATATTTACTCTATATACGAGTCTACTCGCCGGATCATGTGGAGAGGCGTGGGGGGAAACCTTACGTGGGGGATGGGATAATAGAGCAGAGTAGGCTCTGGTAGGGGTGATTGCTCCTCGGGCCTGCCCCGGATTCCAGCATCCGATATCGGTTAGGGATCAATTACCGTATCGAATGGAATAGGAATAGTAGATATGCTGCCCAGACGCCTCAAACGATCTGATAACCTCATCGCCACCGATACCTCCCTTACCACTGTCAACTGGGCCGCATCGAGATCTTTCAAACCATCTCAGTCACAAATCGGCCGGAACGCACAAGGCAAGTGATAAAGAAGAAAGCAAAAATAAATAATAATACAATTAATAACTGTTCTTTTTATACACCGTACATAGGCTCCTTCTTCCGGATACATACAACTATCCTGCACTAGGTTTCAAAAAGACGATCTTACCTCCATGACTGAGACTGCTGCTCCCCCTATTCAGGACGGCGATGCCGATTTACGAGCTCTTATCCGCTTGTCAATGTCGAACAAGTTATTCGAGTATACATCGCACATATTGTCCCCAATATCAACATCATCTTCCTCGGAGAAAGGTGATTTTGACATCTCAAGTACAAATTCAGATGCCCCTACTAGACCTCCCCCACGCGACCATGGAGTCTCCTTTTTCAGAGAAATAGTCAGATGTGTTTTACTCTCCCGATCTTTCATAAAGTCGTATAACCTAGTCCTGTTTGGCCGTCTCTTGGCCATAACCGCTGTTTATCAAGTGAACAGGTTTTTAAGGAGGAGAAGGTGTCTATCATCGTCAGCCAGGGGTTGACAAGTGTTTCTTTATCGGACCCCTCGTCCTCAGGCACGAGTACTCCGTTGAACGATGAAAGAGAACCTCTTATCCCGAGATCTCGTGGTAGTGGTGGTGCTAAGGGCATAAAGCCGTTATCGATTCTTCATCGTATTCGTGGGGTACTAGTGTACCAACCATCTCACATTAAATTATTTGGTCTATCTTATCAGTGCCCGCCGATCTTGACATGCATTGTAACCACCTGCTACTATGCTTTAAACGTGTTTTATGCATTCCATAGAATTCCATTTCATCCGTTGAAGATGTTTGTTTTCGCAGATCGGCTTGGCCTTGTCTTTGTTTCAAACCTGCCACTGCTGTACCTGATGGCCGCTAAGAACTGCCCAGTTAAGTTACTCACGGGGTGGAGTTACAAACAACTTAATGTGCTCCATAGAGCTGTCGGGAGGGTTTGTATCACGACTGCTATTGGTCATTTTGCAACTTTCATATGGGTTTGGGATAAAACAGTATGGTTCCATGAAACTTACACCATGTCCTATATACTAATTATAATACCTTCAAAAAAAGTATAACCTCCTCTCCTTCCGTCAATTCGTGTCAACCCCAGTCATTTTTCTCGGTTTACTAGCCTGGGTTTCCTACCTCCTCATCAACGTCACCTCCAAAGAGGAGTTCTACGAGGTGTTCCTGTTCGTCCATGTCCTCCTTCAGACATTCGCACTAATATTTCTCTATTTCCATCACAAGGGCTCCCGTCCCTATGTCTTGGTCTGCATATTCATCTTCGTAACCGACAGAATTGTCCTCCGCCTTACAATCCGCTCCACGCGGGCGGCTGGAACAGTTACGATTCTCCCAGATAAGAAGACCGTCCGCGTCACCCTTCGTCCGAACCCCAGCAGCCCGTTGAAATGACACGCTGGAGATCACGTATTTCTCTCTATTCCCTCTGTGGCGTAGCTGCACCCCCACCCATTCTCCATAGCGTCGACGCCGGGCAATTCTCTGTAGTTCTTGATCCGTGCCCGCGATGGCTTCTCAAAGAAATTACTTGAGGCAGCTGGTAGTGGGTCTAGTGAGTTCACCGCAATCGTGGACGGACCTTACGGGTCCTGCTTCGTGTATGAGTGTCTATGGGACTCCGATGTGGCGTTACTGGTTGCTGGCGGCAGTGGTATTGTTGTCATCTATCCTCTTGTGCACGAGCTTGCCATCACTATCACTAGCACCGGGGATGAAGAACACGGGACAGGCCTGACGAGAGGAAATGATGCTCCGAAGAGAATCGTTATGGTTTGGGTCGTGAGGGAAGAATGTCAGCTGTCCTGGCTACATGGTGGCGAATTAGTGGATCTACGGAAGTTGGGCGTGGAAATTGTGACACATGTAACCCAAGGCAACGTTCTTGTCGGTAAGCGGCCTAAAATGGGGGACGTGGTGGAGGATGTGGGGAGTGATTTGAGGAGCAGTGGTCGAGGATGTGATTCGAGGAGCGATGGTGGTCGTGGGTGTGGTTCCATGGGTGTGGTTGTTTGTGGTCCCTCGGACATGGTTCGTGATACACGAAACTCGTGCGCGGGGATGATGAGACGGGGGCTGGACGTTAGGATCGTCACTGAGAAGTTTGGATGGTACAGTCTTTTACCGTCTCTTGACGAATACTGCCACTTGACGAACAGGGATTCCAAGTATGGAAAGAAACTGTCAAGCAACAGCCAAGCTACGAGATCTCCGGTCCTTTTAATTTCTATTGGCCCAAAGTCCCCTGTTCGTCAACTGGCAGTATTCGTCAAGAGAAGGTAAAAGACTGTAGGCAAAAGTCGATCGAGTGATTGTTTATGATTGTTGAGCTTTTCTCCTATTGGTTGCGGTGGTACAGGTATATCTCCTGTTGATGGTCATGGATCATAGAATAGACATCTCTCTATTGTTTTCTTTTTATACTTGCTTTTTTCCTTTCTCTGGGTCCAAGTTTTGCTTTTTAAGGAGACTCCATTCTGCTGTGGGCTTACTTGTTTGTTCATCGTTACATAAACGCACCGTACACGTGAGCTTCCTGTTCTTCCGCTACACGCCCCCTCTACATATGTTTATTATATGGTAGGTTATGGTATACAAACCTTGCCTACCATAAAATTGAGTGTTACCTACAAGTTACTTAGTAGAGTGGATACACACACCACACACGCACACACATACATACATTACATACTCACATATGCATACCATGGCCCTAAGAGCAAATAAGAAAAATTCTTTTCTCGGGATTATCTCCTTAATCAAGCTTAACTTGAAGTAATTAGAAAAGAAGAAATCTTGCATGCTACTCGAATGTCACCGAAAGATCAGACCATATATACACGGATCTCACCGACGAGTGATATATCATGAAGATCGTGTGTAGTTGTCGCAGGTCATACATATAATTTCTCCCTCTTAACATATTCGCTCTCTCCGTAACTCAGATTCGGACGTATCATGCCATGTCTTGAGAGTCTAGCGGTTAGAGATTTTCCTGTGAGTAGTCTACAGAGTAGGTGCACGAATAGCTAGGGACATCGCACCACCTTGCGTAAATCGCGTGGTCGGGTTTGAGTTCACTTCGGAGTCCCTCACGTACGTAGATGCTATAGAAATATCCGAATTTTCAAATACCCCTCCGAGGTACGAAGTAGGTAAGTCGCGTGCGCATTCCACAATACCTTCTTTCTACCTCCCATCGCCATGTCCTCTCCGCGGAAATGATATAAACCCAAAAAGAGAGGGGTTCATATCATATCAAGTATGAAGCCAACGTAGATGGGCCGGAACGCACTCACGCGCACGGCAACCATCCCGGCTCTTGAGCTTTCTGGTATCCGAGCGCCTTTTTTTTTTTTTTTTTTTTTTTCAAGCGTGCCGCAGCTTGCCTTGTTGTTAAAATCTAGAGTAAAGGTGAATGAACATCATTACGCAAATGTTATTCGTGGGTAATTTTTCGACCGCACATTGACCAATTTGGGCGTGCCGTTGCGAAGAGTATTTTAGCAATTAACTGGGGGCTGAGTGAACACTCTGCGGATGGACGAATTAGAAGAGCAAAAAACCAGCAGGCCAAGCGAAATATTCCTTTGAACTGGGTTCACCTTTCCGTGTTGCTTGAAATAGAGTGAACAAATGCCGTGCCAAATAGATGTCAGGGTGTAAGCCAGCGAGGGGCTTGAGCTTTTTGGTGGCACCTGCGTTTTGAAGGTCACTTAGAGTAGACCTGGTGCCTCACATGGCCGTTTAGTTATTTTCCTCAACACACCTCTATCCGTTGAAGATGTTGTAATTACTTTTGCGCTATGAGTGGGGTTTAACTAGCAATTCATCGAGGAACCAAAGATTCGGCACCTGTGTGTCGGTACTCGGGTCGTTCATTAGTCTTAGAGACATATGGCGGATTAGCCCGCGCTGCCGGCTGAATACTAACCCGGGAAAAGCCGCCCCAAGATCCAGCCCTAACAATCGACCGATAGAGTTACAGTATGCACTTGTTCTTATGTCTTGGTGGAGATGATATGCTTTCACTGCAATGGCATTGGACAGTATTCTAATCAGGTCCCTTGCATTGAGGACGTGATCTTGTATATGTTGTCTAGACCCCTCTTTCGCATACTACTACGTAGTTAGCCTCTTCTAGTCTTTGCAACTGGCTGTAGTGAGAACTTATTTGACTGTTCAGCCGATATAATTTGGACTACGTACCAAGAATTTTGAATTGACTGCCAGCTGTCTGTAGACCACCTTATCTCACACCAAACTCTCGACGCCCATGTAAGCCCTTTTAGCCCCAACCACATTGCGAATGACTATTATCGAGGTGCTGGATATCACATACTTCGGATACTACTGGTTAGGTTTATAAAATTACCGAGCACATCGAGTGGGCAGAAATAATTGTCAATGTGCTCGGCAAGGATTAATTTCTCGCTACCAAACTTCGGAACCTTTTCGTGGGGTTTCAGCCTCATCCTAGTGCTCTACGGCCGCTTTGTAGTCTGACCATTCCACGGCACATAGATACCAGGGAATGGCTTTCCTGTTTTGGTGCTGATAAGAATACTTGAATCAATATGCTGTTTGATAGGCCTGAAATTTTGTGCACAGGGAATGATTGAGGCAATAGCAATCAACCTGAATCAATATGCGGTTTCTGGCTTTATCTCACTTAGCCATGTTGCTCTTAATCTTGTTTGAACCAATAGGAGTTTATTGGCCGCCGTGTGACCCGTTTTTGATGATAAGATTGCTTGCTTTTTGAAGGTCCTGCTCACCCTGTAGGCAGCTACTCTGTGTTTTGCGAGGGGTGACTACATGTGCAACGGAGTCGATTGAGCGAGTTTTACTTGCTCGCATTGCAGTAATATTGGTTTATCTATCTAGATTCCAGCGCGGTACGATCCCCTACACACAATTAGATCCCATATGGAGCCGAGCAGAAATTAACGAGATTACCATCATCTCAAAACCAAACTCCCAAACACGATATGCGCTTTGAAAGCGGGTTGTCTTGTCATGGTAGACTATATCTACTACGCCTTATCCCAGCTGCAGGCAGAGACACATTTTGCCCAAATCGCTTGCTCTAGTGATTTTGGCCTATCATCTTGTCTCTGTTAGTTTTGAGGAAACCAGCTTGATTGACAGTCTATCACAGGGGCAGATCGAAGCGAGCAGGAGTCTCAAGGGTGTTATAGCCGTACTATTTCACCTGGATTAAATGGCTAGTAAAGCCCCGGGCGTTACTTGAGAAGACATGCGTATGCGGGATCACTTGGAAGATCACAACCCCAATTGTGAAACAGTGAGATGCTTTCAACGAGGTCAAGGGTGTCGAGTTGATATATTATGGGGTCCGTGGACCAAGAAATCTAACATTGCATATCTATTCGTGGGTGGCCAGCTAGCACTGCAGAAGGTAGAAATTGTAGAGATCAATATTGTGTATCAGGACCGGAGTCCTCGGGTTTTCTGGCCACTTCTAAGTTACTAGCGCCCGAATTTCAGGATTATGAACCATACATACTGATATCACTTATTCTAAAATTTCCCCGCACCAGAATTTCTATTTGCAGACAGAATGAATATTTCAATATTAGAAAACCACCACTTGCCATCGTTTCCAATTTGGAGTTTCTCATCATGCTAGCCAGACCGGGGAAATTAAGATACTAACTAATTTCAGGTCCTTAAAACGCGGTGAACATCTCGCTCGGCCGCCCAATTGGTAACATGTGGACCTCGCAAGCTGTGAGTACCACGGTCGATCGGAATATCCTGCAGGATTAATCCTATGAAGCAGGCCTAATTATAGCAAATTTGTTCTGTCTTTCTGAAGTCCGTCCTGCATAAATAAATGGCTAAAGAGATTATTTGAAAAAAGCACATTGTTCTCAGGCTTGTTATTACCGGTTCTTGATTGGGACTTGGCTTTATTTCTGTACACAGGCTGATGTCTTTTTATCTTTCTCCCTGTGTGGAGGGTGCGAGATGATACGACCGGGCGCGACATCCTTTGGAACGACACTCTGTAGCTATTCAATAGGTAGTTTGGTCTAGTCAATTTGGTAATGTAAGCGAGCGCTCGAGCATGAAGGTATTGGGGTCAGTAGACTACCCCAAGAGACTCTGAGGTATGTAGTACTCCCTTGGAACAGCATTCGCCTAGGTTTTCTAGTAGCGGTGAAAACTATGGCGATGACCTTGAACCTTGGTATTACTGGTCAGTCTTCATGTATAAGGGGTAACATTGAAGTCTTACTTGGCAGAATTAATCTCTCTTCTTGTGCGATAACGCAACCGTCCAATTCTAATGGTTCCGAGTATCTAGCTTCACAGAGAGTGGTGCCTTCCAAAGAGTCTTGGGATTCATCCAGAGCTGATTCAGTCTAGCCGGGTGCCAATTGATAAGGGATAAGATGGTATGGCATAGGAGTCGAGTGTCGACGAAGATAAGAGGGAAATGGAAGGTTTGCTTGCTCTTGTGTCTTTGCAAGTAGGCGCGTCATGCCTGGTTAATAAACGTCACTCGTTCATCTGCATGTTTACCGTTTTTTTTTTTGGGTAACCCGGGACTGGGGTCGGTCATCGGTACGGATCAAAGTTTTTACGTGTGCACGTATGTAGCACGTAGTACCGTCTATAACCTCCATACGTAGAGTACATAAACATGTCAATATTGTAGGCTCAGTCCTGATCACGAAACAAACGGCTGACAACCTATAACATCCCACGGCCAATAATTAAATTATGGCCTACAAATACCTCTTTCTAATAACAAGTCTCTAATTTATCTATTACTGTCAGCTCCAGGTGATGAGCCAAGAACTGCCGTCAACCCCTCATGCCAATAATGTCTGGGCGTCCCGATTGCGACCCAATCGACCCAGCACCCAGTGTAGCAATATATTCCCGAAGCTTAATCCCACCACTAGATATTCCACAAAGATAAGCAACGGCCATGGCCGCCAGATGTGGAATACCCCACATGAAGCTGGAAAATTCGGGGCCATACTATCTGTAAGTGTACCAATGACCAGATTCTGGGGTCTTTTTCTGTGTTGTGGTGCCACAATTGCAGACCTACCGATCGACGGTCTATCAAGAATTAAGATAGTTCCCTAACTTGGATGTGGTGGTGTTAACTATCTAGCATAACCGCGCTTCTACACTTGAAAAAGTAAATTTCGAGATCCTGTGCTCAGGTTAATGTAGCCAGCTAGCAGGTTTCATCGTTGAACACTATCAGCTCCTCAATCTCCTCTGCACATATCTCCGACGCCAAAAAGCATTCACCTTGGTCCAGCAGCTTATCTCTCGAGTGTCCGACCTGATGAGGGAAAAAACTGCCATTTTTAGCTTGGGTGGTAACGAGTATCCTCACCGATAGTCACTCGTACCCCCCACGATGCTTAATTCAACACTGGCCAAGCAATTGCGCAATAGTACTCATAAAAAATTCACACTAAAGATGTCCGGTGATCAACAGATAATCTCCACTCTTTAAGGGGGCGATCATAGTTCCGGAGAAGCACAGAGCACATTGAGTGTTGAGCCAGGATCACGTTCCCAGCAAATATTAAGGCACGGTTGCCTACTCTATTGCGCAGTATCCGCAACTAGTTTCGGTTTATTCTAGGCATGCGCAAACTGCGCGCAACTTCTGGGCATGAAACTACATGTAGCTATCTGAAAGCCACAAACTTGGCAACCGCTCAAAGGAAAAAGACATGGCAATAATTTGACGGGCGATCATGTATTTCAAAGTTATCAGTTATGTCCGATGTCAATTCCCTAGCTTGAACTGTTGGTCCTTTCACGCTTTGATATCTAATCTATTAGCAGTCATAATAGGCGGGGTTAATGAATTCAGACCTCGACCACACAACCTAGTTCATTAAGTTGGAATATTGGCCCACATTGCAGATATTGTCGTTTTGTTCTGCCATATGACCTTCCGGAGTCCGGACAGGGCGTTTTTGCTGGGTATGCCTTTTCCTGGTGAGATATAGAAAGACAGTTTAATTCTGATACGGGATCCCACGGTCCACGGGCTGTCTAGATATAATATCTCGGGCCTTGGATTTTGGCTTTTGGCTTTTGGCCTATTGAAAGCATGTCTTGTTATCCAGTGAACCTAACATTCTCGAGATATTTTTCCTGAGCCCCGAGTCTAGACTCAGTTGTAGACTTTTGAATAAAATATGAGGACTTGGGCGAAGACAGACCGGGTCAATATAGCCTCCTATCCTTTCTGGGGGTAAGACAAGACTGATCTAACCGTTTCTGACAGGCTGGTCGCTCCCTGCTGGCACCTCTACATACTCGTGCTACACTTGGCACGCAATATCTTGTATTCTCAATCATTGACCTCATAATTGAACCAGCGAACCTCGCTATCGACGGCCCCATTTACATCCTGATTACGCTCGTTTTAGAGGGGAACTGGTAAGTGGATTTCCAAGATAGGATTGCCTTCGCACCACACTTTTGTGAATGTGGATATATCGCTTTCTTCCGGTTATTATGTGTTTAGATAGTGATATTACTCTCTCTTGAACACAATTGATCTTAATATTATTGCACCATCTCCCTCAGTATATATCATCTCCTGCTTTATGATGTGGGAGGTGTTTCAATAGTTATGGTTGCCACTAGGTGTACGGTATTGGTCCTTGACGCCTTATTTATATCGTTAAATGCCGAGAGGTTCCCAAAATCCAATTAGGGCGTTTTAATGCTAGAGGCCACGATATATAAGACCCTTCGTTGATATCCGAATCCTCTATAATAATCTTCGTGGTAGAGAAATATTTGGCTTATATTTTAAAAAGATGGAAGGTCCAGTACTAATTTGACCTTGTGATTTGTTGACTACCCTGGAAATAGGATACCCTAACCGCACTTGACCTGGATCCAGCGAAAGCTTGCTATAATGGTACTTTCTATAAGGTAATTTCTCTAAAACGGTAGCACTTCTCGGTCCTTTTTGCCTGGCTTTCAGCACCAGCACCTCCTATATAAGGGTAATCTCTCTATAACGGTACCAAATTCCGGTCCCGAGCGTACCGTTATAGCAAGCTTTCGCTGTATACAATTTCGGTACCGGTCCATACTACGCTGTTCATTAATAAAGCTCCCTGTGCCCCTCCTACACTCCTGTATCTGCACTGTATCCAGGTGCTAGCGGTAGTGCGTATTGATCCAGGTCCTTTTTCACGTAATGTTATTGTTTTTAAGGTGCGTTTTGGCATTGAAACACTGCAGCTTCTTAATTCCGGTTCTTATGTCCTTGGTCCGGTACTGACTGTATCTCTACTTTTCCATGGGAGTTGGGTGATATCCAGCTTACAATCCAACCATAGCGTTGATGTCTTATGTGTTCTACGTATTTCCTCTGCTGTAAAATTAAGTAGAATGGAGTCCCAAGGTGGCCAAAAGCCTAAGCTATCCGGACTATCCAAGAGCCGGTCTTTCTAGCTTTTGATATTCCACTAATCTCTGTTATTACTTGTCCCTTTCCCTGACAATTGGCTATGGATTAGCCGGTACTCTTGCGCTCTGTTGATCGATTCCTTGTCTATTCCCTTGTGAGAAGGTGTCACTCTGACAGGGGTGTGGCATCCAGTGAAATGTTGTTGCGGTAAGGCGTGGTTTGTTGTAAGGGACGGTGCCTGGTTCACTGTTTAACTAAACCGCGCACCCGCTCCTTAAACTGACCGACTCTCATTGGTGTCTTTTATCGACACGTATTGCGCAGTTTCCAAGACTTATAAATATTTTGTGTAATGCCTTGTTCTTGGATACCTAGGCGCCGTGTGGAGTTTTGAAGATACCCTATCATTGGATAGGTCCTAATAGGGGCCCGCCTTGCGAAACCCTGCCTCCCAAGTGTCTTGTTTTTAGGGACACCAAATTCGCAAATCCCGAAACTCAGATACCCGGATCTAAGCTCCCTTCCTATTGAACACTAGCCAATCCAACAGTGGACAGCCCGTGGTACCTGGCAGGATCTATCCTTCAGTAAAGGCGATAGTTGGCGTGCAGGTAGTCATCAGACCATGGTCTGAGAACCTCTACTCCCCTGAGAGATTAGTAAAGAACCTAGGCTCGTCCTCCGTACAATCCAAGTACCGAAATGCTTCCAAAAAATACCCATCTTTGGGAATGGGTATAGCCTCTACGTAGCTATCGCCAAAAAACCACATCTTTGTTACGGTGAATTTGTAGCTCGCTAACTTGCTTGGTGACCCCCTATAATCTTTTGTTAAAGTTATCCTCACCCGCACTATACCTCGACATCGACTTGCTAGTTGCCATTATTTTGGATCAAGTTAGTTGTCATTCCGCCTGGAAACAATCATTTAAGTTTTTAGAAGGCTTGATGACTGTATGGTCTAGTCTCTTCCTCGTGGTACATATACCGTGGTAGGACCTGCAGCTTTAATTTGTTCCTTTCTTAAGCTCCTTTCTCTTCCCAAAATTGTGATATAAACCATTAGTAGCGTGAAACAGTTATTATGGGCATATTGCATGCAGTTACTCGGTCTGAAGTCATGAAAACACGGGCCCTAAGGCTGTTCGATGTTGGGTCGTTCTGTTGGTATGACAGCTCTGAGTATGAGATCAGCTGAACCAATATTATAAGTCCCCTGGCCCTAGAAAAAACTGTTAGTACTTTCTTAGCTATTGATGATATAATAATGTATAGAATAGACGTAGAGTTGACCTAGTGGTGACATGGGAAGGTGTGTAGGAAAAGGAAGTGGGCGTGGGGTAAAGAGAAGGGTTGAAAGTGGTGATATAGTGTAACAATATAAGCTCCCTCCGGTGAAATTAAAAGGTAGACGGGAAGTGTGGAGTAAGAAGGGCAGGAGTTGGGTTAATGAGATATGTAGGAGAAATAAACTGGGGAGGAGGAAGTTTAATCTCGGGATCTGGATAGGCATAGGATCAACGAGATCTATATCTATTAACCTTTGGTCCTAAAAAGATCGTCAGCATTTCCTAGTTATCAGTAATATAATAGTGTAGAACAAACACAGAGCCAGTTCAAAAACGATATGGGGCAAACTAGAATAGGGAATCAGGCAGAAAATATGTATAGTGAACGCAACGAGGGCCAACCGAAAGGTGATCCCCCGGCAGAAATGAAAACCCAGACGGGGTATGGGATTAAACAAGAATCGGGGTATGAGTTGTGCCCGTGGCAGGTGCATATAGTAAAAGAACAAGGGGATGGTCAACAATACCAACATTCCTGGTTCTAAAAAAAACCGGCAGCACTTTCTTAGCTTCCAGCCATGAAATAATGTGTAGGATAGAAATGTTTGCGTAGAGCTAAGCCATGCAGAGGGCAAGAATTAACGGGGGCTGACAATGAAGTAGGAAGTAGAGTGGGGATCGTTGTGGATGAAAAGAAGAAGGTATGATGAAAGTGGCGGTATAGAGAGTTGATCGGGGGTAGGGGAGAAAGAATATATGGGAGAGTGGAGTAGGAGTAGGTATCATGAGTGATATGAATTTGGTTCTACAAAAGCGGCCAGCGCTTTCTTAGCTACCGATGGTGTGATAGTGGATAAAATATCACAAACGCCGATCTGGGCAGGAGATAATAAAATAGATAGCCAGTAGCATGGGACACGGGGGTGTTATAGGCAGTGAAGTGATAATGGAGCGGGGTAGAAGGTGCATACATGTATTTGCGAGATGAATTGAGTATATGAGAATGTGCCATGTAGGTGCAGTAGCAAGAAACAGAACCAAACAAGGAGCAGCAGGCAATGAACTAACTAATAGCGGCCGAAACCCCCACTACACTCCAAAGCAGGAGCAGCGGCGAGCAGTAGGGAACATGCTCGGTACCATCAAGCTCCTCTTTTCCCTGCAAAAAAAAAAAAAAAAAACAGTCAGCATGTTCTTAGCTACGCAAGATATAATAGTATGTAGAACGACAGATATGTAGAACGACATATATGCATACGCAGAGATACACGGAGGCAGGAGCAGGTAGATGAGCTGATCACAGTGTATGAGTAGTAGGAATCGGAGTACATGCGATAGATAACCGCTGGGAAGAGACCATGAAGAGAGAAAGTAGCGGGGTGGTATTGGAGCGGTGTGTGCTGCGGGTGTGCCGCGGAAGAGAGGGCACCGCGAGCAGCAGCAGCAGATAAGAAGTACACCGGGGGTTACGCGCGGGGTCAGACAAGAGGGGCAAGTGCTGGTGGAGCGGAGATTGATCGGGGTGATGAGAAGTATGAGAAGCGGGCAATGGAATGGGAAGGAGAGGGACAGTATTGATGAGTGGATAATAATGTGCTGTGGGATGGTAACAGTTTGATGGATGGTGAGCAGCGCGAGAAACATGAAGGGGGAGATGTGAGGTGCGGGCACAGCGTTGACGAGCGTGTATAGAGAAGGTACTATAGATGCCAGCAGTCTGGGGGCTTGATTGGTTGTAGACGAAAATGACTTACGAGGAGAGAAGTTGAGATCTGTCTGTGAATTGGTCGGGATGAAACATAAGGCATGGTTGAGAGGTGAGATGGTTAGAAGAGGTTTAGAATAGTCGTCGATGAGAAGTGTGGCAGGCGAGTCGGGGGATGAGAGGAAACATAAGGTGGGGCGGATGGGGGAGATGGGTAGAGTTGCAGAATCATGATATATCACTCGACTGATAGCGACCACAACACGTTAGCCAACCAGCTGAATTCAGGAAACCGACCAACATAACAACAACAACCACAACCACTCCCGTATACAGAAAACGCAATCGGACCTCTACATCACGCCACTTTCAGGCCACAAAGGTAATTCGCAAACGAGGAGTTTTATTTTTAATTCCCCTATAGAAGCTCAAGTATTCAACCTTCAAATGTCAATCACAAAAAACTCCATGCATGTGCTCATAATGCCTTTCCCATGCCGCAAGATATCATCACAGCAATAACTAACTAAAAATTTCCCCACTAGCAAAATGCATGCACCCTAAAAACAAACCGCGCTTAAGTCTTGACATCCGGCTCCACTCTTCCGACGTGCTCCTGGAAGCCAAGGAAGTCTACAGAAAGCTTGATGTTCTCTTTGAGATAGTCCTGCGCGTCGAGGTTGTACTTGCTCTCGTCCTATAGTTTTTGGTCTGTTAGCATTTTGTCCGAAGCAAATAGATGGGTTGGGAAATCCGTTCATACCGAGGTGTGTCTCTCCAAGTAAAGTCTGATGGTGGCGCCGGAACTACCGGTTCCTGATAGACGGACGACGATTCTGGAGCCGTCGTCGAAGCGGGCGAACAGCCCCTGGTTCTTAGACACGCTGCCGTCAACGGGGTCGATGTAACTGAAGTTTCCGGCGTCGGTGACCTTCTTGCCGGCGACATCGCTGCCAATGAAGGAGCTGTCGGCGACGTGGGCGGCGAAGCCGTCAACGAGCTTCTGGGCGCCGGCAGAGTCAACGTTCTCGTAGTCGTAACGGGTAAAGAAAGTGCCTGTAGAGATTAGCTTTCTACCTTACTAATACAAGACATCAAGGTAAAACTTACGGCCATATTCTTTCCAGAACTCGTTCTGGATGTTTGTGATAGACGGCTGCTCACCGGCGGGCAACTCCTTGGCGATACCCGCAATGATGTTCAACCAGGCAACAACAGCCCACATACCGTCCTTCTCCCTGATGTGGTTTGAACCGGTTCCGAAACTCTCCTCACCACAGATGCTGAGCTTGTTGCTGTCAAACAGACTACAGAAGAACTTCCATCCGGTCGGCACCTCGTAGCACTCAAGGCCCTTCTTCTTGGCAACAAGGTCAACAGCCGCAGATGTTGGCATTGACCTGGCAAGCCCATAGACACCCTGCTTCTTGAAGTACGGGATCTTGTCAGCGTGGTGCGCAATAATGGCGAGCGAGTCTCCGGGGGAGACGAATGCGTTCGCTCCGTAGATCATGTTCCTGTCACCGTCACCGTCGGAGGCGGCACCGAAGGGGATTTTGTCCTTGTCGACTGCGGCGACAAGAGAGTGGGCATAGGTGAGGTTGGGGTCGGGGTGCCCGCCGCCAAAGTCGGGGAGTGAGACACAGTTCTGGGTAGAGGATTCGGGAAGACCGAGTTCCTTCTGGAAGATGGCAATACCGTAGGGACCGGTGACACCGTGAAGACCATCGAAGAGGACCTTAAAGCTGGGGTTCTCGGCGAAGAAGGACTTGATGAGCGGGAAGTCGAAGATCTCCTTCATGTAGAGGACGTAGTCTTCGACGCTGTCGATAATTTCAACCTCAAGAGAGCCGTAGGTCTTGGTTCCGATTGTTGACAAGTCAAGCTAGTGGAGTGTTAGCAGGAGCTTTGAGATAGCTGATATATGGGTGTTCTTACGTCTGGAATATCACAAATCTTGTACTCCTGGATCGTCTTGGTGTAATCGTAGATCTGGTCGGTAACCTTCTCGGGAGCCGGGGCACCGTTCGCAAGGTTGTACTTGATTCCGAAGTCCTCGGTGGGACCTAATACCATGAAATTAGGATTGTTCCAAGGCCTCTCAAAGTCATAAAAACTTACCACCGGGGTTGTGACTGGCGGTCAACAAGATACCACCAGTAGCCTTCCTCTTCCTGATGATGTGACTGGCAGCAGGAGTACTCAGAATGCCGTTCTGGCCAATGAGCATCTTCTTGACTCCATAGGCAGCACCAATCTTTGCAATCTTCTGGACAACTTCGGGGTTGTAGTAACGGCCGTCACCACCAATGACGAGGAATGAGCCCTCAACTCCTTCTGGGATGGAGAGAAGGAGGGCGGTAATGAAGTTCTCCGCATAGTGTTCCTGCTGGAAGACAGTCACTTTCTTACGGAGACCAGAGCTGTTTGCGACGGTTAGCTTTGGCTCAGCAATTGGATGGAATTCGATAAAGATGGGATTGAGATTTAATTGGCAAACTTACGTTCCGGGCTTCTGTCCCTCTGCAATTGACGTAATTTAGCTGCAATTCTTGTTCTTTGAAGGATGTGCGAAATAATATCACCTACCATAGACCTTGGTCTTAACTGTGGAGATGGAAACGCTCATGTTTGAAGATAACTCTAGAAATTGATTTGATGAAGAGAGGTATCGATCAATCAATTAGAAGGATGGGAAAGAGAGAAGCTCTCGATGGGATAGATGTCGAATATAAAGAGCTGCTGCAACTGAGGGAAAAACAGGTGGGCCGGGAAGAGGGGTAAATCACATTTAAATGGCTCTGGGCCAGATCAAACTTGAAGTGGAGGCCCAAGTGTGGAGTTGGAGGGGTTCGTTGCTATGACGCTTCGCCGTCTTGGCAATGCGGATGTTTCCACCATGCACCCTATTCATCCGATTTGTTTCTTCCGAGGGGCGGGACCTCCCCAACCGCAGCTGGGAGATCGAGCACGATACACGAGTGGTGCGGATATAAAATGAGGCAGCGGAAGAAGAAAAATCCTAATTTTTTTTTCCACGAAGATATCCCGGTACATTCAATGTTTAGCCATCATCGGGTACTACGCTGCACAGCGCATCACTCGGTCCGTTGCCGCGAGGTGAGAAAAGAGCTTTCCTTACAGAATTAAAACGATGGATGCGCCCCAAGAACAAAAAGCTCTGGTGGATTCTCTGTTCGCTCAACTAACACTAGCGAGATAGTTACATTTGGACTTATAGCTCAAGCCTCGACGCTAGAAGCCGCACCCCTGTCCACTTCACGAGCTATACACGTGGTCTGGGTCGAAGCACAGCTCGCCCGCAGAATAGAGGAAAGCCGAGTTTCTAGGTCGACGATAGTCGCAAGTTAGCTCTCAAGCTTTCTCTTTTGATGGAGATTGGGGGGTCTCTTCTTTCCAATTGTAGCTCCAGAAGAGTCCATCGAGCACAGACAGAGCTTTGGATATATTCGCCGAATAGGGAGCTGGGGTTCCCCAACGTTCTTGGTGATGGTGGCATTTGGTGCTAGCGCTCATGGCCGATACTCTATTACCCCTTGAATTAGGTCGACAGCGCTAAGGGGACTAATTCTCAACTAATTCTTGGCAAAAGCTTTGCTTCAATGGGAATCTGGAAATATGATCATTTCCAGCACTAGTCAACACTAAAGATCGGGGGCTGGACAGTGGACTGCGCAACCCGTTTTGACGATTGGGAATGGAATTGAAACAAAGGGAGGGATGGGTGCCCACTCCCCGGTATATATACCCCATACCCACCATCAACACCGGCCAGAAATACGCGCTAGTGTGACGAAAAAGTTTAAAGAGACTTCGGGCCTGAGTGATGAAACCACAGGTACTAGGACTGCCGCGACTGACGCAATCGCGTTTATGCTGATAAAGTGACTGGGCCAGAGAATCTTGGGCTAATTACTTCATTCTTACTGTGGTTTTCTCAAAAAAAAATTTGGGAATTTCTTGGGAAAGTTGATTACAGACGATCCGGAGGGGTAATAAATGCATGTAGATAGGAGATAGTTATCGCATTCTATTGAACGAGGTTGGGGGATTCATTTCACTGTTCTAGTATACATCAGAATCATATCATGACTGACTCGCCCACCGAAGATATACTTCACAGAACCTTATTTCTGAGGCGCACTAGGCAAATATAAATATCCGTGACACATGAGCTAGCAGGATCTCTTTGTGCGATCAAGAAATGTTTAAATATGGCTTCCTCGTGTTTCACAATATCTTGACAGCTCCGGTATGATCTCCAAGAAGAAGCCTAAACCGCGGATCATCCCACCCGGCTCTTTCAGCCTCCACCACTTCACTCCGGTGCCACAACCAGATATTCCGGCCCTCGATCTCCGTCGGGGGAAACTGGGAGTTATATACCGGAGCGTTGACTCATCCTCAGGCTAACATGCCCTCAAACGGGCCCATCTAACCTCTTGGCAAGATAAGCTCTCAACAGATCCGTCAACATCGTCCTACTTCCATTCCGCATATTCCCGAGAAAGAAAAATAAAAGCCCCATTCTTTACGACACAACCCGAAAAGATACGAGTGATTACTGATGACCAGGCTACCCTCGACACAATCAGGCTGATATCGCCACAGGCAGCTCCATCCGGGTACAGAAATATCATAGATAGCAAGTACAGCAACAACAGCAACAAGTATGTAGCTTTGTGGACTGACCGTATGATGAAACGGCGAAAATTTCTTCCTGGTTATGATAGCTATGGATGGGAAACGGGCCATATTGTCGTTCATTTCGTTCCCTAGCCATAGGCCGCGCGTGGGCTGGGGTGCTCCCTGCTGGGTGAGGTCTTTTCGCGAAAGAAAAAAAAGTTTTTTCATTCTTTCAGTACTGAGAGTTGGGGGGTTTGTGTTGGGTTTGGAAACCTCAGGCGGGCATCATATGTTTTATCCCCTTTTTCAAAAATAAAAAAATCTATCAATACATCCCAGCTGCAGACCCGTATCCTGGGTTAGGTAGAGTACCCAGCTAGACAGGTACAAGGAAGAAGGTACCTAGGCAGCGGTAGGTACGCATACCCGAGGGACGCTACTCGGGCGTAAGGCTTGTTGCATGTTTAATTCGGGCGATCATGCCACAACTGCGAAGTGCTAGCTATCTAGGCTACCTACTACGCACGGGAGTAAGCGAAACGGCCGGGTCTGTCGGAGGTTAGGAGAATTTAACTGAGTCGAGCTGTACAGCTAGCTGGGCAGATCAGATCAGGCCAAGGTAGCACAGACAGCTCCGAACGCCGGTGTTTGTGTACTTACTGGAAACCTTAATGTGACCCTGGAACTCGAAGATGACGGATTGGGGATTTGGAACTTGATCAGGTATTTTGGGTTTTTTTTTTTTTTCGTATTGAGAGATATTCTTGCATGCTGCTGGTACTATCTCTCTGGTCGGTGACATATCTGTTCCGGTGATTCTTTTCATGCTAGGTCCACGACCAGGTGCTCTCCCGCCATGATGCCATCCTTCACGCATGTCGCATGAGAAAACATTCCAACTTCCCGCCTCCTCCTCCACCAATATTATTCTAACTAGCCCTCTAGCAGTAGTATTGGTTCGAGGTTAGCCATGTGGCCATGGTTTATGGGAGTGCCGGGGAATTTAATCTATGGTGAGTTGAGTGTGCTCTCTCGTCTGTATGGCTGCAATCTATCTGGGCTGATCATGGAGGGCCCCAGCTCAGCCCTGGAACTGCGCGTGATGGAATAATCCCTCACTGCACTTTGAGAGAGTATTACTGGTTCTTTGCTTGCTATGTTCCGGAGTATGTTCGAGTGACTAGCTGCTGGAGAACAGATCAGTTGTGATGGGTAGAGCTGGGTGTTTGGGCCTAGCTAGCTGTGCCAGGTGCCTTGACTCTTGAGTGGTGGGAGGTCGTCTGAAGTGTAAGTTGGGAGATCTGAGATTGAGAGTGTTTGTCGTCCCGGCTGTTCTTTCGGTAACAGATGTACGTCGTGATTTCAACTTTGTGTTGCATGTCATCTCAATTGCAAACCTGCTCCCAGATACATAGATCCACATGTACAGTGACTAGAGAGACTTCATCTATCTCACTCCCCAAAGCCAACACCCACTCCTCGCTAAATCTCGGCAAAGTAGTCTCTTCTCTCCTCCTCCAGCTCTAGTCACCGGACAAGTAGCTCGGATCCACCGTTCCGTTAATTCTGATATCATATATCCCGATTAACCTCGACCTCGACCTCGACCTCGACCTCGACCTCTGAAAACCTACCCTAGGCCGCACACCCGGAGTCGATCATTTACTAGCCAGCTAGCCAACGTAAATCCAACGATCAACTCTGTTGGCCTCCCTGGGTAATTTGAATTACTATACCACCTCGGTGCTCCGATATAAGGACGTAGAATACGTATACTACTCCCGATACTACGCCGCGCTCAAGGCAATTGATAGCTGCCGCATAAGTAGAGAGACTGCCGATTAGGGATAATTGATCCCATTCCATGAGTGTGTAGGTACATGGTCATGAGTTCAGATGTATACGAGAAGTTTTCAGTATGTAGTTGTTCAACGTCGGCGACTCTAGCTTGTAGCAGCGAGGTTTGATCATGAGTGCTGATAAGTTGAGAGTACTACATGTAGTTAGCTAGCTAGCTAGTACATACTCAATTGAAGATCTCTCGGGAGTGCCCATAGCAATGCCAAAATCCCCCTCTCTCTCTCTACCATCTAGACTCCCTCTTCACCACTCCCCAAACCCAGACACGGAGAAGAGGCATCTCTCCCAAGCCCAGTACGATATATGATGACTATTCACACCTCGGCGCGGCCCCCAGCCACAAAAGAGGCAACAACGGGCGCATCCTTCCTTATCAGAGACAATCCCCAACTGACGTGCAGCAAGCAACCATCAACCAGGATAAGCATACCCAACCCAACAGCTCCCGGCCAGGCCGCCAGATATAGCTCCCCCACCCAAGAGCTCCGTCTTCGGGCCTCCGAGTTTTTTTGCTGCTGTCTCCTGACGGGTATTTCTCGTACGTCCGTACCGTACCGTCGCACCCGTGGACGACTGCACTGGTGCGTGGGCTGGGAGGAATCGAGTGAGGTCACTCCACATACTTGCATGGTCAGCGCGCGAGATTGCGGTCCCGGATTAATTTCGTATATGCGGACGGATTAATTTTTTTTTGGACGGCGCACGGCGGGCCTGTTGTATAAAGGTTGCTTTATTCGCACCGGGAGCAGAGAGTATTTATTCTTCAGCAATTGTGTGTTTCTACAGTATTACAGTAATTACAGCAGCAGCAAATATATATACAGCAGATTAGATCATAGAACTAGATCTATCATAGAGCTTTTACCCATATCCGGTTCTTCAGCCTTTTTACACTGCCTCACGTACGCTCGACTTTAAGTCTTTACAAGTTACATATATACGCACCGAAATATCACTCATAGGCCGAGAACATTGAGGATACCATTACCACCTACAAGCCTACCTTTCTACCTTTCTACACTCAAAAAACCATGTCTTCAATACCCACGCCCTCCCACCTGTCCACGCTCCCCCCCGAGCTCCTCACCAGCGTCCTCTCGCACCTCTTCACAAAAGACCTCGTGCACGCCTCCAGCGTCAACCACGCCATCCACGACTGCGCCGACTACCTCCTGCGCCAGCGCATCCGGCACATCCCCGAGCTCGACGGGCACGCCATGGTAATCGAATGCTCGCCGCCCAGCAACCGCGTAAGCCCTCCTCCTTCTCTCCCCTCCCCCAAAACCCGACATAGTAAACTAACATCTCACTTTCTCCAGTTCACGGCGCCCTACCACCCCTGCAAACACACCAGCACGCACCCCAGCACCGCAACCCTCACCGCCAACACGCCCACGCCCTCGCTGCCGCTCCCCGCAGAGACAAGCCCCAGCAGCGTCTTCTCGCACTTTACGCCGCACCCGCAGACGCGCACCGACGTTGTGCTCGAGGCCGGCGAGTTCTTCACGCAGCTGTGCGCGAGCAGCTTTCTCGCCAAGAGCGTTGGCGTCGTTGCGAGCGTGCGGCCCGTGTTTAGCGAGACGTTCTTTAGAGTGAGGAGGTCGTGGCTGCTGGAGGGAGTCAAGTGTGCGGAGGGCAGGATGGTGTGGTTGGATGAGAGGGGGAATCTGGGGTTGCGGTTGAAGGTGGAGGGGGAAGCGGCGGGAGAGGAGGAGGAGGCGCAGTTTGGCGTGGTGGTGGAGGAGGTGGTGGTGCGGAGTGGGTATTTGGTGGAGGTTGTCGAGGGGGTGTTGTAGTGGCCGGCTGTGACGGGTGAGAGGTTGTGATTGGGGGAGTAATAGAACTAGAGGTTGTTAGTTTTTCTTTTGTGATATTTTCTTTTGTAGACTATTTCTTGTTAGCTTGTGTTTTCTCTCTTTTGGGTTGCGGTTTCTTTTCCTTTGTCTGGAGCAGGGTTTTGGGGTTATATTTGGGGATCAAACGAATAGTATATACAGCCGGTACGAAGAATACCTAGAGTAATGATATATTTTACACGAAACCCTCCGTCCTTCTAGTAGTTAGCACTCCTCCTCTAATTCCTTCCCATACCATCCCTCTTCCTCTACTCCCCCCTACTTCTTCAACGCCCTCTGCACCGCACCCGCCACATCCCCCTGCACCACTGGTCTACCCTCAAGCTGGGCCATGACCGCCTTCATAACCTCCCCTATCTTTCCCACGCCGCCCTCCAGCACCTTCTTGACGACGCCCTCAATCTCGTCCAGGCCGACCCTCTCCACCTGCGCGGCATAGCCCTTCAAGACCTCAATCTGGCCGGCCTCCTTGGATGCCAGGTCGTCGCGGCCGGCGCTCTGGAACTCGGACAGGCTGCTGAGCGACTTGTCGAGCGTCTTGGTGATGATGGAGAGGAGGTGGATGTCGGTTGTGGGTGGCGTGGGCATTTTGGAGGCGTTGGAGATCTCGGCGATGAGTGACTGGGGGGGGGGGTGGTTAGTGTGTGTGTGGGAAGGGGGGGGGGGAGGGCAGTTGGGAGGGGGAGAGGTACGCGGCAGACGTTGAGCCTAGAGGGGGGGGGGTATGTTAGCGGGTGCGGAAGAGGGGGCGGGGGAAGTGGCGGCGGGGGAAGTGGCGGGGGACGCACTTGTTTGTGTCCTTTGCGCGCATGGCGTCCTTCATGTCGGATCTGTATGTGCGGGAGGTATCGTATCATATCAGTCCGTCTATTCCAATTCCAATTCAAATCTCGTCTTGTACTCCAGCTGTCTCATGTATATGCCCTTCTCCGCCGCCCTCAATTGCAATTGCAATCGCAATCGTAGATATCCGTAGACAGATCAGAGCACAAACCTAATCTTCGCCAACAACGGCGGCGACGACGTCGCCGTCGAGTAGAGCCTTGCCGCCGGGGCTCTGCGGAACAATAGCGATCGTGCAAGCATCTCTCTGTGTCTGTGTCGGAGAGTTGAGAGTTCCAAGATCTGGTGTGCTTCGAGATTAATCGGGTGGTTGCGGGTGTGAGAAAAAAATCACCCCACTGCAGCAGCAGCGGAGGAGGAGGGTTAGGGTTTCTATGCGGTTTGGCAGGGGTTCGGCTGGCGACGTCAGCCGCGTCCCGATGCGGTGGCTGCCGGTGTGTGTCAGAGAGAGAGAGGACTGCGACTGCGACTCTGCTGCAACTCTACAACTGCTGCTCTTCTTCTGATCGCGATATCAAACAAACATCACTTCGCCTCACCTCCACCGCTAGCACAGACAATCACACACAGACACAGATAGATAGCTAGACTGCACAATGGCCTCCTCAGCACACATGAACCCCTACGACAACTACGAGTCCACCCGCATCTCCGCCGACATCATCGACCCCGACGACCGTACCTCCCCCTCCCCTCCTCTCTCTCCCCATTCAAACCATCCTACTAACCCCCTCCAGTGGACATCAACGACCTCGACGACCCCCTCGACAACCCCACCACCCCGCTCAACCCCTCCGCCCTCACCTCCGCCATCCCCGGCGAGGACCGCCGCGCGCCCACAAACACCCTCGACGAGTCCGTGTGGGACACGCTCTCGCGCGACATCCTCGCCGTGTGGGCCAAGATGAAGGCCGTGCTCTACCCCAAGTTCACGTTCAGGCGCTGGCCCGACGCCAACGACGTCCTCGAGTCCGGCGGCAGCAGTGGCAGCGGGAGGGTGCTGGGCGAGTGGGATCTGTGGGGCCCGCTGGTGTTTTGCCTGGCGCTCAGCACGCTGCTGAGTGTGGCGGCGGGCGCGGAGCAGAAGACGCAGGTGTTCGCGGGCGTGTTTGCGATGGTGTGGGTGGGTGAGGCGGTGGTGACGGCGCAGATTAAGTTGCTGGGGGGGAATATGTGAGTTTGTCCTTTTCTTCTACTAGCGGTTGGCGTACAGACAACAGACAGCAGAATACTAATATGGGGAGGGGGGGGGTAGTTCGTTCTTCTCCTCCGTCTCGATAATCGGGTACACGCTCTTCCCCGTCGTCATCTGCGCGCTGCTGTCGGCGCTACACGTGCCGTCGGTGGTGCGCGTGCCCGTGTATGCCGCGTGCTTCCTGTGGTCGCTCGCGGCGGGCGTGAGCATTCTCGGCGGCAGCGGCGTCGTGAGGAATCGTGTGGGGCTGGCGGTGTTTCCGTTGGGCGTGTTTTACGGCGGGTTGGTGTGCTTGTGCTTGGTTAGCTAGTGGGGAGTTATGGAGTTTGGAGGGGGGGGTGGGTAGAGGGGGGTGTGGGATGGGGTGAGGGGAGGGGGTGTTTTTCTTTTTGTGCTTGTTTCTTTGCTGTTTTTGTGGGTTTTACTTTTACTGGTGGAGGAGGAGGAGGTCAAGGGGCTTGCTTGCTTTGTGGGCGCTGGTACTATTGGGAATATATATATATATGCTAAGGCGCTACTTCTCCGCCCGCCCCTCTGTTCTGATGGCTTTGCCCGCGCTGTAGATTTGAGCAATTTCTATTGAATTCGGAAATTGAGAATTGAGAATGGGCTGGTAACTAATGACTTGACACCATTGTAAATACCCAGCTTTAAGGTTGCAATAGCCGTAACTCTGGAGAATTGAATTGTGTACATGTAGTTTCATATTATCTGGCTATCCTTGGATTGGTTTGGTGTTGTGGTGGAGAAGTTGGGATTGGGTTGGTTGGGGTTGGGGCCGAGGTGGAGTGGACTAGCGTGGTGCGAGTACGAGTGACAAGTTGTGATTCGACTCACTCACTTACTCGCTTTAGCTCTTTCTACTCTTCTCGACTGTTGATCACGCTTTCTATCACCAACCCACCACCTTAATCCACTCAGCTTCTATCTCCAACGTACGCCTCCCATTCCATCACCATAATCCCTCACTGCCCTCATGTTTATACACTCCACGACCAGCCGGCTATCCGTTTCTATTTACTACACGTTTCGTCGCCGCTCCTGTTCGCTGCTACATACCCCAAGCACATGCACCGCCTTCGCCCCCCCCCCCCCCTCCCACCCCAGTACACACTTCTGCTCACCCCACCCCACACTATCTACTCCCGCTCCATCCAGCGAAGCTACTACCCGCCCTCATCGGGTCTTGTGTTCCAATATAGAGAATGTATCAAGAACTTGGTACGCTTGTGGGTCGCCCTGGAAGGTTAAATTGAAGATGACTGGGGCCCCGGGGGGAGGGGGGGGGGCGTAGGTAGGTTGCGATGTCCTGGGAGGGGAGGGGGTGTTCATTTTACGCTGGTTCTATGTACCACGAGGTGACTAGTATGGAATGGATTGAGAATGGACTGAAGCCGATACTTCCCGGTTGCGTATAGCAATACCTACCTAATAGTTAATGGGGTGTTTTTATATAAAGGGCCGGGTTTGACTTTTAGATTTGCAATAATCCATGCTGCCTTAGCGAGTGAAAATGGGTTGTCGAGTGATATTTCATGATCCCCGGCTTTCTACTTCGCTCTAGTAAATGAACGCGGGTGTTCGACGTGAGGTTGGGGTTAGAATAGTTGGGGTTACTTCTTGGTGGTGCATCATATATTCAAGGGGCGCGGACTGTCCCAAACTTCAGCGTGCCACGGTATGTAGTTCTTTAGGGCACGGCTTCGACCTACGGATACATAGTTTTCTAGCTGTGCAAACTACACAAGCTCACAACCTGTAAACCACCTATACTATGGCATGCCAGGCATGCTAAAATCAGTTACCCTTAATTATGAGAAAGTATGGGACATTCTTGCTTTGTTGAAAGTGTAAGCTTGCCTAATTCTTGGCGAGAATATGTTAGTACCGAGTGACAGACTATGACCCTTAGCGCATTCATTACCCAACTTCCTACATACATAGTACTTCTTGATAATAAACACGCGCGGTTCCAACTACATATCATCTTGACATGCAACGTATCAAACAAGAAGTAGACACCTTCGCTATAGTATGTATGGTGCTCACGGTATATGGTATAACAAAGCACGTAATATAAACAAATAAAGCACATTAAATAGTTAAAGGAGTTCTAATTAAAGACCTCTGTATCTTCAATAGACTTTCTTGCCTTCATCGATTACTTGTAGTCCATGAAAGCACCATAAACCCATATGCTCCATACCATTGTGTAGGCATCGTCGAATAGCGTATCCTGATAGCGGGGCGGCCAGAATAATCTCATCTTGGCATGTTCTTATTGCTTAAGTAATAAAGGTCTCTGATCCCCACCTCTTTAAAACTCTATATTGCTACTTCTGAGCTATTCGCCTGGTCTAGATTACCCCTCAGAAGCACGCTTCATCTCTCCTAAGTCCAATGGTCTCCTGGCCCCACTTTTCTTTTCTTTTTTTGGACCTGGGAACCATGGCGCTAGATCTACCTCCAGTCTCCCCGCCTCCATTTCTGGGGCGGGGTCGACGGGACGAAGTACGGTTGGGATTACCTATAGTGGGTTAGGGTTTCTTCCCCCCCTTCCCTCCCTTTTGTGCATTTCGTCATGCAAGCACCCCACCGAATACCCTTGTGACGCAGTGGTTAGCGTGTCGTTCTTATACCAAGTATTCCAACTTGTATGCAATGCGAAAGCCGTCAGTTCGACCCTGACCTGGGGTATCAATTTTTTATTGACGTAGCCTCCTCCGGTGGGCTGTGAGCGGGCGACCAGTCGGTCAATCATGTCTAGCAAGGAAATTGTGGTCGAGTGATATGTCATGACCCATGACTCTGTCTGTCAGCGCATCCCCTAATTTCATACTTTATTCTACTAATAGATAGGTATAGTTTAGGTACAAGTATATGAACATCTTGATAGTTGTGCTTCCTCCCTGCTTGCCATGCGAGTCTTTAATAGGTAAATATTGGCTTTTATGGTCGTGGGTTAAGGCGAGAACTTATGAAGTAACACTTGTTTTATGGTAAAACCATGGTACCGGCATATCCATGGCCACTCGCTCATAGCGACTTTCTCTCATGTTTCTATAGAGACCAAGTTCCAGGTAGTATATCCAATGAATCCGACCTCCTTTTATGGTTTGTAGTGGGTACTGGTGTAGCATAGAACGGATACCCTTCATAACCAATGGACTAGATGAAAACCCTCAAAATTGCATCAGGACAGATAGCTGTAATTTCGGCTACTTACTAGTATTCTGTCTGTAGATCTGTGACCGTGGAACAAAGGTAACGTAAGGGATGTGTAGTGTTTCTGATCCAAGGGGCTGATATTCGTGTGGAAAAGCCTGCAGTGTTGGTGGATATAAAGACCATAGGGCACTCAACATCTCTTGGAGTTAAAATAGACTCAGCCAATACCCATTAAAGAACGAACAAACTATCAGTCAATAATTAATTCTTACTGGAGAACCGGAAAAAAAAAAGTAATCCGAGTGATACTTCGTGAGTCGATATTATCCAATAAGATAGCGATAATTTGCGAAAGGACTCCGATACTGCATCTGTACAACGGGAATGGCCTGTACTAGGCGTAACTAACAAAAACGTTACCAAGCACGATCGTAAACGGGACGGTGAGTGGAAACATCATAGGGGTTACCTCAAGTTTAAGTATTACTGGAAAGTTGGAACACGGGCAGTTGCTACGAAGCCTATTTGCCAGTTAGTGGACTAAAAAGTCTTTAAATCATACAAAAGAGATTAAAGACACGCCCGTTGTAAATGTCTCCTGGGACAAGCCGTTGTTGTCGCGATCTGGTCGTTCACACGGCTCACTGCGCTGCTGTTAACACATGTACATAGACGTGTTTGCTGAGCTACATGTAGTTCTTTTGAATCGGCCGTTTCCTCAGTTTTCTACTCGAATGTCTTAAATAAAACGACGTTGCAAGTTTTTATGCGAATACTTACGGAACGCCACACCTGAGTAAGGATGGGTCCTAGGACAGATCGACAGCTGTACACTTCGGATTCGAGTCCAAGGCAGTATTCTTGTATGAGGGTATTATATAGCGTCATACTAATAATGCATGGAGCAGAGTAAAACGTGGTTTTCTCCGAGAGATCTCGAGCGGGCTGTGTGCCCGATTGCTGACTGTCGCGGTGGAAAGGCCATATATGTATTAGAGAAAATTTTATCGTGGGTGGGAGGCAAAAGCCAGATATGGTAAAAGAGTCACTAGCACGCGATTTGTGTTTGGGGTCGGGTGTAACGTCCCGACTAAACGAGTGATACGCCGTGACTGCAACGGCTTAGTACCGCCCCTGCAGTCTCAACTCTACCCTGAAAATGTTTCAGTATTTTGGGCCAGCGAATTTAAAGTTTATTAGTCGTGCGCCGTTTTAGTCGGGTGCTTAAGACTGTTGTTTCCTCCTTCCCTACGATTCACGAACGCTTATATAATCCGTCTATAGGTCACTTTGGAGTTCTGAATCGTTGTCACCTCCTTGTCATGATCCCTGCTTGTCCAAGCTGATAATAATACTCTTTTTACAAGGTTTTACAATGACACTGTGGTGGAGTGGTTAACACGTTCGCCTGCTATTCTTAGGGAAGTGTAAGCGGATGCCTTCGGGCGCGCGAGTTCGAATCTCGTCGGTGTCGTCATATCTTTTTCCTTTCCAGTTACTTACTGGACCCTACAGGGTAATTGCAGGGTCCTCATTCCCGCGTCTTTTAATGTCTCTCATGTCCTCTTTTAGAATCCGTTGAATTTATCTAGCCCACCACTATCCAATCACATGACCAAATACCATCCAGCATCACCAGTAACTCTCCCGTTCGCGGCGCGATTTGATACACCCTCCTCTGCTCCAATCTACCGTGCTGTCCCCCTCTTCCCCCTGTTATTGCGGACCGCACACAGAACCCAACATGGCAGGTTCAATCCCAACTCGTGGGGTCTCGTGGTTCCTTCACAGTGACCGACGGATGGGACCGGTCAAGGATTCATAAATACAGGGAACCAATAGAAGTCTGAAAGCCCTCCCCCATCCCTCCTCCCATCGTGAATTGCCCACTCCATACCACCACGGATGCTAGCTATCTTTTCCGCCGTGTTTCACACTCCCTTTTTCGGGTCCCAGAGAATTTCTTTTACTTTTTTTTTTCTCTTTCAAACTGGAGAGTAGTGTATCCACCCCCTTGATCGCCGAGTGATGTTTAGTGATCGGTTGGAGGATGGTGGTGGTGGTGGGTTGGTCATCTGTGCGAACTGGGCGGTTCAATGGCGGAATATGACATAGCTGGGGGAGTTACCTAAGGGGACGTCGCATGACCGAGTGCTCGCTAAGACGCGAGCGAGCACACAGACTGTCTGTGGTGCGATATGTATGATGGGATGGTGCTGGGCACAACGCACAGACAGTGCGTATGTGGGTACTCTACATTTTTTTTTGTTGCTTGATCGCAATCTTAGCCGCCGCCAGAATTAATTTCTTTTTTATCATTTTTCACAAAATGTACCCTTTTCGATCCTCCCTTATCGATGTGCGGTGGTGGCTGCGGGCCGGCCGCGGACAAGAAAAAATGTCTTAATTGGCGGAGGAAAAAACCTGGTTTGGGGAATTCTTCGTTGTGGAGGTCTGGGTGTGGGGGAAGAGGATTTGGATTGGAAAGGTTGGGGGTGGGGAGAATACACGCGCTGTCACATGTCGTCTCATATGGACTTTTTATAATTTTGGGACGATCAAGAATCACAATAGTGGGTTTGTGGGATTCTAGTGGATAAGGAGAGGAGATGGTAGATGTAGGTTTTTATTAATTTGGGAGGAGCTACGGGGAGGGCGGCGGCATGGGGCCAGTGGGGGGAGATGGGCAAGATACGGAGAGATGTTTTGATAGTCGTAAGGCTACCAGGTGATCATCACTGGGTGCTGATTTCTGATTGATCGTTGATCAATTGTGCATAATGCTGATCAAACGTGCGCAACCTCACGGTGAGTGAGGTGAGTGATTGAGTGATTGAGCACCATAACCATAATTATGCTCAACCCGTGGCGCCAAACTCACAGAAAGAGCCTTACCACCTAGGTACATGTACTGGCACCATGATGCTGTAGCGGGTGAATACTACCATCCAGGGCCCGGATTTGGCAGCCGAGTGATACTCTGTGACTGCACATGTAGTTCCCCCTAAGCCGTTATTTTCACCCGTTAGCAAAAACCGTGACTATCAGTGCCAATGGATTGAAGTGTTGATATCATTTCAAGCCTGCAAACCCCACGAACCCCCTTCCAATACCAATACCCACCGCCAACCGGACCCCCCGAAAGCCAAAAATAACAAAGAATCACATAAAAACAGCCAGCCAGCCAAAAGGGTTTGAAGGAATATAAGAACCAGCAAATTACCAACGGCGGTCCAAAAACCAAGGCGCGCGGACCCTTTCAAGAAACGGAGAACGGAGAACGGAGAACTCAAGTGAGAAAAAAAATATTGAGATAAGAGCAAAGAGGATATTTCATACGACGAACCAGATACCAAAAATGAAAAAGAATAAAGAAAAAAAGGGCCAATAAACTACAATTGAAGAATTTCCAGGATTAAAAATAAGAAAAAAAAATCGGAAAAGCGTTTAAGAAGGAGCGGTGCATAGGAAAAACACTGAGATAAAAAAAAGGTCAATAGAAAATAATCCGCTCGCTTCAACAACTCGGTCCAACAAAACAAAAGGAGCTTCCCAAATCGGCAAAAAAGCCCCAAAGGTATAATATCCTCATCTGATCTCGCATCTCCTCCACCACCGCAACTAGCCATAAAATCCAGCCAAAAAAACAGGGGGAAATAAATGATGATAGAAAAAATAACATTACAAAGGAAAAAAATAAGTAATGAGTAGTTAAATATGTTGCGTTACGCCCGGCCAAAAAAAGAATTGTCTATACGGTCTCCCAAAAATTTCTCCCGAAAATTCGATATTTCCTTATTTTTTAAAGGTGACTTTTCGCTAGACAGCGACACTTTTTCTGGTGTCAATTGATGACCTAGCAGTCGTGAATCTTTCGCCGAATTCACTGTCCCTGGTCCCCACTCGCCCATTCATCGTAGGACGGGGTAATGGATCCATTGTGTTGTATTCGTTTCTATTCGGCTCTGGGGGAGCGCCCAATTTTCGCCATTGCCCATTGATCCTTGCGTACCGGCAGTACTAAGCTGAGAGGTCGGTACAGTAGTGGGAGATACCGGACTCTCTAATTCCGTACCTGCACTTGCTCTAGGACCTGTTCCAGCACCAAAAGCGGCCCCATGAATACTTGGCCATGGAAACGGTTCGTCTCCAGAAGCCCCGGATTCACTTGGCCCTGGGGAAGCGGTTATGACCTGAAGATCTTCATATGATGAATTAAATTGCGTATTGATCCTGTGAGGTTCGGGATGAGCATGGTCTCCAATGCTGCCTTCTGAATGATCCCTTCCATGGCCAGATTCGGATGGTCGATATAGATGGGTAAATGTTTCACTAGAATGATTGTCTGGCTCTGAAGATGTCTAAGTTGATTTTCACTATGGTAAGCCATCACGACGAATAAAGATTACGGGGAAGTGAGTCTTACCCTTCCATTGAGCAAAAGCCCAGCCACCCCGCTGTTGTATCCGCTTTCACCTGCTTGACCGCCGTGTCTCCCATTGAGAGATACTTCAACAATTCCATTGGCATCAGGCTCCCCAATGACATACCCGTGCCCATTCCCAGTACCAGCACCCTCAATTACAGCATTATCTTCGTCGCGATGTCCATCACCAAGACGGGGTACGTAACCATCATTATGCTTTGGGAAAAGTGCGATGATATCCTTTGCAGACATGCGGCCTTGGGGCCGTTCACATAAGCAGGCATCAACAATATTCTTAAAGTACTCTGGCACATCTGGTGGTGCTGTGTCCATACTCAGAGGTCTTTGCATCGCTTCGGGCTCATCATGTATGTGTGCAATTCCCCACAACACCATTCCAAGCTGAAATATATCAGATTTAACGCCAATATACATTCCAATTCTCTGCAGACCGTCAATCATCGCTGTCACCTCTGGGGCTCCCATCCTACGGGGCAACCTCGGCGGTTGATGTCGATAATCTTCGCATCGTCGTTTTCGTCTATCACGATGTTGGATAGGGTAAAGTCGCCTTGGACATACCCCGCTTCATGGACCTCGGAAAGCCCCGAAACAATTTGTTTTGCCCATTTCTCCCGTAGCCTCCATGGGAGATGTTTTTCGTGGTAAATAATGTCAATGAGAGCCCCCTTTGGCGCAAAGCTGATAAGGAGCCCTTTGACCTTTTGCCGCCTCTCATCCACAATGCAACCTCCAAACCGGATGACATTTTGAGAGCCTTTCAATGCGTAAAGAGCGTTGATTTCGTACAGGAATTCGTCGACGGTATCAGGGCCAGGGATTTCTTTCTTAATATAAACTTTGTCTTTAATCTTGACCTTATAAACGAACCCGGAAAGATGGGATTCGAATTCCAGATCCGACTCCTTATACTTCGGGCATCTTAGATGCGCAATGGCGACTACTGGGGGGTACGGGATGATTTCCTGTATATCTTCGGTAACGTGGACATGGAGTCGCCCGCCGCTAGTTTTCAATTTGAGATTTGTGATGGTCTCATAGAACTGTATGGATGGCAATGATTCCTTGATAGCTTCGTATATCTTCGCACTTTTGTCGCGCTGATATCGCATATCCGCCAACTCTCGCTCCAACGTCCCCTCCGGAGCATCACGGTAGTCGCACGAAACCGTCAGCCTGCGGCGCAGGTTCGGCGTCTCGGCATAAGTGACGAAGAATTTTTCTCGGTCAGATTGATCGCGGAAATGCATGCTGAGATTCAGGATCCACCGCCAGTCTATTTCCTTATCGATCTCTTCTTGCCGAATCAACTCGCTACTGGTTTTCTCCTCTTCATGGGGTGGCTCGCTATCGCCCGCAGCAGTAAGAAGCCCATTATGGATTGCTGATACTGGAGATGTTGCGGTTGTTGCTGGGGCTGGTGTGGTGTACGTTGGCTCGCTTTCCGCTTCCTCCTCTATGACCGTATCAGATGGCTGTGACGACGATGATGACGTTGTCTCGTTACCATCAGAATTTTCCTCCGTTGAGGTCTTGGGTCGGGAGGGTACATGCTGGTGATTTTCGGGCGGGTGCCTCTGGCCGCTGGGCGTAGTCCTCCTGGGCTCGTTCGGTGGTACTTGAAATTCTCTGCGTTCCACCTGCTGCTGCGAGCGCCTCCCCGGTAATAAATTACTACCCCCACCCCGCCTACCAAGGACGTGTTGATGGCCATCTTTGAATGCTAAAACCCATTTTTTGAATCGCGTGAAGGGGTCGGCCTTTGGAGCGCCGGCCGGTACGTTAGGATGAGCAGATGCCATACCCATGCAGAGGGTCATCTAACCGTAATTGGGGGAAATTTTGTCTGGACCAAACATCCAACCCCAATTGCCCACCTTAAGATTCTCTTTCTCTCTCTCTCTCTCTCAGTTGCTTATTACGTCCCCTAGATGTTATTTCTTGGTAGCCTTTGTGTTGCTGTTTAGTTATGGAGTTCGTGCGAGGAGGATTGGGGGATGGTTTGCGGGCGTTCAGGTGTGATTGGGATATGATGTGGAACTGTTGGGTGGATATGTGGATGAAGGGCTCAGATGAGTGTTTCCTGTATCGTCTTCGGATGAAAAAGCGATGGCGTAGGCGCGGCGCCACCAACCGGGATGTTCGTACCGGGCGCGAGGAGCAAGCGCCAGGGTGTCTAGTCTGGTCAGACTCACTGATGACGAGATGTGGGAGGAGTGAAGGCTGAAGGAGAAACGAGGGGACGAGGGTCAGAAGAATTAAGCTGCAGCTTACGAACTGACTGTAGTAGCGCCGTTAGAAGTTTGGAGCGGAAAAATAGCCCTTTCGTTTTTGGAACACCGCTGCGCACAGGGTGTGTTTAATAAGTACCCGTTAATAAAAGGTTCCCCCGCCCTCAGTTCGTGTTTTTCCGGAGAGACGAGCGGAGTGCCTGTAATCGAGAAGATTTAGTATGAGCATGTATGTATGTAGGCCTGAATGTAAAGGGACGTAAGTGTTATGCGTGCTCAACCAAGGCAGGACGGTAGCATCATCGACAGAGGCTCAGACGAGCCAATGCGGGCTTAGAGGGCTGTGAATGGACGAGGCTGTTCTTGGAAACAATATAAAAAAACTCCCGTATTTGGGTTTTTTCAGAAAAAATAAAAAAATGAACGACGGGATACGGTACTGGTTCAGACAATGAGCGAGAGAGGGAGAAGGACGGGGTGAAGGTCAACGAGATTCTCGTTACCGGACGCCGTGTTTCTTTCTTTGCTTTTCCTTTCTTTCCTCGACGGTTTTAACTCAAGCACGCTTTTTTCCAGCGTATGCAAGCTTTCCTCATCGCCTGGCTGAAGGCCCAATTATAGAGGGTTTTCACTGCAGAGTGAGCTGGCACGCTCAAAATCCTTACAAGCCGTGAACGAACTGAGCTCTCGTCCAGTAAGTCGAATAGGTAGGCAGGTAGATAGAGGTAAGGTAGAGAGAGATAGATGTAGAGCGTGGGTAAGGTAAAGTAAGGTAGCAAAAGTTAGATAGGGTATCTTCCGTTTATCGATTTCAATTATTATGTTTTTTTCTCCGGTTGTTTGAGAAGAATTGTGTGCCTTTAAGAATTGCTTTCTTTTCTTCTTCTTCTGGTACCAAGAAATGCTCCTACATAAGATCCGCCATCGTTCAGCCTGTATCCCCCCTCCTACAAAGGGAACAATTTTTTCTCCTTTCCCCTTTAATATATTATTTAGTTTTTTTTTTTTCTTTCATTTCCCGCTATGTAAATGCCTCTGCCACCTTTATTTGGTAGCGACAGAGGGTTGCAGTGCTGTCAAACCATGATATGTGTTTATGAATGTTGACAAGCCCGTTCGGGATGGGGGTAGGTACAGTATGTCTGACTGAACGAACTGAAGACAGAAGGAACCACCGGTGCGGTGGGGTGCGGCGGTGGTGTGGTTGCGTGTGGGTGCCAATTGTGGTGGTTGTGGAGGTGGTGATGTCGGTGCCAGTAGTAGTCAGAGTTACGAAACTCTCACTCACCTGGAATAGAGTGAGTGTGTTCAAAAGTGAGCAGTGTGTAGCACATACTTACTGGACTGGTACGAGTAGGTTGGGCTTCCAGAAAAGCCGAGCTTTTTTTCTCATGCAGCCGACGGGTTGAGAATAACCCATTCCCTTACTGCATGAACACATGCGTTCGGATGCAGTGCTGGCACCAATAAAAACCGTTCTGGGCTCCCCCAGCATCACCCCGCAGGCACCACAGACGCGCCCGCCGGCGTAGTTACCGGTCTGTAGGAAGAGAGGTATGATAGATAACCTTGTTGACAACCCCTCCTCCATCAGTTCGAGCTGAAGGGTAGCAATGAGTTTCTGATGGTCAATCTTTGCCCCTCTAGGTAGGTATCTCTATGGACCGTCTTTTCCACCTCATCCTCTTCTTTGGTCTGTCCATGTTTCCACAATCCCTGAAGGGGTGGGATTGATTCTGGTCCCATCGTGTGTCACCCTATTTCATCATCTATCAAACGCCAAACGAGGGGGATCGGCCGGCCAACCACCAACGGATAAGATTGTTTTAACATACGGGGACGGGATGGAAGGTGGGAAGGTAAGAAAGTGCTGTAGTGGGAAAAAATTGTGATAGATGTTGACGTGTTCCTGGCTGGCCGTCGATGTAGAGTAGATAAAAAAAAAAGATTGTGGGAAATCCCATATGTGTACGGGTAACACTACAGTCCTGTATGTACCAGTTACAAGGATAAACAAAAAGGAAGATGTTCCTGATGTGTGTGATGTGATGTGATGTGATGTTAGATTTACCTTGTTAGGGATAGCCTACTTTTGATAGGCGAGTTAGAAAAACGCACTTGGGTCTAGCGGCAGTAAAGTCTGAGGGGCAGCTAGACATTGAGGCTCAACTAATTCTTAGCAGAGCGGGGATCAGGTGCGCTCGCGTGTTTTACTTCCCCGAGCTAGTTAACCCTTATGTGCTAACTCTGTGGGAAAAAGGAAAAAAAAAAGAGTTGACCTGTCTTGTCTTGTGTCCCCTCGCACAGCAGTAGTCTGTTCGCTGCTACTACTACTGCTCGTATGTATGGGTAGTAGGTACTAAGGGCAATTAAGGTAAATAATCATCATAATAGACGGGAAAAATAAAATAAAAACTAGATGCTTCTGCTGGCATCGAGGCACAGCCAAAAAGCAACGTCAACAGGATGTCAATCAACAACACAGCGGACAACGAAACAATCGAGATTTAAACAGACATAAAACGGCCCACCATAAGGCGGAGTCCAGGGGAAGAAGGAGAGAGAGAAAAAAAAGCATCAATGTCTCGGTTGTCAGTGCCGCCGCCCCGAAAGCCATTTCTCCTCTGCTCCAGCTCTATCATCTTCTACGGTAGGTATATGAGGATGCTCTACTCTAGCTAGATAGCTTCCATCATGCTCTTCCGCAATTGCCAAGAAATGTACTAAGGGTAGTCGATATAAAATCCCGGAACTAGAGAAGAGGTGCAGCATCACACTAAGGCAGGTGGGTGTAGCTGTAGCTAGAGCAGTAGCAAGCGCTCGGAGAGAATGCAGCTGCAAGCAAGAGTACCCTACAGAGTAAGACCAACAAGCAGGTCTCGGAACAAATCCACAACGTGGGGAGGTGAGAGGAGACGAGAGGAGGAACATCAGCATCATCACCACCATCATCCCCCAAACACCTTACTCTAGCTAGTAGCTACATACCTAGAGCTCGACATCCACACATACACCCCCACCCCACCTCCCCGGTATCTATTTTGCTAGTTCACCACACCTTTTTGATCTTACGACGAGTCTCGTTTTCTACTTACCAGGTACGCACATGCCATAATCGCCGTCCTGCCCAATTGACGGTGTTTCCTGTTACCCATTACCATATATAAAGCACACACTTGCCAACGAACATGTGCCATCCAAACACTTGACACATCCATCGTAGGATGTAGGCCGGTAGGCCATCACTTAGGTACATACACACATCTATCTAGAGTAGGCCATGATACTGATCAAATCTACAACATGTGCCAGTCGTAACAATCAGCCCACCAAGCCAGCCAGTGACCGTTCCAACCCAACCTATCGGTCTCTCGGTACATAGTAAGAAAGTACTACCGTCGTAAAAAGTACTAAACCTTTGAGACACGAGGGTTGAACAATCTGTCCATAAAAGTATAGTGGGTACATGTAGTAGTATATGTAGTACCTACTCTGCCTAGAGTACATGTACTTATTAATATATGGTCCTGGACAGGGTCCACAGGGTAGTACTACATGTAGCTTGCACCTATAGCGGCGCCGTACTTAAGCCTGTCCACGCGACATGTATCTTACCACTACAATACAGTGCATCGGTACTTTGCAGATCCAAGCGAAGAGATCGTGGGGTGATCGTGGGGCGTATGGTAGGCTGGGAGGTAGAGTATATATGGAGGTACTTTACCTTCCTGGACGTCATAAACTTTAGGGAATCAGATCAGAACGGTTACATAGGGTACATTATGTGTGCATACACACTTCTTGTGTGATGTATGTACATGTAGGTAGCCTCAGTCACTCAGAGACTAAGCGTCCTCTCTCCCAGTTACAGTTACATATTCCGTCTCGACTTGCACAGTAGGTACACATATGTGGGACAGGTTTGATATTCCGGGAGTACCCTACAATAAACGAGATCGTATATCTAGGTACAAGCCAAACGAGTAGACTGTACATACATTGAAGTAACACACCAGGCCATCCCTGCCTGCCACTCAAACTCAACTGCAACCACTGTACAGTCGCTCACCTACTGACGGCGGATCCTGTCTGATGGTTCTGTTTGTAGTAATTTGCCCTTGGCGTCCAAAACCTAACTCTTTTATTGGCCTCAAATCCCTGACCGCCATCAGACAGGATCCGCCTTCACCCCATGAGTGAGTGTACTCTAGACTCATCATAGATAAAACGTCCCTGATGATCCACCACCCCAAGCCCTTCCCTTCCCTCGATCCCCACAACGATATTATAGTTTAATTTTTATTTTATGGAGACGCCCGCTTACCTACCTACCTACTTACCTCCTGCCTATCTGCTGGGACTCAAAAATACACGGGATGGATCGCCCAACCAACGAACGTGGTCTTTATCAGCTGGCCTCCCCTCCCCTCCCTCCTCCGTCGTCATCAGCACCACAACTATCACGATGAATGATGTGCTGTCCGTCTCAGATAAGTATGCTGCATCCGAATTCGATGGCACAACACCAGACGAAAGTCGAACAGCAGTGAAGGGCATACAACAGCTTAGTCGGTTTTGATACTGCATCCCGTTGTGGGAGTGGATGACGATGCTGATGACGATGTCTCTCGTGGTGTGCCGGGAAGATATACTACTTCCCTATATACATACATCTTACATGATTTATGTACTGCCTTAGACATACAGTCGCTCACCTACTAACGGCGGATCCTGTCTGATGGTTCTGTTTGCAGTAATTTGCCCTTGGCGTCCAAAACCTAACTCTTTTATTGGCCTCAAATCCCTGACCGCCATTAGACAGGATCCACCTTCACCCCGTGAGTGAGTGTACAATGCAGAACGAGAGGAGGAAACTCAGTGTAAGGCATGGGAGAGAGAGAGAGAGAGAAATAAAGGAAGATAAGACATAATATGTGACAAGGACTTAAGGTTAGCGCTACTTAGATGCAAGGCCTGCTCGAAGAGAGATGCTAGATGATGATGATGAGTGCGAAGAGCAGAGATGTTCAATGGCCCCTAGAAGGGACAGGGCAGGACAGATAACTACTGACAAAAAATACCCCCCAACCAGCAACCGAAACAAAAAGGAAAACGTCTAGAATGGTCTCCCCAAATACATCAAGTATAGAACAAAGAAAAGAAATAAAAGGTGCAAAAAAACCCATGGGTGAGAAGAAATTTATACATCTAACCCGATAAAACCCAAAAACCTCATTAGTACAAAAAAAAAGAATCTCACGGGCCTATCATATAAATATTCGTTGATGTTTCGGGTAGCTAACCAAAAAATTCAATCATCGTCTTCATCTCTATCCTTCTTGGATTTCCCCTCCTCTTCCTTCAGCTGTTCTGCCCACAGCCCTGCAGCTCTGCTCTTATCAAGATCACTGAACACCAGATCGTAGACATCCTGATACCAGCTGGCCGGGCGCCCTTCGAGGCCTTCTTTGATATTCTATTATAAAAAGACCCAGTCAGCAAGGCGTCCAGTAGTAAAAATAAGCTCTTGATCCGCCGCCGTTTCAGCCTCATGGCAGGAACAACACTCGGCTGCGCGTGAAATAACGCGGGGTTCGAAAGTGCTAGGCAACCCTCCCCGGAAAAACTAAAAACAAAAAACGGAAAAAAACAAAGACAACCTAGGAAGGCTACATACCTCCGGGAGCTCGAGCCAGTCGCTCATGTTGTCAGCCGGGAAGATGATCCTCTTTGCCCCGGATCTACGCGCAGCAACAGCCTTCTCGCGAAGTCCGCCTATCCTCAAGACCTTACCCGTGACTGTAAGTTCGCCAGTCATCGCAATTGTAGGATCAATTTTGTGATCGAGAGCCAATGACAACAACGACGTCGCCATCGTGATACCGGCCGATGGTCCTAGTTAACCGCACCAATGGGAAATTAGTTCTCGGGTAATTGACCAACAAGCGAAAATACATGTTATGTGCGGAAGCATCACGTGCAGGAACAAGGGTAGGCGGTGTAGAAAGGATGCGGGCACGATCAGAAAAGTGAGGGTGAACTGGACATGAGTGGACTGCTGCTTACCATCTTTCTGCACAGCACCTTCAGGACAATGCAAATGGATTTTAGCCTTCTCAAAGAAACGGTTTGAGGGGAAGCCCTTTGCCATCAAGCTCTTGGCAAACGAATAGGCAATTGAGGTCGACTCCTTCATCACATTCTTTAAATTACCAGTGCGCTCCATTCCAGGGCGTGAATTGGGTGTCAAGGCCTGCTCCAGTATCGACTCGACGTAGAGCGCAGCCCCACCCATCTGCGTCCACGCAAGACCCATAACCACTCCCGGAGGTGTAATGTCATACAGCCTGTCCGAGGTAAACACTGGGGGACCAACGTAGTCCTTCAGATTCTCTCTGGTTATGCTGACGTGGACGGACTCCGGAACCTGGAGAGCCACTCGTGGTGTCTCGGTTGTCTCGGACTCGTCGATAGTGATCGGCTTCTCATCCTTACCGACGGCTTCCTCCCGTTTCTCGGATTCCTTGAGTGCTGCTTTTCCTTCCTCAGTTATTGCCTTTTCCTCGGGCAAGGCTGACTCGCCCAGATCTTGAACGATCTTCAGGGCGGATTTCCTAAAAACCTTTTCGATCTGATTTTTTCAGCGAAGATAAAGTAAGCATTAAGATCTCACTGGCTGGGCGATCTGCCATTTCTATTTGGTTGCCTACCTGTTTCTTGAGGTTGCGGACCCCACTCTCTCGGCAATATGATTTGATCAATTCTTCAATGGCATCCTTCTGCAACACCACGTCGACATCTTTCAATCCACTCATCGACTTTGCTTGTGGCGCTAGGTACTTATCCGCGATAGCCATCTTCTCATCAGCGACGTATCCAGAGAGTTCGATCATTTCCATACGATCCAACAATGGGCGAGGAATTGTGTCTGTCATGTTCGCTGTGCAGACAAACAGCACCTTGGAGAGATCGACGGGCACATCCAAGTAATGGTCCAAGAACGAAGAATTCTGTTCCGGGTCAAGGAGCTCCAGCAAAGCAGATGCAGGATCGCCTTGGTGGCCTCGCCCGATCTTGTCGACTGCGTTCATACACTCAGTAAAGGATATTCACCAATCGATAGCGAGGTGGGGGTGGGTGATTGGCCTACTCTCGTCGATGAGAACCAAAGGGTTCTCCGTCTGGCATTTTTTCAAAGCTTGGATGATACGTCCCGGTAAAGCACCGACATATGTCCTCCTGTGCCCCTTAATCTCCGCGACATCTGTCAAACCACCAACACTGAATCTATAAAACTGCCGATTCAGGGCTCTAGCAATTGACTTCCCAATCGAAGTCTTACCAACACCTGTAGGTTAAATGATCAGCTTCCGTGCCACCCTGGATTGGAACCGATTCGTGGAGCTCAATTCCTTGAAACGGAAAGCAAAACGCCGTTCGTCCCAAGGAGTGTCAGGGTTAAACAAAAAATACTTTGCTAACATACCTGGAGGTCCAACAAAGCAAATGATCTTCCCCTCCACGCTGCCTCTTAGTTTCCCCACAGCAATGAATTCCAAGATTCTATCTTTCACATCCTTGAGTCCGTGGTGATCGTCGTCTAAGACCCTCATGGCATGTCTGATGTCATAATTCTCCGTTGAACGCTGTCCCCAGGGTATCTGTGTGAGCCAATCCAAGTAGTTCCGGGTAACATTGAACTCCGAAGCTGCAGATTCAAGATGTGACAGTTTATTTAGTTCCTGTACCAAGATCAGTAATTAAGCCTTACACATGGATAAGAGATCCCGGGATTGAGGAAAAGAAAAGAGACAAACCTCATCGAAAACTTTCTTGACGGCTTCCGGCATAGCCAACTTGTCGGCCTTCTCCTTAAACCTCTCTACCAGTTTATCTTTCCCATCACTCTCAATTCCAAGCTCCCTCTTGATTCCCTTCATCTGCTCCATAAGCCAATACTCCCTTTGCCTCTTCTGGATCTTGGCCTCGACATCCTTTGAGATCTTGCTCTGAAGCTGAGCATTCATGAGCTCCTTCTTCAGTACTACCAGTGCTTTCTGCAACCTCTCCTCAACTGGAAGTGTCTCTAAAACCTCTTGGAGCTCCTTGAACTCACCTGCGGACACGGCAGCTGCAAAGTCGGCAAGCTTGGCTGGCTCATCAATGACGTTACCGGCGGATTGCGACATTGAGAAAGTTGAGATCTGATCGCGGAAGAGGGGGTTCAGGTTGGCGATTTCCTTGAACACGTTGACGATCTCTGATGTGACTGCACGAATGACGGGTGACTTTTTGTCGTAGCTTTGCTCGACAAGGTTCTCGACATCCACAATACTTACTTTGTACTTTTTCAGGAAAGCAGTGGCATAGGGGTTATGGGTGGCGTTGGGCGAAGGTGCTGGTTTCTTCTCTACTGCCTCCTCCTCGAAGCTGGCAACAACATCGCCCTTGTTTTCCGGCTCTGGGATCTCCTCGATCTCCTCAATTGCTGCTTCAGAGACGTCACCTTTACCATCGGCAGTTTCGCCGGTTTCGCGCGGAAGCAAGTTGGAGATCCTAATACGACGATGGGGGTAAAGCACGGTTGTCAGACTCCCCTCCTCGCCGTGGACTGGGAAAGCGCTCGTGATTTGTGCAAAAACACCGACATCGTGGACCTCATCCAAGCTGTCAATTACATCCCGATCGGCATTCTCATCCTTAAACAGGAACGCTCCGATATACGGCTGTCCTCGCTTCATCATTTCCTGAATAGCTGTCGCAACCGTTGGATTTCGGATCGTGACAGCTTTGTAGAATCCTGGGAATAATGGACGTCCGGCAATTGGCAGAGCCATCACTTGGGGGTAGATATCCGGCACAGTAGGTTTCTGCAATGCGCGGTCAGAAGTACCTCTCTTCCTGCCACCGCCCATTCCTCCGTTTGAACCTCCCTCGCCACCAGCACCCCCGGCGGCCCCTCTGCCACCTTTTAGGACCTCTCCCGGACTTGGAGCGCCTTCTCCGGATCGCTCCTTCCCAGAGTCCACCTTCACGCCGCCCTTCTCTTTCTCCCCCTCTTCTTTCCGCTTCACTTCTTGCTCGACCTCTTCCTCGACAGCATCTTGCTTCGGCTTCTCTTGTTGCTTCTCCTTCACCTCTTCTTCTTCATCCTTTGGTGGCGGCCTTTCCTTGCCCAACAGCGCAGAGTTAGAGAACCCCCGTATCACAGCGGCTTCACCGTAGCTCTGCCATAGTTTCCTGGTGGATGGGGAGGCGGCGAGAGAAAGTCCTGATGAGGTGTTCAGTCTCCGAGCTTCAAATAACGCGAATGATGCATTCCGTTTTGTAGCCGATGAGGCGACCGTGTAGTATCTTCCAGTGGGGATTGTATTGTTGATTCTTAATAGCCTGCCCTGGAGTGCGGCCCGCCACGCTATGCTTCGTCTGTAAGCCATGCAAAATAGTAAATGCTACTGTAGATAGAAAATGAAATCGATTAGAAACCTCCCACCGAGGAATAGCAATAGATAAGACTCACAGTGCAATCAATTAAACAGAACAGGAAAGAAAAGATACGCCTCCTATAGCAACTGTCGAATGTAGTACAGAGAGGGCAAGTTAGGTGTTGATGTGATGGAGAAAAGGGAAGGAAAGAAGAAAAATTGATCGACTTGTTGAGCCACCCAGTTGCGAGGACGCTGACTTCATTCCTGCATCTCGATATTCCACCCCATACCATGTGCGGCGGGTTCCTTGGCGGGTACCTGAGGCGTACAACCCAGCACGGGGTTTTGTCACCCCGCCATTTGTCAGTCATAGAACCCCGCCGAACTCTTGCATCCTCGCCTCTCTTTTTCGCCTTTTCGCTTCCGGGAACGCTTGGGGTTGCCTCTACCGAGGATGCTCCGAACCTCGCTTATCTAACCCCGATAACCCAACACCCAGAACACCGCATACATGCGCATACGACATACTGCACGTGCAGCTATTCGCTCACTGGATCTCACTCTGTGGGGTTTAAACGAATGCTTTACCACCAGTCTGCACACACTGGGGGTATTTAAGAGTGATATGATGATACTCCCTCCAACTGGAACCTGGGCCGGGGACCCATAAGCAATGAGCTTCCAAACAAAAGCTCCCCGATAAACTGATCAACCAACCAATAATCTGGGATTGGGATTGGGATTGGGATTGTGGTAAACGGGACTATGGTTCCAGACATCATGAAACAAAGATCTGGACGTCTCAAAAGTCTTAAAACTCAAAGTGACTGTCCAATCTGGATCCACGTCCAGATTTTCATACCCTGCTGTCTATACTGGTGGAGTATTCTTGGGAAAGCGTGCCCCACTTAGACCTACATATAGGTACTTACCGACCTCAAAAGATATATGATCTTCAACCCAATGAATCATTACTCAGGATCCCATGGACCCAGAATATCACATCACACCAATGATAAAGAACCAATAGCTGAGGCGACTTAAGTTACCACCCCGAAAAGCCGAGTGATATTTCAAGACGCAATAGTTTTGCTATTTTAGAAGCCATCCAGGGCCGGGATCAAACTTTACCCTTCGCGAAGATACTGCTCTCTACCCGAGAACTTCCCCCTTCCCAACCCGTGGGTTACAAATCGGGTACTCGGTATCCCGACCTGTCCAGTAGGCCAGTATCAATACAAACTTTCTCGGCATTCCGACCAAGTTAGACAATCTAACTAAATGTATGTTATGTATAATTGCAATTCACAGCGCGAAATCATTTTTGCGGATATCTCGACTACAAATTATACCATCAAGGGCGGGTTCATGAAACAAACTCCATCTTAGGGAGAAGCCACGGCTACAACGGTGCAACAAAACCTAAACTAGTTCTACGGCATTCAATTACACAGCCTGGGCGTTAGCTAGCCTCGAGTCGGTAGAGAAGCTTCTTGGTGAAGCTGGGAGCTTTTATAACTCATCAAAAGGCTTAATAAAGTCTCGAGCAGGCCGTCATCTGATAGCCTTTTAGGGCTGTTTGTGGGTCAAGCCAACCAGACCAAACGATGCCATGAATAGAATTTTATAGCATGTTCTAAACCATATAACCCGATATCTAGGCCCCCTCACTCAGAAACTGCCTCTCAAGCTTTTTCTAGTATGCCAGAAAAAGACAGGATACAGACATTACCACAGAATTATCGATTGATACAGTTTATTTGCATCAATTGTAGAGCACAGCCGGCCACCTCTGTGCAAATATGATTCTGGTGACTGAACTCAGCCACCTCTTACTCCAATGGGCTGTACCTATGGGATGTTTCATCGGAAGTTTGACGATATACGGTAGCTTCACTGGCGGACTAAGCTATTCTAAAAGTAGGCTGATATCAGTATAACTCTAAGGGCTACTGAGACAAGTTATAAGATATCGACACTGTTCAGTCTAACTATATGGCAACTCTATAACGCGGGGAGGGTTCGACTAGGGGCTAGATAGTATTTATACCTGCGTTGGGGGACTTTAGACATTTTATTTCATGTGCTGATATCTCTGTCTATCGAGCGGAGGGTTCAAGACGATTGATAGGCTTTAAAGCGGAGAGTATCAACCCCGCTGTCAGCGCTAAAACAAGACTACTTGAGATTCTCACCTGACGAGATCTCAAGGTTGTTGATTTCATCCACGCCTGGTAATATCGTGAGGGCCTATTTTGCGATGAATTCGACTGGGACCATTGGATGGATAATCAAAGTCGCTCCTTCATTGAGAGATGAGGTCCTATAGTTAAGCTAATACTGCTCAAAAATATTTATGGACGTCTACGAAACCACTCAACCGACCAAGTCGGTGGTTTTTGAGTGTCTTTCATTTCCTAAAACAGCTAGATAATTGACAGAGGACACTTTAGCTCTTCCACAGGCCGTCGAAAAGATGGTTATATAAAGAGAAGTGAGATGTATCTATAAAGCCAAGCTTGATCCAGGCAGTCGAAAGAATGGTTGCACGTGCGCGACCTAACGCCTTCTGTCATGGGCAATTAATACCATAATAATCATTTCCATCTTGGATCAAGCAGTCATTAAAGCTACATAACTAGCGCTGCATCTTGTCCCACCAATGGCTCTCTCCACCTGCTATATTGACCACATGAGGCGGCGGTGACTGGCCTCCCTGTAACCTTGACAGCCCGAGAATTTGGTGCCCATATATGCGCCAAGCCGTGCGAACAACCCGCATTGTGGATGAGGGCACCGCTTCATGTTGTCAAGGACGGCGGTAGCCTATCCCATATTTCTGGTGCTGTAAGTGCCTCCCTGCCCGCGATCTCAAAGGATCGTTGGCACTTGAGCTGCAAGATCTCATCCACGCCAATGTAGGGGAGTGATTAGCTATGATTCATATCTGTTCGAATCTAGCCAATATTGCCGTTTACACTTTTTGTGCCTTTAGGTAACCAGCGACGGACAAGTGCAGATGAGCAAAAAAAGATGGGAAGAGGAAAGAGCAGGTTTTGTAATCGCCGACCCTATATCCAATTTTTGATTATCATCAGGCATACATATGCAAGGCACCAAGAGGTAGCTGAATTGGGGCTTTGTGAACAAAATAAGGTTATCGTTTTTTTTTCTGTGCCTCGAAGTTTCACGTTGTCGAAATACGCCAGTGGGCCTGCATCATGCAGGTACGTTACTGCAAAGCTGCTTCCAGACCAAGTACGCGCTAGCTGTGGTCGGGTAACGTGATCCTCCCTTGCATGTTGTTCGGTCATGAGATATCACTCGTGCCTGACGGACTACTAGGATTTTGACTTCGTGGTGTATATGTTTGTGTTACTGTTAGGTTATGCTGTGAGTGTTGTGATAAGTACATGTAGCTTTCCTATCTATTATCAGCGGCTGCTTCTTTTATAAAAGGACGATGTCCTCTCCCTTCTTATTTATATGGGCCTCTGTGTTTCAGAGGATCTCTACGTCTACATCCTGGTCCTATATTCACCTCGTTATAAACCCCGATAACGGTCGTTTCTCAGGTCCGTGCACTCACTTTATGTACCTTGAGGGCACAAAGGCACTCCACCTCTCGCTCCGAGGTTATCCTCCCGGCCCGCGGGTAGCACATAGAGTGCTGAGTGAGGTGATGTGAGATACGACCTCCCTCACTTCCTTATTTTTTATTTTTTCTGGTGGCAGCTGAATTAAGCTTTCACCACACTCGCAACAAAAAAGCCCCACAGAGCACCTACCACATTGCAACATTAACATCCTGGTGCAAAAAAAAAAAAAAAGAGAGGTAAGCGACGTTAGATTAATCCTGGGCGAGTATCCTTTTTATCTGGTACGACCGTCTCTCATCGGCCGATCAATCCAGTCAGTCGCGGTGGATGGAGATGCCCGCATGAGACAAACGGCCGCATAGCTGGGTGGGGTGAGCTATATAACTGACTTGGAGGGAGGAGAGAGGGGAGGGTGTTGGATATATCTATCCTGTTGCCGTGGGAGGGCTTTACGAAGAGAGTTCTGGGAAGGATATCCCAGTGTTGGGGCTTACCGGTACTCTACGAGTACCACAAAATAAGATAGGATCGCTCGACTGGAGTAACTCCTCTACTTCCTCATGAGCATGAGCAGCTGAGAGAGGAGTCGGTCAGCGGGTAAATCGGTTTTTAATCTACCTAGACCTGCCCGTATCCTGAATTTCCAGGAACTCAGTGAAAGGAAAGAAAGCAAAGTGATGAGGAGTAGAATGAGGAAGAGGACTCATGTAGTTGTATTCATGCCTAGACCACTGAGCTAAGGCTCGTTAGTGACCCGCGTTTATCGATAAGACTCTTGTTTGTGCTCCTTCAACGGTCGGGGGCCTTACCCGTTTCGATGGTCGCGTGGGCGTGAGTCTCAGCCTGCCGACGTCAGACAGGTCAATCTGGCGAAGTGCAGAAGCAATGAAGAGACACCTGCCAAGACGGGCTCTCTCTCCTTCTCGTAACACAGGCAGAGACAGACAGCTTTTATCGACGAAACCAACAGAAAGCCAACAGCTACATAGATTACGACTGAGCAGGGTACAATTGAGCACTAAGGCGGATTCAGTCACGAGCTCTGCCGCCAGTCTGATACAATTTCTAATTACGAGACAGGGGAAAGAAAGGTTGGAGCAGGTGAGGAGAGAGAGATCGAGAGAAAAAGATAGAAAGGAAATAAAACATCTGTTACATACACACACATTTCTGCCGCCAATACCACTGCTACTAACTACATTCTTGTTCTGGTCTTTGTACAACAATATCGTACGGACGTAGAAATCTCCGCATTCCGTTATCATCATTCTCATCACCACAACTCACTCACACCAGACAGACCAGATTACCTAGGACGTAGACCTGTCACCGCAGAGATCCCACGGTTACTTACCACAGGAGCAGCGTCCCATCGGTACCTACATAAATACAGATACATCCTCATCATATCCGTCGGCTGCATCCCCCCATCAAAAGAACGAACGCAGCAGCTAGGTACAGCGCTTAACCAGCATCGTTTCTGGTTGGTCTGCTGCCCTGCCGTTTTTTCTGGTAGCGATCCCACTTCCGTGCGCTCATGGTCACAGAGGTGCCTGCTGTGGTGCCTGTTTCTTTTGGGCTGTTGCTGTGGTGTCGCTGAAATTATTCCATACCTGTGTCCACTCTGTTTGGGCCATTTCTCTCGTCGACAAAGTTCCCTTTCCACCCCCCCCCCTTCTTTCGTTTCACTACTCCTCTCTGTTTACCAGTCTGTCTGTTTGCTGTTGTTGTTGATGCCCTGATTGCCATCTGTCTATTCATAGACGTCAATCCATCCATCTCCATACCCAGCCCACCACACACAACAACGCCGCCCCCCCCCCCCCCCAATAACCATCACCCCTCCATCCCCATACCACCCCAATCCCATCTTGCCTGCCTGCTTGCTGCTGCCCCATTCTGCCCATCCATACATAGCCGTTCTGCAGTGCTCCCTCCCACCAACCACTCGCTTGGATCACGCACCCCCGCCAGCAGGAGCCACAGTTACCACCTACCCATAAGCTGCGGGCATATCCATACATCAATCGTAGAGCAGGTCAGGTCAGGCAGTGGCACTACCGTAGTGCGAAACGACCCCTTCCTGTGACAGGGGGTGGAAATCGCTGTACCTCTTTTGCTTGTGTTTGTCGCCTTTTTTTTTTCAGCTACGTGCGAGGAGAGAGAGAGGGGAGATTGGGATATCTTTTTCTTTCTTTAATCTTCACTTCTCTGCTCTACTTTGCTCTGTTCTGGATCTTCTCCGCTGCACTTCTGCTGTTGTGCGTGTGTGTGTTTTATTTTTACAACTGCATAACAAGTATTTTCCGGATCTCTGTTTCAACTGTTTTGGTTGTGGAGAAAGAAGGAAAGAGGCGAGTGGAAGAAGAAGAGGGAGAACGAGAACGAGAACGAGAAAGAAGAAATCGAAGTTGACTTGTTGTCTGTGCCGAAACATACGTACGTTGCGATAATTATATCTCACCATACAAGTTTAGTGCAATTCAATACCTTACCTTACCATACCTTCCATTACCATCCATACCATACCTACATACACATACCTACATTGACGCTTTCCTGCTCTGCTCGCACGCACGCTTGCTCGCTCGCACACACCACTCTCATAACAACGCTTGGGAGAGAGAGAGAGACCCCCCCAATCCGTCACGAGCATATTTAGAAGATCATGCAGCAGTCTCCGACAATTAGCTGCCCTCTCAAGGTAGATAGACTTCTGCAGCCTCTCCCCTCTCCCCGACCTGGCCCCTCAAGGACCTCACTTCTCACATCATATACCTCTCCCCCTAATCTAGCCTCTCCGTTCTCCTACTGCTGATGTTGCTACTTACATATACCCCCCTACCCCCTCCCTACCTCTCCTACCCCCTCTTCTACTACCACAGCCAGCTCATACGTCATCGTTACAGACAACGACGGAAGTCGACTGGATAACCCCGTTGAAATCCTACATTCGCACAACCTACGGCGATCCCGAGAAGTACAGTGAGGAATGCGCAACGCTCAACCGGCTACGGCAGGACATGCGCGGCGCCGGCCGCGACTCCGCCGCCGGCCGTGATCTGCTCTACCGCTACTACGGCCAGCTCGAGCTGCTGGACCTGAGGTTTCCCGTCGAGGAAAGAGGCGTCAGGGTGGGTTTTACCTGGTGAGTGGGAAATGAGAATGAAATTAATTTTTTTAAACAAAAATAAATAAACTGGGATCAAGACTGGGGGGGGTTGCTGACTGGTGATTGTGCGCGGGCGTGGGTAATAGGTACGATGCATTTACACATAAACAGACTTCACAGTACTCGCTCGCGTTCGAGAAGGCATCGATCATATTCAATATCTCGGCGGTGCACTCGTGTCATGCGGCAAACCAGAATAGGTCCGAGGAGCTTGGGATAAAGACGGCCTTCCACTCGTTCCAGGCGTCGGCGGGGATGTTTACGTATATCAACGAGAACTTTCTGCATGCGCCCAGTACGGATCTAAGTAGGGAGACGGTCAAGACATTGATTAGTATCATGCTGGCGCAAGCGCAGGAGGTGTTTTTGGAAAAACAAATTGCGGACGGGAAGAAGCCGGGGATGCTGGCGAAGCTCGCGGCACAGGCCGGGCTTCTGTATTCTCAGGCAGTGGAGGGCGTCCAGGAAAACTCGGCGAAGGGCGTGTTTGAGAGGGTGTGGTTGATTGTTGTTCAGGTATGTGCTGATGTTTGGTTTCTTTTGGGGTGGGTGGCGGGATGGAATTGACGGTGTAGGATGAATAGGCAAAACAGTGCTACATGGAGTCGCTCTCACAGCATCTACAAGCCCTCGCGGATACGGATAACGGTAACTACGGACTTGCAATTGCACGTCTACACCTCGCGGAGGACCTGGCAAAGGATGCGCTACGGTTTTCTCAGTCGTTCCCAAACTCGCCGTCGGCGACATCTAACCTGTCCGCCGAGACCGGCCCCGCACTGGTGCAAATGACGAAGAGACATCTTTCGCAGTTGCAAGAGAAGCTCATGGAGCTTGTCAAGGATAACGACTACATCTACCACCAGACGGTCCCGGCAGAGACCTCAATTCCCGTAATCCCCAAGATGCCCGCAGCCAAGGCCATTCCCGTCCAGGAGCTCTACGCCGGCGCAGACATCAACCGCATCATCGGCCCCGATATTTTCCAGAAGATCGTACCTATGAGCGTCACCGAGAGTGCCTCGCTCTACGACGAGGAAAAAGCTAAGCTCGTCCGTGCTGAGACCGAAAAGTGTGACCTGGCAAACGCGGAGATGGTCGCAGCTCTCGATTACCTGAAGCTGCCTGGATCCCTCAAACTGCTCAAGGGCGGGTATGAGAATGTAATTGAGGTTGACGATGACTTCCGCACATGGTGCGACGACATCGCGAATAAACCCGAGAGCCTCGAGACCCGGTTTGCAGGGCTTAAACGTGACAAGAAACGCATTGTTGAAGTGCTAGATAAGTCATGTAAGAGCTTGGACCAGGAGGAGAGTGTCTGTGAGAGGATGAGGGCGAAGTATTTTGATGACTGGACGCAGCAGCCTTCAAGCCGATTAACACAAACGTTAAGAGGCGATATCAGGAGCTATAGGGAGGCCATTGAGGCGGCCGTCGGGAGCGATAATCAGTTGTTTACACAGTACCGCACAGTCAGGGAGGATATCGAGGAGATGAGAATTGCTGGAGAGAGGGCTGAAGAGGGCACGGTAGACGATCTATGGATCGCAAAGGCTAGGGGCCAGCAGAGTAATGGTTATGATAATAGGGGTGGGGAGACCCTGCTGGATGTGGATGATGGTGAAAGCGGAACGTCGGTCATGGAACAGATCGAGAGGGTGGAGGAACTTCTTAAGAGGATGAATATGATCAAGAGGGAGCGGGCACAGGTCTTGAAGGACCTGAAGGATAAGGTGAGAGTTATGTTGGTGGTGGCGGTGATTAAGAGCTAACGGCGTATGTGGGGCAGATTCATAACGATGATATATCAAACGTTCTGATCCTTAATAAGAAAGCTATACAGAATATAGAACCCCAGCTATTTGCGACAGAGCTGGAAAAGTTTAGGCCGCATCAGAACCGCCTGCTGCAGGCTGCTCATAAGCAGTCGGCCTTAATGAAGGATCTTACTGCCGCCTATGGTGACCTTCTACAGGACAAGCGTATCAGGGCCGAGCAGTCGAAATACGAGGCCTTATCACGCCAGAGAAATGCTGTACTCTCAAAATTCAAAAAGACCTACCAGGCCTTCCTTGACGTCTGGGCTGGCCTCGATAAAGCCCGACAGTTCTATACAGAAATGATGGAGACCGCCGAGAGCCTCGACAAGAATGTCGAGACCTTTGTCTCTAATCGACGTGTCGAGGGTGCTCAACTTCTCAGCCAAATTGAGCAGCAAAAGGGCTCAGATATTGATCAGCGCAAGCTTCAAGGCATGATGGAGCGGATGACCGTCGGTAGCCAATCCGAGCCTCCTGGGTCGGCAAAGCTCCCGTCGAAGCGTCCCGCCCCATTATCAAATAACGTCTCTCCACATACCCCTCACCCTACCTCTGCCGGCGCGCTAGGAAGTCCACCTGGCACTCCCCGCTATGCACCACACCAGTACAGCGGATACCCGACACCTACGCCGCCACCTCCCCCGCCGCCCCCGCCAACCGGATACACAGGGTACCAGTACCCCCCTCCACCCAACGGTTATCCACGCCGCGAGTCATACGGCCAGCTTCCGGGGCTGCCCAGGCGCGATAGCTACCAGCAGGCACAACCAATGGCACGTCGGGACTCACAGCTGCCCACGTCTCCACCGCCATCTGGCGCACAGCCACAGCAGTACCATCCTGGACACTTCTCGAGTCCTCCCACTATGTATACCGGCGGAGGTGCGGGCCAGAACTACCCGTATAACCCGCAGACATATGTGCCGCCACCCCCACCACCTGGACCACCGCCGGGACAGGCCCAGAGACAGAGCTTCACGGCCCTGCCGCAAACAGTGTATCAGCCGCAGCAGCAGCCAGGCACGCCCGGCCAGCAGCAGCAGGGACAGGTGTATCAGCAGTATCAACAGCCGCAGCAGCAACAGGGACAGCAGGGAGATCCGTGGGCGGGCTTGGCAGGGTGGAAGTAGTGTGGCGATAAGGGAGCTTGTGTGTTTTTTTTATTAAAGTAGTAGTAGTGGCTTTTTTATAAGTTCTTTTTTTTAAATTCTTTTACTTTACCTGTGATGATATGGATTTTTCTCTTGCTATGGCAGGAAGAGGGACTTGTGGTTGTGCATTGTAGCGTGTGCGTGTGTGCGTGTGCTTGGGGTTGAATGGAAGTGTTTGAGTATGTGCGTGTGTTGTGTGTGAGAGCGTGTGGAAAATATATTGTAAGCCCGGGCGTGGTGCGGCATTAAAAGTTCATGGTTGAGACGCTATGTATGTTCATGAGTGAGTGAGAATATGTGAGGAGGAGAGTAGAGTAGTGGGTGTGGTATTTTAATGAGATTTGGGACGTTGCTATTTTACTTGGGTTCTTCTAGAGCTGTGAGGGCTCTCGGGCTATATGAAACGGGAGTAATAGTTCATGATCCACGCTTAAGTCCTAACAATGTATATTACGGAAGCTTAACGTGAACAGGGCGGACGAAACTATAAAAGACCAATAGCAATTGCTTTTTTATCTCTCCGGACTGAACGTAGAAGCGTTGGTTGTTCGCCCAGGCGTGTGGTAGTGTCGTATCTGACTATATATAGTAATTTCCCGCGGGGTTGGTGGGGAGAAGAGGTATGGCGATGTGCGTCATGAGAGATCACTCGGTATACTAAGTTAGGTTCGCAACCATACCCTTAGTTTTTTTTTTCTTTTTTTTTAAATTCATTAATACCATACCATTAGTAAATATCCCGACCATTTAATCAACGCGCAAATACGACCAAATTGTAGCGGGGTGGGTTATAATAAGGATGTAGTGCTCCAGCTCTTTCTTTTCTTTTGTTCGATTGGCCACTGAAAGGTAGGATATTCCGCTGTTGGACCCTCCAAATCGAGACCAATTGCAAATTTGATATTTGTGAATTCGAAGACGTATAGGGAACTTTTTGTCTCCCTCTCTCCCCCACACCCCACCAACCCTTGCTTCCATTAATTTACCATGCGGGAGCCTGTTCCGTTTCGGTGTTAACCTAGGCCCATTCCCGGCCCTCTTACTGGCAGCTGTCAGTAGTGGATGAATACAAGTGACTTTCCCCGCCTTAGGTACGGGATGTTCATTCATGCTTCCTGATTGATGCCCCTAGAGCGTGTAAAGGGGCGTAGGTTCGGTTTTCGGCTTCGCAGAGTAGCCTCCTCATATGGAGTCGATTCACTGAGCCTTCTCTGTGGCCAATCGATAGAGATGGCGGGGAAATGTGCCAGTCGACAAAGTAGAAAAAATAGTGTTTTTCCTTTGCCCTTACAGTAGATAGATAGCGACCTAGAGAAAACTGGATATCACGACATTGAGTGAACTGGCTACTGGGGTCAATGATTATCCTGTCTCGGCGCTTGAGATTTAGGTTGGCTAGCCCGATATCAGCGGGAAGCTCGAGTTTTTCTTTAACGCTTTGAGGTATTGTTGAAATCTTTAGAAACTGTGGAGGGGGGATGAGAAGAGTTTTGGGGTGTCAAATGATAAGGTATTGCAGTGATGATAGTTTATCTTACAGGATCTGACCACATCGTACCTGTAATTTCCTTGGAGATTTAATACGTGGTATTATGGTGCGCACTTTGTCCTATTGTTTAGTATCTATTATCTTAGTTATTCCCTTACTTATAAAGTAGTATTTTCCCTTCTCTTACCGTTACCTATAGCCATTTGCTTCAAGGTCTTGGAATCACACGGTTCGTCAATTCATATGATGCCCTGTTACAATGAACTCGAGATATATATATAAGGATACGGCCGGGATGGAAATTCTGTGCCCCTGTAAGGCGAGCATCACACTATAGGAATTAACAGGAGTGACAGATATAGCAGCACTTCAGAACCACCGATTACTACCCTTGGGCCTCATAACAAGAGCATCAATATACACGGTATCACACTAACCAGTGTCGACTATATTCCAACCTTTGTTCTCGAATAGGGAGAGATTTGGGGTAATTCCTAACTTTCCTATATATGAGCCTGGCGTCATTGATAAATGGAAAGTTAGGCAAGTGATGCCTTCCCCCGGCCGTAATACCGAACGCAGGCAGTCATATATATATAGACATGAAATCAATGAAGGTTATATAATAGGCCTTTTATAAGTTATTAGCGAAACTAAAGATGGAGTGGGTATCTCCAAACTACCCAGTCTATAAACGAGTTGCTAAGCTTAGAGAAGTTTCATCAATTGCAACACATACCAACAATTAGTAGATTTTGTATTAAGTTACTAAATTTGGGCCGATGTCGAAACAAACCAAGTCATAGTTGTGAAATTCCGAGGAAAATCAGCTTCGGATATGGTACAATGGATATTTCATGTACCCGGATGGTCTGATGCGGACCATTATTCTGGACTACCTAGCACCCCGGTGCGAGTGACAGCCCATGAAGCCACTCCGATATTGTCCGACCCAGAAATTGGCAATTTAGCACAGACAAGTCGAACATCCTCTCACCAGTTACACATAAACTTCAACTCGGCTCGAATTCGGCTCATATTCGGATACATTCGCTTTCGGTATTGAACCCGATCTTGGCGATACTTCCCGGGTCCAGTACCCGGTCAACGCCTTATTGCGAGATATTTTTCTTCTTTTTACAGTTGTCTTCCTGCCGGGAAGAGCTCCTCCTCTTAGAAAAGGTCGGTGGTGATCTCTACAGGCTGCCGGCCGATTAATACGAATTGTTTTCGTGAACAATAATAATGATGCCATCTGGTGGTGTGAGCACATGTATTTATCGGTGGTCCCTCCTCCACCACCCCCGCGGTCACCCCACCAAACTTTTAAAGACGGCACCATCCTGCAAACACTACAACGATCACGAAAACTCCAGCACATTCCTCATATCACATATCAACATGGTGTGTTGGTGCCCTACTTATGCTGTTCTAATATCACGATCAAAAACCTAGAATTCTAATATGCAAAAAAAACAAAAATAGGCACGCAAATTCTTCGTAGGCGGAAACTTCAAGTCCAACGGCACAGTCGCCTCCATCAAGTCCATTATCGAGCACCTCAACAATGCCAAACTCAACCCCAACGTTGGTCCGTTCTCCCCCTCCCTTCGAACTCAATCCCACATCATATCAATACAATACTAACCTCCCCGGGTGCACCATACAGAGGTCGCAATCGCTCCGCCCGCCATCTACCTCCTCCTCGCCAATGAGATCACCCGCAAGGACATCGCCATCGCCGCCCAGAACATCTTCGACAAGGGCAACGGCGCCTACACCGGCGAGATCAGCGCCGAGCAGCTCAAGGACGCCGGCATACACTGGGTGCTCATCGGCCACTCTGAGCGCCGCGCGCTCCTCGGCGAGAGCGACAAGTTCATCGCCTCAAAGACCAAGGCTGCGCTTGCGCAGGGCCTGAGCGTCATTCTGTGCATTGGCGAGAGCTTGGAGGTTTGTTTCTTCTTCTTCTGCTGCTTCTTGTTCGGGTCGGAGCGGGCGTTTGCTGACATGGCGGGGCGCGGCGAGGAATAGCAACGTGAGGCCGGCGTCACCATCGATGTCGTGACCTCGCAGCTTGCGGCCGTCGCAGAGGAGGTAAGCGATTGGAGCAAGATTGTGGTCGCCTACGAGCCCGTGTGGGCCATTGGCACCGGGAAGGTTGCGACCACTGCGCAGGCCCAGGAGGTGCACGCGGCCATCCGGGCTTGGCTCAAGGAGAATGTGTCGGAGAAGGCGGCGGAGGAGACGAGGATCTTGTATGGTGGTAGTGTTACCGACAAGAACTCGAAGGAGCTGGCACAGCAGCCGGATGTTGACGGGTTCTTGGTTGGTGGTGCTAGCTTGAAGCCGGCCTGTGAGTGTTCCCTGGAAGAGAGTTGGGTGGGGTTTGGTAGCTAACGGGGTGTGTGTGCAGTTGTGGATATCATCAACTCTGCGGCGTAGAGGGCTGGGGCGCCCTGTTAAATTGTGTATACCATCGGAAATAGATAAGAAAATAAAAGTGTTTTGACAACTGGTGAATGTCCCGAGGGACATGTAGTCACAGTTTGATGCGTAAGGGGGGAGCAGTTGAACCGATGAGTATTCACTTTACTGTAATAACTGAATTGTAGAATACGTATTGGTCTACCTATTAACAAACGAAACCCCATGCTTGCTACAAACAACGTCTACTAAAGAGAATAAAAGGAAAGGAAAGAATCAACAGAATCCCCGCATGACATCCCAACAAAAGAAACGCTCCCAAAGTACCATATCTCAACCTCCAATGCTGATTCCGTCGGGGGTCTTTAACACCCACCTCCACCTCCACCGCACCCACCACCTCCTCCACCACCACTACCACCTCCTCCGCCGCATCCGCCGCCGCCGCCACCCCCACTATCATGACCACCGTTATGCTCGCTACTAAAACCACTAGCGGCACCACCGTAACCCCCGCTGTAGCCCCCGCTGGCCTTGGGCTTCCGGGGACCGAGAGACCTCGTGTGTTTTGAGGGCTTGGGCTTGCTGCCGAAACACATTGTGGTTGTGTTTATGGGTGGGTGGGTAGGTAGGTAGGTATAAAGGTATGAATTATTGATTGTAGACGGATGTCAGGATATCAGCTCGTATCGTAGTAGGTGGTGTTGGTATAAGAGGATTATTTATGACTTGAGTTTTCTTAAGTGTCTTGAGATAATGGGATGACTCGTATTTCTTGAGTGAATGATGATTTGATCGGATAACAGAAAAAGAGCGATCCAGGCCGGTATTTATCTCTGCTCTCCCTCTCTCTCACGCAGGATAGATAGCAAAGCAAGTTACGTACCCCCAGACCAGGTATGATGGACGCTCTGCATTGCAATAGGTGGTCGTTCACGTGTGTGTTTCTCGTATTTTCATCATACCACTCACCACTCACCATCCCAATCGCCGGTAGTAAGGTTAGTAGGGTAGGTAAAGTAAAGTAACCATACTAATGCCAATATGCCCTGCCTTCCTGCCTGTTCAACTAGAGTAAACCTACTTTCTGTGCACAACCAAGGCTGATTCCCCGGCCATGCATCCTCTGTACGACGATCCCAGTTCCCACCCGCGGAAAATAAATTTAGAGTTTCTCCCTCTCTGTGTCTTTGTCGTCTAGCTGTCTGCCTCGTGTGTAACGTAACCATCGAGTTATGTGCATGTCGTTGTCTGTCTGCCTTGGCAGTTTGGTTACACACGAGGATGGGTGGTTGCCTGTGTCACCAGCCAGATCGATAGCTGTGGTGGACAGGGTAAATATCACCTAGGGTACTCTAGGTAGGGTAGGGGTTATATACATACATAGTTGGGTCGTGAGGCAGATTGACAGGGTATGACGTTGGGATTGGCCAGTGGAAGGGGTATGGAAGGGCGGTGGAAGGTCCGAGGGGAGATCATATAGGCGGGGGTTGTGGCTGGGAATGTTCTCATGACGGGGTTTGGGTTTATGTTTTTCAATTGCAAGAGTCACCAGCGCAGCATCATCGTCGATAAGTAATCAACAGTTTACTGTCTTTAGCTCAGGAATAGTGTACTCGCGCGTCTTCGCCAAGAATTTTCACCTAGCTCAGTGAAGAAAGGGATTTCGGTGTTTCAATTGGTCAAATGCCTTGATCTCTCAGTCACGTTAAAATCCTTGGTCTAGAGAGATGGCTGGTGGTTACGTAACGTGACTGACTGATTGGCTGTTTGATCCTCTCTTTTGCTGCTGCGGTTGAAAATCAAGCTCGAACATCATGATCATCAGGTTGACACTGTGTCGGTCATACCCTACATTAAGGGGAGCAAACTACATGTATGTACTCTACTGATCTCAGGTACTACTTAGTACTCCAGGATGATGCCTTAGTATCGCCCATGGCCTGAATTCCACCGGACTATCTTATCGGCGCTCCCCGCCTCCATAGGTCTAGTAGGCAGAATTGAAAATGAGCTGTTTACACCAAGTCGATTCGATCTTGGTTGCAAGTCATAACCCCCCACCACCACCCCTTCCCTCACCAGCGGGACAGGGTCCACTCTTCTGATCGCAACCTTTACCTAACTCTACCTTTCCCTCAAACTCCAGTCAGCCCTGGTGCTTTAAGCAGCTTAATCTTGGCAAGTTTCTGAATCGAATAGTAGGTATAGTACCACGTGAAGCCGGCCAGCTAGTCGCCGTGACCACTCACTCGCCGCTTCCCTTGGCAATTCTTGCAGAAAGAACTAGGTCGAGGAATTATGACATACTCCTCCTAATCTTAGAAGGCCTAGCTTCATTTGTTCCAAGAAAAACGGCGACTGGCCGGCCTCGCGCGGTAGTGTTCCACGGCGCTCTCCAGGCCAGGCATGCGGGCGCGGTAATGGTGCGACTGCGACTGTACTTTACGTCTATTACAGATCCCCATGCATCTATCGAGACCTACTATCCCACCAGCACCGCCGGGGGCTGATAGGGAGATCACGAGCTTTAGAATGTTTGACCACCACGTGAAAAACACCACCGAGTGACACACCATGACGCATCAGTACCTGGCGTGCCGTACTGGGTACTTACTAATGTCTTGGCAGCCTCTAAGCCAACCAGATCAATAGAAATGAGCCAACCAACCAGAACACAGATACACCACCGAGTATCTCCCGCTGCAAAACCTACTACATACTAACGCACTTGACCATCTAAGCACCCTACTAGACAAGGTTCACCCCCCGCAGCATCACTAGCTCAATAATTCTAGCGGCCAACTAAGAAATAATAAAAAAAAAAGACCGCAAGGCATCAATTAGCCACTGTCTTCGTGGCTTAGTTGGTTAAAGCGTCGGTCTCATATGGCACTATGACTGGTTCTTAGAATCAGACATCCGAAGGTCGAGGGTTCGACTCCCTCCGAGGACATTCAAAATCTCTGTTTACTACGTGCGCTTTCTGGTTCTGCAATATGCAGAGCTTGAGGTACGATATCTTTTTTGACATTTGGCCTCTCGGGCCAATTGGAATGTGCCCTTTGGAGGGCGAGATATAGTCTAACGGTGATGTGGGGCGACCATGAACGACTGTCGCAACTCGCGGTATTGCACATTGGTCGAGATCGGAGATTATATAGCACAGATCCCGATTATTTATAAGAAAACCAATGGCTCGTGATAGTTTACAAATGCATCAAAGATCCCCCAAAAGCAACACCTACCCAAAGAATATAGCAAGACAAAGAAAGCCATGATACAAGAATAATCTAAAAGAAAAAGAAGTAGGAAAAAAAAAACCCCGAGTGGCCCAGAAAACTCTATACAAAACAAACAAAAATAATCCCCAGCCAAAAAAGAAAAATAGCACCCCGAATGTTAGCAATCTTGTGGGGAAAAAGCAAGACTGGGGGCAATTTGGGGCTAGTCGCCCTACGAAATTGGAAAATTAACGCAAGCCAATGCTACATGCTAATATCTCATCTAAAAACTCCCAGCCGATAAAAATGGATATATCCATTTACCGCCTCGGAGCCCCCCTGTATTCTTCATGATCATAAGGCTGTTGTGGGTATTGAGGGCCTCGTCTCGAAGATGACCCAGGTACGTAGTGATGCTGCCCTTGGTCCTTCAAGAGATGTGTAACTGAGCCCGTTTCGCTGCGACCATCATGTATGCTCCAATCCACCGCGGATTCTCCTCCATCTGGACTCATCATGCTGACTCTGTCGCCAAGATATGGGCTCTCGGAGCGTTTCTGCGCACGAAAACTCGGAGGCGCAGGATTGGGAACCTGTTGGTAGTCCGACCCTATCATGGATAATGACAAGGGACTAGGATTTGGTCTTCCGGTGGGGGTACCAGGTCTGGAACTTGCCGGTGACTGGAATCCAGGTGGTGGGGTAAATGTTCCAGCGTCGCTGTATGCATCAAAATTAGGCCCATATGCATTGCTTCCACCGTGCTCAGATGCGAATTCTGCGCGATGCTTAAAATTCTGAAAGTCCATGTCTGCCTCATCGACCATCTCAAATTGGTGAGCAAGTGGGTCTTGTTGCCTTCTCCCTGCCTGTCCTGGCTGCATGAGACTCAACCCGACGTCTCCATAGGTTGATTTATGCTGCTCCGAGTTGATTCTGCCGTAGTAAACCTGGCTCAAAACGTGCTTCGCCTTGGCGTCTACCATTGGTGTAATCAAGGGGCGCCAAAGTGCGGGATGGCCATATCGCTTGTCTAGTTTGTCTTTGCGTGTGAATTTGCCTGCACTGATCATACTCTCCCGGTCTGTACCCTTCGTATGATAACGAATTTGAACATCAAAGACTCTGCGGCAATAAAACTTGAATCCAATCAAAAATGCAATCAAAGGAAGTACGCAAAACGCTGCTTGGGAGGTATATCGTACCTACATACCATTAGTTGCGGATAAGCAAACGCGGAAGGGATCGCAAACTTACCCAGACCACCAGAGCAACCACGATATTGAAAAAGCCAGTTGCAAACAAGAACCTGTTGAAGAGTAATCTCCAAAACGACCCGTCACTCTCAATCTTGGTAACGAATATATACATGAGACAGTATTTCTTGAGAAAGCTATCAACCAAAAAGTATATGAATGCAATCGGGAGGACGATAGGCTGGATTGTTGAGAATACCAAGCCAATCGTGGCATAGAAAAGGAAGTAGTTGTAATATGTTGCATACTCGAATGTAGGCGGAGCAGTCCACTCAATCATCTGCCGTGGGGTTGGGGATGCAAATCGCCTGTAAAGACTTTTCGAGACTAATGAGACTAGCTGTGCGATATCCAAAATAGCGCCAAGATTTCTTTGTAGAAGGTAGGTAATCCAGAATGTCGAGACATCGAACATGGCGATAGCAATTTTCGTTGCTATCCCAATACTCTTGACGGCGTCCCAGGTAAGCCCCGCAGTATCCGAAATTGTAACCAAAGTTTGAATGGTGGTCCAGAGAGTCTGCCCCCATCAAATTAGTTATTTCATATTTCAAAATGAACAATAAGACTCACTCCGAACAAGGTGAAGAGGATCAAATTGTTGACCACAAAGAAGAAGTACAGCTTGCTGGTGACATGGCGCTCACGAGAAGCCTTCGTGACATCTCCCTGCCATGCTGAGATACGTCTCATAACAATGGGAAGAAGTAGATAGATAATTGATGTAATAGTCGGTGCAAGGAAACCCTGACTATTTAGGACAATTCCGTTTCAGTAAGCATAAAACTCCAATGGAGATCAGGAAAGCGGTTACATACACTATAGCAAATGCTTTATAATGTTGGTTCAAATATACCGAAAACTCAAACCAAATCTATTATGTATTAGGATCGTTGAACGTCCGCTCACATCGAAAAGGATTTCTTACAGCTGCAATGTTGTGAAGATTTGACAGAAACACCGCAATAAGAGCATTGGGTATTACGAAGAGGATTGAAAGCATCACGAAAAGGAAATTTCCAATCATCTTGTTCCCACGCCTTGCACTCTTTGAGCGACTATTATATATCAGTTACTATTTGTTATATTACGGGCTCAAGGCAAGCACGTACGTCAAGTTATCCCAAATGATATCATTAGGCCTCGGGGCTAATTTGATAGTAGTACCCTTAGGGTGCTTCCCTCGACTGGCCTTGGCAGCTATATGAGCTCTTGAGATGGTTGGAAATGACACAAACCCATATTGCAGAGCATCCCGTTTGTCGATTGTATCTCGAATGGCATAAATGTGCTTCTCCAAATCTTTGATCCTCTGACCAAGATATTCGATAGCATCCACATCCGAATCCTGTGGGACCGATTTATCGTTTTTATGCGGTTTACAAACAGGTCTTCTTGCAGGGAGGTTATCGGGATTCTTCAAGTATTTTGCAAGAAACCCTTCAAGCTTTCTGACAGCTTTCCCATGTTCGTCGATAAGCCCGGAAGATCCTTGACGTTTCTCCCTATAGCACATCTCTCGTCACCATGGTGAGGAACACTGAGCGTTCCAATTATTTTGCCAAGACCATCATCGGAACGATATGAGCTTGGGATATCCGTGATCTAATACTATATTGTCAGCTTGGTTTCACTAATAACTAGCTAAATGTGGAGCATACCATCAATGTTCTCGAATGAAGTGACGCCTGGTACTCGGGAGTCTCGAAGAAATTCTTGCGCATAGTTGTGATGGCGGCATAATTTGTGTATAGAAAGTACATAATGATAAAATTGAAGACCCAAGCGACGATGACATGGGCCCACATGCAATTACCCCAAGTGTAGTTAGGGCTCATAAGAACAAACCACTTTCTCGAGCTCGAAGTCCCATTTACATCTGTCCACGAATTCTTTAGGTTACAGCTGACGTTGACTGGAATCATGACCGCACAACCAAGAATGGCCAAGACAAAAAATATGTTTCGGCACATTCGTAAGAACCTTAGAAAGACGATGGCATCAAGCCCGAGCTTCGGTAGGAGATCCGCCTCATGGCATTTCAATAGTGGCGTAAGCCACGCAAGGTATCCTTTCTCTATCCGCGGCGGCGCGTGCTTCTCATCGGCATTCCGTAGTTTTGGAGCGTAAACGACAGAGTTATAGGGTCTGACTAAACACCATGCTAATAGTATTGCTGCTGAAATCCCCAAGGACGATCCCAATGACGCAAAGAAAGCGTCTGTACTGAATTCCTGCCGGAAGGGAGACTGAACCATGTTAAGGAACAACGAAAGCTTCTGGTCCATTTCACGCCGGAATAGGTGATTAACACCATCGACTAGACAGGTACCCATATTGTGCACAGTAGTCACGAATGACCGAAAAAACGAACGACGAGTCTCAAAAAATTGAGACGGAGGCTAAGTGAGGCGTAGACAAGGAAACGAATGTTGAGGGTCCTAGATATTTGTGGGGGAGTGTAAGTGCAAGTTTGGAGAGGATGGGCAGATATTTAACGCAAGTTGTGACGGAGATGGTGGCTGCCGAAAGTAATACAGTCCTGCAGTGTGGTTATTATCTATGTCCTGTCAAAAAAATTCGGAGCTGGGTACGTCGTGTCGTGTGACGCCCACTTCAAGGTTTCCCTTTTCTCAACAAGGAATGTTTTTTCCTAGCCCGCGCAAAGCTACAGTGGCTCCCAAGATCACAAGAGTTCGGAAAAAAGAAAAGAGGGAAGGTAGTGGGGGGAGAACAGTAGGTAGGCCGGCTAATTCGGGAAGCTGATGGGAGCTATTGGGAGTTAAGGAGAGAATGGTTCCCTTTCAATTGTGAGTGACAAACAATAGAAAGGGGATAAGACGAGAGTCTTTCTCCAACCATTGGCAGAGATTAGATAGAGAGGTCTGTCACTCACACTCTCTGTCCAAGAACCTGGAGAAACAAGCCCAAGAGAAGGATTACGGCATCCTTTTGGTCCTTTCAAGATTTCCACCCGGAAACCCCTACCTCTCCCTACCCCCTGTCCTGCACGGATCCACTATTTTGGGAAACACCAGCTGTGTCGGCCATCGGGAGGATCCCTGGGCATCCACACCAGAAAGAGATCTTCCAGGCCTGTGGCAGCTCATCAAACGTTCTCCAGAGCTCTTCTCGAAGGGATTGGTCTCATTATGTCATATTTAAATATTCAGAGCTCTCTTTTCTTCCATCCGCTGAGGCAACGGATCTCGCAAACAGGCTCAGGGACAAAGTGCAGAGGAGTTGAGATGCAAGGACGTTGAAACTGCCCTTTGTCACATCGGTAGCCTTACTTCAAGGAAGTTTTCCTTATGCGGTTAGGTGCTGTTGGGGACCTCCAGTCTTCCAGAAAGCAACGGTCAGGGTCCACCGGCACCGTTTACGGTGGACATTGATGTACGCGACATCGATGTACGCCGTGAGTATGTATGTACATTACCGTACCAGATCTACCGTTCCTAGATATACTGTGGAAACGTTACATAAAAAGGCCGCTCAGAAAGCCACCGGGTCTTTTTTCTGCTTCCTCGGTGATTCAGGATGGTTTATGTTGTATCCTCGGACAATATTATGGTTATTTTCAGCTAGCAACTGATTACGCACCACGGGAGGCTTGCCATGACTTTTATGCTCTGTTATCTGAGCTCCCACCTAGGCCTAGGTCTTGCTTGATATGAGCAACATTTCGTTTCCCAAATCCGAAAATCCCGGAGAAGAACAAGGTTAAACATATCCGAGAGCTTTAATCTAATCAACCGCTCAGCTCAGCTCGGTGCACTCTCCTCCAGATCTCCCCCTCCACAGCAGGAGGCTTGTTCTCAAATAGACACGACGTCCGCAACACTTTGGTCGAAAAATCTCCGCCTGGTTGGGCAGGTGTGGTGTCGTAAACATGCAGGAAAGACCCATGGGCAAATATCTTTTCTCCCAGGTTTTGCAGAGACCCTACCTAGTATTCTGAACCCTGGACAAAACTTTTCGCCAAAAGGACATCGTCTTTAAACTCCTCCGCCATATGTGGCAGTTTCAACCATGCTTCGGGATTACATGTATTTAAACACGACAATCCCAGGTTGGCCAACATAAGAAATTTGACGTCTTACTCTACATAGCAGCTTAAATTGATGACTATCGATGTTGACCTCCTTTGTCGACTGGATTACTCAACAATCTGTTCCCGGTGACAGCACAGCTTATTTGTAGTTTTGTCTGCCCATTTCGCCGCCCATGTACAATTTTACCAAATGACGGAGGGGAGCTGATCATTTCTCCATCCTGTGCTCCAGAAATAGACTTTGAAATAGGTGCTCGTATCAAATTTTGCCTATTTACGTGGTTGTGTAGCGCTACTGGCACGCGACTTCTGTTGCTGTTGCTTGCCCCACCATGGTCACATTTGCACCAATTCTCACTCACCTCCTCTTATATACAGCGTCCCATGATTTTAATATAGACATTTGGAACCTCAGTTATATACCATACGGACATATACCTCTGAAGTATTCTAGTATGACCAAATTTCTTTCTTAACACATACGTATTGATATGCCGAAAGGCCTAGGGGTCTACTACAATGATGCAACTTTCGAAACGCCTGATGTAAAATAACACATGACGTGGAATAACATAATTCTATGATCTAAATTGACACTACCACGATCCAAAGAGAGAGAGAGAAAGAGTTTAACATTCATAAAACGAACCGTCTCCTATCGTTCAAACGACTCCCGGATTAGTTTTCATTAGGAAATAGCGCAATGTTCTGTGTTTTAGAGGGCACTACGAATTCTTATACTTATTCGGTATGATCTATCGTGATTACCGGTTTTCACAGTTCTAATACTTCTTTGGTGGGTCCCTACATGTAGTTACAAGTATCCCAAGGCCCAAGGGTCAAACTAATAAAAAGGAATTTCTACCATTTAAATTTGGTCAAAGGAATAATATCTCGCATTATGTGTTATCATTCGTTTTAAACCCTCCCACACATGTATATCATGTGAGCATGATCTGAGACAAAAACACAAATTTACGCTGTATGTACTCGGAATACCAGAAATACATGTATTTACTGCCAAATGAGCATCGCGATGCTTATTCGGCACTCGTTCATCTATCACGAAGATGTAAGATCTAATCAAGAATGCTGCAAAGGAAGGAGAAATAAACAGGCAACTCCATTTTTTCCTTTTTGAAAGTACGGGAACGCAAAAGACAACCTCGGCGCACCCAAAGAAGAATTGAAAGCAGAAAAAACCCGCAGACCCCCCCAGCCCTTATTGATTTGAATTTTTTGTGCCGCCCAACCCAGAAATAGTATGAAGAACCGATTGACAATATGAATGGGTAGATCGAGTCATACCATTCCATCAGAAGAAGCAACGTAGTTGAAAGGAAAAATTGAAAAAGAGATGCGAATACAAAAGGTAATAACCCCTCGGTAACGAAAGAAAAAAAGATCCACAAGAAAGAAAGGTAATAATGCATAACTACCCCTAACTGCCCCCTAGCTGGAAAAACGAATACCAAACCAAACCAAAGATGACCAAGAAACTAAAAAGAAATAGTTGACGATATAACAAAGAAGTGAAAAAAACAGAAGAGACCCATCACAGCTCGGCCTACATCACTGAAGGTAGAGAGAGATTACCCCATGATACATCATCATTTTCGCATCATGCTCGTCATTTCGTGAAAAAAAACAACTGCTAATCACTTCGTACAGAATACCTAGTGACCATACCCAGCACCCCAACCGGCGTTGTTGTGCCTCTGAGTAGACTGTCCGTAATGGGGGTACCCATACATGGAATACTGGTTTGTAGCAGTCTGGCCCTGCCCAACGCCATACTGGCTCTGCTGGGCTTGGTGCAAGTTATGGTTCAAATGTGTACCATACATGCTTCCTGGGGTCTGTGCTCCGTGCTGTGGCCCCATATTTGCGCCACTGGTAGCTGATCCCGGTCTTCCAGGCTGTCCTTGGATCGACGGGGTGGATGAGGGGCCAGTCGGGGGTTTGTTTTCACCAAACTTCATAGAATCATCGTTTTGGGCTTGCTGGGTAACTTGTTGACCAACGCCGCTGCCAAGTTGCTGCTGCTCAGGCAAACCACGACTGCCCAGAAAGTTTGGTATGGCGTTGCTATTACCATAGGCACCGGCTGATGAGTGCTGTGGAAGTGACTGCTGTTGCTGCTGTTGCTGCGATGCAGTTGCATTCATGCGACCGTAATCGCCAAGTCCAACACTTTCACGACCCTGGGTCGAAGGTGTACCAAACCCACCAAGACCCGCTGGGCTCGAGGAATGATCTGAGTATTGAGGAGACATATAGGCCTGAGGATATCCATACATTCCCTGGTGCTTTCCGAAAGGATTGGGGTGGTTGTAATAACTCTGCAACATCTCTAAGTCAGTGTTGTTGGATTATTTCTAATAAAGACATTCATACCTGATGCATAAATTGACTGTAGTAGGGGTGCTGCTGGTATCCGTACGACGGCATTCCTCCAGGATATTGAGCTAGACCTGGCTGGTGGGGCTGAGATGTCTGTTGAGCAGCAGTGATTGCTGGGCTTGGAGTTCCGTGCCCACTAGATTGATCCCCGGTCTGCGCGCCGTATCTTGAAGTGGGTTGCTGTACCTGACCGGACACAGGCGCTGAGGTGGGAACTTGACCAAGAGCTTCACCAGCACCACCAAGACCACTTGAAGCACGTTGTTGGTTTGCGCCAGCATCTTGCTGAGACTGACCTTGCTGCATGTAAGTTGAGTTATAAAGATTTCCAAATCCAGGAGGCTGGGTGCGATCGTAGTAGTTATTGTACTGGTGTTGGTCTGGGGTTGTTGAGACACCTACACCAATATGCGAAGGCTGTTGATGAGGTTGCAATTGGGAGTGAGCATAGCCAGTGTATGTTTGAGGTTGACTGTGAGGTGGTTGCACCTGTGATTGTTGGGGTTGGTTTTGAGGTTGGGGTGCTGGTTGCTGTTGTGCGGATGGTCCAAAAGTGTCGAATGGCTTGGTTTGGGGCTGTTGTTGGGTATTAGGGATTTCGTAGCGATTGTATTGGTTTGGCATGTGCTGGTTTAGGTGCTGGTGCTGTTGTGTCATGCTCTGGGGAGCAAGAGGCGGCTGCGAGGTAGGTTGCTGAGGGGCAACCTGGGGGTGCACAGGCAGTCCAGGGGCCTGCCGAGGGGTTGGAAGTGCATCCGTAACGGGTGGCTGAGAGACTGGAGCCTGGGCAGGGCCAGTCGGAGGAAGTGCAGAAATTGGCTGAGCAATTTGCAACGGCTGCGCAGGTTGCGACACAGTCTCGACTGGCTCGGCTTCATCACCATCTTCATCACCAAGACCCATACTTCCGAATTGAAGGGTTGGGTGCTCTACTGCGTTATGAGTTATAGGACTAGGCATAATGACAGGTTCCTGTTGTGTTAAGGTCCGGAACTTTGATCTTGGGGTGTTTTTCGGTATAGCCATGGCATACGCAGTTCTAGGTGTTGTTGCTACGGGCTGGGTAGGTGGGGGTGCAATGCTGGCACCGATTGCACTAGGAGTAGGTGCAGGTGATGCGATTGTGCTTGCCTGGGTACCTGTTGGAGCAGGTGGGGCAACATCCTCAATTTTTTCCAAATTGACTTCTGTAAGTGGCTGTTGAGGCTGGGGGGAGGAGACAGTCTCAATAACCCCGAGGGTTTCTGGAACTACTGGTGTTTCTGGAGCTGCCGGAGCTGCCGGAGCTACAGGAGCCGCGGGAGCAGTGGAAGCTGAAGCTGTGGAAGCTACGGGAGCTGTGGGAGCCGTTGGGCTTTCTGAAGCTGCTGGTGTAGCTGGAACTGCAGGGGCTACTGGAACTGCTGGCGTTACTAAGGTTACTGGAATTGGCGGAACTGCGGGGACCACCGAGGGAGCCTCGGGTTTTACTTCAGGCTCTGGCTCTGGCTCTGCGACGGGAGTGATAACTGTAACTTCGACCTGAGGCGCAGAAGGTTCGGCAAGCGGCTCAGTTGTGGGCTCTTCTTCGACATTAGATTCGGACACTTTTGGTTCTGGAGCTTTTGTTTCAGGCGCAGGAGTAGGCGCAGGTGGAAGAGAAACTGGTTTGGGAGTCCTTTTCGGTACCGGTGCAGGAGTAGGAGGAGCAGGCTCGAAAAGGCTGGCCCACGTGGCACCTTTAGTGGTTGTTGGAGGTGAAGTTACACTGGAATTGAGCTTCTTCTTTTCCCCTGCGCTCTCAGCTTCAGTTATCAAAACAGTCTCCCTAACGGCAGGTTCTTCGCTCAAGTCTTTTGGTTGCGCGACACCGTTTGGAGGGGGGGGTCCGGGGCGTGCACGGCTTGAGTGATTGCGGGTCTCCGGCCCTGTTACTCGGCCACGACCGCGGCCAGCTTCGGAGCTGCCCCTCGACACACGAGGACCACGACCAGAATCAGTGGCAGCTCCAGTTGATGCGCGGTCGTAAACCTTAGGCTTGGGGCCAGGACGAGCTTTATGGCCCTTCTGTACCTCCCACTGAGGGGCCTGACCTGAACAAGCATAAATGTATATTTTAGCTAAGCTGCTACACAAAGTTACACAACAGGAGCCGCAAAGCAGCAGGAAGATAGTGGACATGTAAAAGAAGAGCTTGAAGATAGGAGAACGGACCCTCAGCTAGCCTATCTGCTGCAGTTTGAAGATCACCATTGCATTCTTCTAGAAGGGAGATGAGATCTTCAGGGGCCCGGTCACCGAACATCTCTTCCAGTTGTAACAGTTCTTTGGGGTATTTAGTCTTCAATTGACCTTCATCTTCGTTGCTGTAAGGCGTATTGGTGTCGCCATTTAAGTTACGGGCTGAACGGGCTAATCCGCCCCGGGTTCCAGCAGAACCGCTACGGCCGCCCCGACTAGCACCCCTACCACCACCACGAGGGGTATAGGCGATGCGTGAATGAACTTCAGACATGTGTGAGACTGTAATAACCTTAGTCAGAATATAATACCCAATGATATGGTATGAAAAGATGAAGTTTGAAAGAGGCCCTTAACAGAGCCTCTACAGCAATAAAGAAAATATAGATAGATAGATGTGGGAAGCAACAGATTGATTGATGGGATGAGCACGGACAGTAAGAATAGAATGCCAAAAAGGCGAAACCCGGATAGAGGGTTCGAAAAATGAAATTAGCGAGAGCACCGACCGATGAAGACCGACGATGCTGACAAAATGTTTGGTGAATGAGGAATCAGATTGAGAAGATGGAGGTGTAATGGAGATGAAAAGGGGGGGAGGTAGAGGTGGTGGTGGAGGTGGTGGAGGTGGTGTTCTAAAGAGGATCTGGACGGATTGACGATAATGGGGGAGGACTACTCTTTCTGAGTGTTCTCTTGGGGCTGGAGAAGGGGTGACCGGGGCTGTTGCACTGTGCACACACGCAACCAACATCTGCCTGGCTTACGGTGCGCTGCTAATGGACTAATCTGTGGCTAGGGTTCACTCTCTCCGACGTTGTAATACTGAATGTAATGTACATTCTGGTTACGTAACTTACGGCCGTCTGACCCCGCCACTTTGGTTGGCATCCATTGAAACAGCTCTACGATATCATGTATGTGTCTAATCTACATACAGTATGTATGCTCTTTTTTTGTACAGCAAAGCAGTGTGGGCTTGAGGAGGGTGTGAGATCAAAAAGCTGAAGAGGGATGAATATTGGAAGAGAGGGATGGATGGAGGAAGGACAGGTGGCGGGTGACCTTGTCTGTCCTTCAGTAAAAAGCTATTTTGATTGAACATCCCCGATAGATAGCACCGATATCTCGATTGCTGTTTCCAAGATGTAAAAGTTTGAATTCTACAGTTTCAAAGGTCTAATTGATCATTGTAGTGGTATGTACATGTACTTTGCGTATGTACAGGATGTACTACATGTATGTAGTGGGGTGAAACCGGTATTGCGCAACTATCGATACAGATGAAACCAACTCAATGCCTCAGAAGGCTGTATAGGTGCATGCGACTCTACTCTCAATCTCTCTACTGTAAGGGACGACTAACCACAGACTTTGGCGGAGGCATGTTTGGTATCCACGGCCTAATGCCTAGTATCTCTGAAGAACAGAGCTCTCTCCACAGTACGGCATGCATCACTTATGCACCCATAAGATACACACATACATACATGTAACTACAAATGCGTTATGCTACATGCACCTACACTGTCGATGGCTACTCCAAGAACAGCCCCAGCGCCCCGTTTCCCACACAGCTGCTATTGGTGACCTCGCTTCCATACTCTAAGTTTGGAGAGATGGTGTTGGCAGAATGGTACATGGTATCAAGTCTTTAGCTTTAAACAACATGTCGAAAGAGCCTCGTGCACCGAACTGGGTTCAACCCCCGGACCAGCCCCGATCACAATAAGCATCGCCAAGATGGGGGTCGCTGGAAAGTTATGTATATTAGGCACCCCCGAGCTCCAGAGCTTACTGATAGGTGTTAATTGAGGCAGTTTCGTTCTCCTCCAAAATGGATCAAGATCAATTAATGGGCACGGACACAGTGGAATGTCCCCGGAATCTTGGAACCCTGGGTGTGATTTATGCGCATTGCGCAAACGCAGGTGCCAAGAGATCCTGGGGATAACCTTGATTTCCTCCTCTCGTCCCTAAACAGCTAGGCGAGGTGAGGGTTAGGGGTGGAAGTTATTTGATATCTCATCTGAAAACAATTAACTCGCTCTCTCAACATACAACACGTTGAAAGAAATTGTCTGCTGATGCGTACCCAAAGAAATCTGTCTCCAACTACAATATAAAATAATTTTCTGCACTACGGCCTCGTGCTTTATGGAACCGCGGAGATCCGCTAGAAACCCTAAGCCCCATACCCTATACCCTATACCAGTCCCGTGTTCTGGTTTCTTCAAATCAAGTCTCCTGCGTCACAGAGTTTCTAACCGGGAAGTAGAGAATCTGATGCACGAAATGTATGTTCTCCCATTAACAGCCTCATGGATCGATCAAGGATCGGTTACCACAACCATGCTTATTGCTCCTTGCGCTTTTAGAAAATTGGCCTACTTTGACCTGCCAACTGCCGTCTAATTTCTCGTGAAGCATAAACACCTAATTGCTACTAATTATTGAAACCTCTCCCACTAATTTCCCCTCTCAATCTCATAGAAGTCGGTAGAAACATTCAATGTATTATAACCCAATACAGCCAATCACCTCTTATCTTGGCCCCGTGTTAATTTTGCCGTTTTATAGAAGCTCCCACCACTGAATGAAAGTTCAGCTCTTTCTGGATGCAGCCATACTACTAATTGTGTCGCACATTATCCCATTCGTCGTACCCCCATTGATATTCATCCCCACAGTCTGGTTTGCAGCCGCTATTTTTTTTTTTTTTTTTTGCTTTGCGCCAAATGTAGGTAACCGCACCTGCCTTGCCTCGCACCTAAGATACTTGTACATTACATTACATACTACATAAAGTACGCCCCCATAAGTAAATTTCCCCGTCTTCCGGTACTACCTGTATCAAATAAGTACATGTATTCAAGGGGGAGGGGGGGGGGGGTCTGTCTCTCCATTTTACCTGCTTTCACAAAATGGAGGGGGCGGGTGTACAACAATTGAATATTATATGAGGTTACTTTGTTGGGGTATTTTTGCTGATCCATTAGAATGGAGGTATGTACCTGGCCTTGCCTCGTTCTCTCCCCTGGGAGGGTATGGATGCTGCTATGGAAGGCGGCGGCCGAAGTTGAACGAAAATGCATCAGCCAACTTTATGGTTCCCCCCGTCCTTCCCCCAAAATTGATTATTGCGCGTCTTATTCCGTCATTGCTTAGATAGTCTATTGCACGTTGTCCTGAATTTATTTAAGAGAGCCATTCCTCGCTCTCCTTTCCATCACACTTTTATACCTTCTTCCTCCTTCTTCCAATCCAAACGCCTAGCAATTTTTCCATCGTATTTCAGTTCTCATTGAGCTCCCATCTACTTATTTGTATTACTCAAACGTAAAATACTCAACCAACCTCACCTCTCACATACAAAAACAAAAATCCCTCCATACTCCAAAATGACTGATAAGAGCATCAAAAAGGGCGATGAAGGTAGGACCCCTCTGATATTTCCATAAATTTACTCGCAAAATAGAGGGATTGGCGCTCATAAAGCCCCCCCGAATCCAGTCACCTGGAATTGGGGCTCTGGTCATCCTTCTGGGACCGTTGCCGAGATCAAGAACCACGGCTCCCTCGAGATCATATCGAAGGGTAAACGAGTGCACAAGAACGCTGACCCTGACAACCCTGTAGTGCATGTAGAGCGTGAAGGCAACGACGTTGTCAAGCGTGCAAGCGAGCTCACCAAGGAGTCGTCTGCAGCTCCTGCCGAGAAGAAAGACAAAAAGACGGCCGCTAAAGAAGCGAAAGAAGCGAGAGAGACTAAAGAGACTAAAGAGACTAAAGAGGCGAAAGAAGCGAAAGAAGCGAAAGAAGCGGCAGCCGAAAAGAAGGAAGCCGAGGCTGGCGAGAAGCGAGACCGCTCAGGGGCCGACGTTGATGGTGATGGCAAATCACCGGCTGAAGAGCAACTGGAGGCCGAGAAAGAGACCGGTAAGGAAGCTAAGAAGCCCAAACTCGACGACGAAAACGCCAAGGAAAAGAACGGCAACGGAGATTCAAAGAAGCCCGAAGAAGCCGACTCAGGTGACGCCGAGAAGTCTCCTGCACCAAAGAAGCGTGGACCAGGTCGCCCCAAGAAATCCGAAATCGAAGCGAGGAAAAAAGAGGAGGCAGCAAAACTTGAAACCGGTGCAGGCGGTGCGGAGAAAATATCACAAAGGACACGTTCAAAGGCTTAGATTGTTCGTCCTGGTGACCGCAATCCGTTTCCTGGTAGGTAGGCTAACCATCGACCATTGTTATAGCAAGTAAGAGCCATAGCTGATGTCCTCATGTCCAGGAGTTTAAAACTGGAAAGAGAAAAAAATTGCCTGTAGTATCTGACCATACCAGACTGGAGCTGCAGTATCAAAAAGCAGCATCTTTGTTTTGTAAATGGTATAACCCGTGTATTTCTTAAATGAATCTCTAATGTTCGGATTCCCTCTTCCCCCTTTTTCCCTTTGGGTTTCAATGTACCAGGCGCTTAATAGCGAGGTTCAAGTTAAAGTTATCTTTTCTTTTTGAAGGAAGTAATAAAAAAGTTGCTCGACCTGATGTTCGCAAACATTGCGAATGCATTGTAGCACATCGGCAACGTAGCCCAGACTTGAAATATAAATGTGTTTCTGAGGAAATATTGCCATGCTATGATACTGTACAGTAAAAAACTGGATGTCAAATTTTCCATAATATAACATCTTTTCCAAGCCAAGGGAGAGGGGATTAAAGGATAAAACAAAACCCATAATACCTGATGAGTCCCCTATAATGACGATGTTCTTTCTTCCAATGCATACTATCACGTTTAAGGCAAACCCTGAGTGACCAGTATAAAAATCCCTCTAAACCAAACAATTATCATCCGTACTTCTAGCAGTACTCTACAGTTCCCACATTATGAATGAAGAATAAATATTAGAAGATAGACAAAAATCGACGTATAAAATGGTATTCGTTTTGTTTTATGCATGTATGCTGATAAAATTTATTCCGGTTTCTGCTCTTCATAAAATAGCAAATAGACCTCCTTTTGCATACCAAGGACGTCCCCAGTTTTCGTCTCTCTAATCTTGTCGTCGCTTATGCGCCACCACTTATTATTGCCGTGCTTCTTTCTGACTTTATTCGGAGCATGGGCCCTTTTTTCAAAAGCACTATCTGCTGTGGTTCCCGGGCCAGCCTCCGGGATAGAAGAAATATCGGGTGTCAACAGAGAAGGGGACGGTGTAGATTTTGAATCCGAGCTTGATAAACTGGACGATGCATCTGAGGGTAGAATATTGGACGATGCAGCATAAGGTGATAAGGATGGGGAGTCTACGCCCGGTTCCCTTGGGTCTACTAATCGAACGGTGGATCCTGGAGTCGAACCACCAATCGGTGACGCTTGTCCACTTGCTGCAGGGGTAGAAGGTGCAAGTGTGGGCGTAGGTGTGGAATAGGGCGGCGGGGACACAATCTGCCTCCTAAAGCATTCATAATGCCCACTCTCATGGCCGCCCTTGTGTGTCACCATGCAGAGAAGTTTATATTCATGCTTCTCCATGATACCGCCCATTTGCAAAGTTTCTGGGAATGAAACCCGAGCACTATTCTTTCTCGACGACGAGTAACCTTCGTATATAGAGCGGGAGAGATGGAGAGCGAGAATCCGGGGGTGGGACGACATGCGGGTCCTACGAGCGATACGGGATTTGGGGGCCGAGGAAGACGGTGGTATATCGATTCCCTCGGGAATTTTTTCAGGATCTTTTTCAAGAGCTTGTCGGAGAGTGTCGATTATCTCTTGAATCTTTCCTTGCTTTGTGACAGGTGTACTTGCAATTTTGCGGGTTAGGGTTGCTATGGCATGCTCAAGCCTGCATCTTGCGCATTGGAAATCGTCTATATACTCTGTGGAGAGAACACCCTTAATGCAGTCTGAGAGGGTTGTACTGCTCTGTAAAGAGAATATTAGAGTATTGCTCATGATAAAGAAATTCGATAAAAGTAGATTCCACGCACCTTTTGAGGAACCGGTAATGTCAAAACGACGAATGTGGAAACTGTAGGTTTTGGCTTGAAGTGACATTTCTGACACTCTATCTCCGACTCAACTTTCCCCTCAAGTGGCATTCCGCCTTCGTCTTCTGTCTCGTCTTCTAAATTTGAATCCGAATTTTCCACATTAATGATGACCCCATCCTCTTCCTCTTCTACTTTCTCCCCACCAGCCTCACCCACATTGAGGAGAATATTCCTCCCCCCCGCCTCTTCCTCCTCGTGAGCCTTTTCGTCCTCTAGATCTTTCTCCTTCACTACTCTTGCTGCTTTCACTGACTTTTTCTGCTTGTGATATTCCTCCGCTATTGTTTCGGCAACAACCTGCAAGAATTCGTGGGCGTCCTGTTGGCTGCGGGAAATCCTCTGCCGGAATACTCTCTCTAGAACAGTCAAGAAAGGTCGTGCAGATAACGTCTTTCTATATAATGGCCTCTCGTTAAGACCTGTAACTCATCAGTTCTCACCTCTGAAATCCGTTGATATCCAAACCAACCATCTAATATATCTTTCAAAGCTGCGGTCAGAAACGGTTTTTCATCACCCTCGATAAATTCTCCGTTGGCCTTTGCTGCCCTTGTCCGTCTGACCAAATATGCCCTGAGCTCTCCTAGTCCTGCGAGGGATTGTAGAATTGAATTTATCTATTCATGAGATTAATGGAATGTCCATAGGGCTGAGGACGTGGGTGCATTCATACAAAGCAGTCATTGGCTGTGTTGACAAGACCCACCACTCCCTTCTTCCGCTGTGAGGAGGAAGGGTTTGAATCGATGAACCATGTAGGGCCAAAAACATAGACGAGGGTTACAGCAGCGAGGGATGCACCAGCAGCATAGGCGATCGTGAGCTGCTTGTTATTTGGCGCCGGCATTCCGGATTCCTTTTTAGGCTTGTTTCTGAGCTATGGCGAGAAAGAGAGCCGAGAGCGAGGGACTTTCATCACCGCCAATTTATGTTGAGATATGTACAGTAGAAGAGTGACTGATGGTCTACTTAGTTTAAGTCTGACGATATTCCTTTCCTGCCCCGTATCTGAATTGAGGCTCCTTTTAGTTTTTTTTTGTGGTTGCGTTATGTTGACGACAAACAAAAGAACAGAATGGCGATGATGTCTGTTCAACTTTTTCTAACCGGGCGATAGCGTGGGCAAAGTCGTAGGGAAAGACACCTAAAAGAGGAGGGGCTACACCCCAGGATGTCTTGTCTTGGAGGGTGCGCAAGTCCTTTGTCAGCCGGAAGATAATAGAGTTTGGTCCGGTCATTTTTTTTTTCTTCCAATGCAGTGTTTTATTTCCAGTAACAAAATTATAGTGAGATGTAAAGCTGGTACCCAAATCTTTACCACCGTTGATTATGATGCACGCTTTATAATATATATATATATTTTGGCATGTGTGTTGCCCATGTATCACCTCCCCCCGCGCGTTAAAGCGGCTCTGGTCCAAGATTCTCGGAATCGCAAATCTAGTCAGGAACAACCACCAACAAACCGTTTACTACAGAGCCACTCAGGGTCCCAATGGCGTTATTCAGCACCCCAAAGTGTCCGTCATGTATCCGGCAACTCGCCGGCGGTGCCTTCCAGCAAATTCGAGGGATTAAGAAGATGGTGAAGGTCCCCACGGTCACGGTTAGGCTGCTAAAAGATGTGCCAAAATATGGACCAGCTGGTATGATGGTCGTCCAGTTACCTGATGTGTTCATTGTTGGGGATCTGAGATTCTGATGTATTCGGGATAATAGGGACATTGATTCCTGTTGCAAAGGGAAGAATGAGGAGTGAGTCTTCTTAATTTTGTTTGTGAAGCATTTTTATTAACCGGACGACCTTAGGCATATGGTATGTCTAACATGCCACTTCTGTGTGAGGCAGAATCTATGCACAATCATATCCCTATATATGGCAATCCCATATCGAAAACCCCGATAACATACTAATCCACTCCCCAGGTATCCTCAGAAAGTAGCAGACTATGTCCACTACACAGAGCTAAAGAAGATACCGCGCGGTGAAGCCCCCCAGCGAGACTTCTTCTTTCTCGCCGACACTGTTACAAGCGGTAAAAAGAAACAAAAGGCCACCGTTTCCCTCCTTTCGGTGCGTTTGATCCATCTCAGGATAATCACAGCGTTATTAATATTTACCATAGCCCACGCAAACCATCGCTATCCTCGAGGCTTTGCTCCCCCCCTCCCTCCAGTTCTCCAGCGCAACTATTTCTCCAACAGACCACTCCCTCCACGGATCGGTGTCTACAGTTGATATTGCCAACGCAATTAAAATGGTCTCTGCCGCAAACGGAGAGGAGGGATCGAGGGTCGTTATCACACCTGATCAGATTGAGTTGATAGGTGTTGAGGGTGACAAGATCAAAATGATTGGAGAATACCAGTTTGAAATCAAGATGAAGGGGACCAATGATTTCGTCAGAAGACGGGCTACAGTCCAGAGGCAGGAAATACATTAGAAGTTAGGAATGGGTTAGGTTTAGAGCTGCATATCAAAAAAAAGGCCGGATCTCGGAATAAAAAACCTTCGATATGCGTACGATCACCAGCAAACCTCAGCTGTCAAAAGGGAAAGAAAGCTATTTATCTATGCAACCGGGCATTTATGAAAGGGAGATGTAAAAAGAATTAGATTGTGGGATGCTTTTTTTTTTCTTCTCTATATATTTTACCATTCCCCTCCCACCCATCCTCCACGTGGGGGGCTGTATATGTTATTTAGCAGGATCGTTTACGTTTTTGCAGCGAACCGGAATAAGAAAAAAAGTATCGGTACTCCATCCATCGCGATTTGTGATTTTAACAGGAGTAAAGGGCTCGGCCGGGTACTACTGCCAGTACGGCAATCATCCCGTATGCGCCGCAAAATATAATCGTAGATATTTCCAGTTTTCAGTACGTCATGTAGAAAGAAAACTCCACAGAGGCGGTATCACTGAGACTTCCGCCGACATCCCTGTCTATCTGTCCTGCCGTGTGAATTAACCCCGCCATTAATAAAAGTGGTGTTCTCCGTTTGTTGAGAAATCAACGTCTACATAAACCACCCTTATCCCCCTCATCTTCCAACTGCAAAGCAACACTGCTCAAACAAACACAGAAAAAGACTCGTCCTCGTCAAATTTAGGTGAGCTCTTCACCAGACCCCCTCATTTGCTCTGTGTACTTGCCCAGGACTGTCGCCTTAAGGATACTCTCAAGCTGCCCCACTATTCATTCCTCTTCAAAGAATCAAAACCTCTATTTGAAATTTTGATCGTGAATTCATCAACTAATACTTCTTCTCTCCTTATTAGAATTATCATAATGGGTGCTCTCGAAGTTCTTAAGAGGAAGTCCGGTGTTATCGTTGGTGATGACGTCTTGAACGTAAGTCTAAATGCCCCGCCATACAACGTTTTCACTCCATGTTATTGAATAACTACATGTACATGTGCTTGCTTTACCCGGATTATTCTGACTATGATCTACAAAAATAGCTTTTCAAATATGCCAAGGAGCACAAGTTCGCCATTCCTGCCATCGTGAGTTTACTAATTCCTTTCTCTCACAACCGTTGGAGGGATTATCAACTTACAGATATCAAATAGAACGTCACTTCTTCCTCAACTGTGGTCGCTTCCCTCGAGGCAGCCCGCGATGCAAAGTCCCCAGTTATCATCCAAATGTCTCAGGGTGGTTCTGCCTACTTCGCTGGAAAGGTTCGTATCGTACTCGCTCCAGACATTGAACATTCAACTCATAACCTCTAACAGGGCGTCTCCAATACTAACCAATTCGCCTCTATCTCCGGCGCCATCGCCGCGGCCTACTACATCCGCTCCATTGCCCCAGCATACGGCATCCCAGTTATTCTCCACACCGATCACTGCGCCAAGAAGCTCCTTCCTTGGTTGGACGGAATGCTCGATGCTGACGAGAAGTACTTCGTTGAGCATGGAGAGCCTCTTTTCTCATCTCACATGATCGATCTGTCTGAGGAGGAGAAGGAAGAGAACATTGCTATTACGAAGAAGTACGCAGAGCGTGCTGCTCCTATGAAGCAGTGGCTTGAGATGGTTCGTGGTTATCTGTTGAATCTGAATGAGCTTTTAGCTAATTATTGTAGGAAATTGGCATCACTGGAGGTGAGGAGGATGGCGTTGACAACACCGATGTCGACAACAGCGCCCTATACACCCAACCCGAGGACATTTATGAGGTCTATAAGGCTCTATCTTCTGTTTCCCCGTACTTTTCCATCGCTGCCGCCTTCGGAAATGTTCATGGTGTGTACAAGCCCGGCAACGTCAAGCTCCACCCCGAGCTTCTCGGAAAGCACCAGGCCTACACCAAGCAGCAGATCAGCAGTGCCGAGGAGAAGCCATTATTCCTTGTTTTCCACGGAGGCTCTGGTTCCTCCAAGGAGGAGTTCAGACAGGGAATTGAGAACGGTGTTATTAAGGTCAACTTGGACACCGACTTGCAGTAAGTTATCGTTGTTCCGCTATGAGAGAGTGTATGGAGTCTTTTACTCACCAGTAAAAAGGTACGCCTACCTGACTGGTATCCGTGATTACGTCCTCAACAAGAAGGATTACCTGATGCAGCAAGTCGGAAACCCTGATGGTGATGACAAGCCCAACAAGAAATACTTCGAGTAAGCTTCCTTTTCATAAATCTCCCTCAATGAGTGTTGGGATCTAACACAAGATACTTTACTAGCCCCCGCGTCTGGGTCCGTGAGGGAGAGAAGACCATGACTGCCCGTGTCAAGGAGGCCTTGACTGACTTCAACACTGCCAACCAGTTGTAAAAGAACAATAGCTGGCTAGTGTGGGTTTTACATGGTAATCGATTTTGTTTCTTTACTTTTTGGGTCATATGAGTTGTGAACACAACAGGAAGGGTTCTCAGTGTCGCAACGCTTTTAGGACTTTACAAAGGACGAAATAAATTACGATAAAGAAGAAGTTCCTTGTGATCATGAACAATCACTCGTATTATGATATCATCGTGCTAGAATGAATTCGTCTCGTAGAAGAAGTCCATGTTGCGGTAGCACTAAACAAGCTCCTAACCCAAGACCCAAAGTAATGAGACCTGATCCACGATTATTTAGAATCACTATCTAACCCCTCCAAGAACCTTTTCACTCTTCCATAAAGGTCTTGAGTTACGCTCTCAGGTACATCCTCGTACCGATGGTTTGCTCCAGCCACTGTTCCACTGTTCTCCGTATCCACAGTTACCCCAGCTGCAGCTGCAGCACGGTACCACTTTTGAAGCAACGCTTCTTTATCGAGACTGCTTGACATGTACTCATCGTCTTCCGAGAATAGGTAGAGTAGCTTTGTTTCAGCTGTGACTCTTTCATACACGGACCTTACAACATCCTCACTGATATCTGAAGACCAATAATCATCATCACCTCGTGGGATACCATTGGGACCTAATGGAACAAGCAAACTGTACCTACAAAAAGATCAGCACAGCCATTATAAGAAAATCAAGTGAGGTCGATCAGGGTTAAGGTACCATCGACGAGCAGTGATAGGGTAAGCTGCAAATGGCCCACGATACTTGATTGGGATTATTTCCTCGCCCAAGCCTTCCGCAACCCATTTCGTAACAAAATCGAGGGCCTCATAATACGATTCATCTCCCATTAGGTAGCGCATTGCTTCCCTGTCGCTAACTGGGGCTTGGAAGATCGCACCATCGAGGTCTGGGGCGCCTGCGGCGGGTTTTGAAATGTACTCAATGGCGTCTTGGCTGCCTTTTTTTTTTTTTGTAGAAAGTTTGTTAGTTGGAAATGATTTTTGGGTAGTGTTTTTCTTTACCTGTGGAGTGGCCGAGCAGAACCACACGTCCATGGGGGCGAATTTGCTTGATGTAAGCTACGGCTTGGGAAAGTTCCTCGACATCCCGCTTTAGGCTCCCCATGCCCCAGCCGTAGTATGACGAAGTGGTCAAAACTTCAACCACACTCCAGTCCTCAAGCGCTTCTGCAAGCCCGGAAACATATGGGACTGTGGTGAAACCTTCACCGAGACCGCCCATGAACAGTAGGGTGTCACGGTCTGAGCTGTTTGTACAGGTTGGAGGGTTATGTTCAAATGCCACTAGGTGATATGCCTTTTTCCCCCGCACAGTGAGTTCATGATCGCTTTTGTGCAATCTGTATATATGGAATATGGAATCCTTACATAATTGTGTAAAACACCTTGCTGTGATAATGCTGTGAAGTTCAGAGATACTACAAAGGGAACGAGAAGATGCAAGAAGATCGCGGCAAACTTCAACGTACCCAGAACGGAAGCCATGGTGGAGGACTTTGGATGGGCTGAAGATGACGGGACACAGGATTAGATGGATACTTATGTGATTGAGGTAGGGGTACTTGAAGTGATATTGGTGCTTCAAACTTCTACATTTGGCTGAAGGCCCGACGGGATATATCTCACTGCTTAACCTTAGGGCCGGACGGCAATTACGACTATTGGGAAAGAGGTGTTTGTAGTCGGGTCTTAGAATTGTTAGGTATCCGTTACCTGCCTGTGATGTTCCACTAGTGTCGTCCCACCAATTACTTAAAGATCAGTGATTATTAATTATAAAGATCAGGTACGTATTCGATCGCAGTATACACTTGGCATATGCATGTCTCACCCATGCCGGCAGTGCCTGGTGCAGATCGATTCGTTCTACTGTACCAACACCAGGATTAGTTGGTTCTGTCTCAGTACTAGTACTTTACTCTACTCAGGGTACTGTAGTTAGTAGGTGATCTACATGCATGAGGTTTTTGTTTGATTTCGAATCTGCTTAGCAACTACACTACCAAACAACTGGGTAGTATCACTACTACATCGGAATAGAATTCTGCTGCGAGGCCGCGATATTGCTACCATATTCCCTTGTTACTCTGGTCAGAATGCAAGGGATCACCAGATATATAGGTACAAGACTACATGTGTAGTCCCACGGTGCTTTCTGTCTTTCTGCTGATATTCCAATTACGTGGCAGCTTGGTTTACGCCAAACTTCAATGGATTTCCGGCGAGAAACATCTCGATCCTTGACACCGCAACCCAGCCCAACCCAACCATCATGGGTTGTAAATGATGGCCCCATCACTACGCTATATTATGATATAGCCGTACATACTCCACTATAACAGTCTTTCTTCGATATGGTTGGGCCTCGAAGCCTCAGATATACGCATGGCTTGGGCAACTCCACACTCGGAAACCTATGTACTTCTACGATGTACCCCCACAAACATCCATAAGATTCTTGAAATAGGGCGCTCGGCACGTTTCATAGTTCTGGAAGATTCTCATTATTTCATTATAGTATTCGTCATTGGCGTATGACTCACTTTCCTATTAGTCATTCTATTACTCACACGTCCATGACTCATTGTATTTCTTTTGTACTACCTTTCATTAGTATAAATACGGGGCATTCCCCCTTAGCTAGAACAATCAACACGATCAATTACTTCACTTCTTCTACATACTTTCTCTAGGTTATGAGCCCGGAGACCACCCACGCTTATACACTCTTCACCATTTTTACCACAAAGTACATTTTCTCGTTTCACTTTCAATCATGTCTGAGAGGAGCATCAAAATTCCCGCACTCCCATGCAAGCTGGATGGTCAAGGCCATTACACTGTATGGAGGGACCTTGCTACCCGCATGTTGAAAGTTCACGATCTATGGAACTTGGTCAATGGTTCGAGCAAGCGTCCCGTGTTGACCACCACCACTACTGTACCTACCACGGCACCACAAGCATCAGGAAGCACCAATGGGGCTGAAGAAGACGAAGAAGAAACCTCCGACAACGCTGAAGAAATCAGCGACTGGGACAAAAAGGATAACCTTGCGGTTGTATTCTTTCAATCTAAAATCGAATTCGAAGTTATTCTCACACTGACACCGGCCGACACCGCTCATCACCTCTGGACTCAACTCGAAGACAGATTCGATCGAAAAACCATCGCTTCCCTCCACTCGCTCCTCGCTAATGTCGTCACCCTACAGTACACACCCGACAAGGGTATCAAGGAACATCTAACCCAGTTCAACACTCTTTGGTCATCTCTCCTCACTAGAACTAGTAACTCTACGGACAAAACCAAAGACCCACTCGGTTACCACCTTCACCAACTCGCATCTGTCTCAGAAGCGAAGGCATCCTTCCTACTCCTCTCACTCCGGCACGAATCCCTCGAATCAGTCGTTGACAAACCTGCAAACCAAGCCCAACGTTACCTTCGATGATGTTTACGAAAAGCTGTTGGATCTGGACTCACGGCGCAACAACGATGGACAGGCGGCTGGAGAAGCCTACACAATCAGGCGAGGAAACCCAGGACACGGAAACAACAACAGAGTCAGGAGGCCACGTAACAACGAAACAGGAAATCGAGACGTCACATGCACCTGGTGCACCAAGAATGGAGAATATGCAAAAGGCCACACGCACAAAAATTGCCGGAAACTCAAAGCTTTCAGAGACAAGGAGAAGTCCGCTGCATCTGGCAATCTCAACGTTGCGTCTGGTACTGCATTTCACACAAAACTTGACCTCTCTTGGATCCCCGATCTTTCTGGCCTTCCCGCACTCGAAGAAACCGACGTATTCACAATGCCGGTTGACTTCGACCTCACCAACTTCTCAGATTACACCTCGGATATTACCATGCAGGACTACTTTGGCTTTATTGCAGGACCTTCCACCACCGATAACAAGGCATGGATCTTCGACCCTGGCGCAACCAACCACATGACCGGAACGCTGGTTACCGACCCCACTCCCCATACTGGAACAGTTACTGTTGGAGGAGGTCGCAAACTCCAGATAACCGGAATCGGCAACGTCACCATCAACGGATCACATGGCCTGATCACTCTGCAGAACGTATTCTTGATCCCTGAACTAGGCAATACCAACCTGATGTCTTGGTCTTGCATCGCTAAAAAGGGATTCACAACAATTGGGACGGAAGACGGCTTTACCATCTACAAACCGAACAGCAAGGAAATCATCGGGATCGCTAACGCAAATAGTACTGGTCTCTATATTTTTGAAACCAAGGAACCCTGCGCACACCTCTCTGCCGCCACCAGCTTCTATGACTGGCACCAACGGCTCGGACATCTCCCCGCTTCCTCGCTCTCACGGCTTCGCACCATGGTCGCCGACCCCAAGTCTCTCCCCATATCTGGTCACATGGAAACATGCAACACATGTGAACTCGCTAAGTCAACCAAATCTCACCTCGCTCCTCTCACCGAACCACAATCCAAACAACCACTGGAACTAATACACTCAGATCTGAGCGGCAAGTTCTCGACTCCTTCTCTGGGCGGTTTCAGTTACTATATCACTTTCATCGACGATTACTCCAGGTACGCTCACCTCTACTTCCTTAAAAAGAAGTCAGATGCAGCAGCTGCCACAGAACGATACATCGCATACATGGAAAATCAATTGGACAAAACGGTTAAATGGTTTCGAAGTGACAACGGTGGCGAGTACATCTCCAACGACCTTGAACAATTCTTTGCCTCCAAAGGCATAAAGCATGAATTCACTGTACCTTACTCTCACGAGTCAAATGGAACAGCAGAACGCTTTAACAGGACTATAGCAACAATGGCACGATCCGCCTTGCTCGACCACAACCTCCCAAAAAATCTATGGGCAGAAGCGATCAACACCATGGTACACGTCAAAAACCGTCTCCCACACAAATCACTCCCGAATATGACACCATACGAAGCACTTACCGGCAAGAA